TTACAAAAATGTGAGAATTATTCTAACCAAAATATAGTTCAAAATATATGATCGGAAAGAGCACTACTTTACAAAATGTATAAAACTTACTGTCAAAAATGTCCAAAAAGGTCCAGAATAATAGTCAGGTACAAATAACATCTAACTTCAAAGAAAGTTCCAAATAATATAAACCTCACAATGAAAACCGTAAGTGAAATAGCAAGACAGAGCCAATAGAAAATAATGTACAAATTACCCAATGAATACCATCGAAAAGTCCAATGCGGCAGAACTTAAATGTACTCACTGTACTAACCAATAGTACATGAAAACGTCATACCTGCACTGCAGTACTAACTGTATGGGGTTCAATACAGGATAATCATATGCTTCAATGGTCAATTATTCATTACACCATAGCAGGGACTAAATTTGGAAAACGGAAAGCTATAGCGTAATGAGTTCAGAAAATGTCTTCAAAATATTTTAACAACTTTAGATCAAATTAAATATTTTTATAGTTTATTGAAATAATTCGCTGAAATGGAAAATTGGTTAAGTTATAAAATATACAAAGTAAAATATAAAAAGAATACTATAAATCGCTGCCACAATTGTCTCTTCAGTGATGTTAGGAATCGAAACGGTATTTGGAAGGCCATATAATTTACCTCAATTTAGGATAGACTCTTGAATTTTGAAAGAGTCAAAATAGAATGAACGGATCATATAAACCCAAAGGCAAATATAATACAAGCCCAAACGAAAATTCAAGCCTAAATTGAAAACAACATATATATATATATATGTCTGAAAATTAAACCCAACAGTGTTAGAATTAGATTTTTATGCTGACAAATTTTTGTCCTTCAATGGGATTTGAACTCACACCTTTGATAGACTACAGCACCAATCGCATAGCCTCATGTTCATCGCTATTAGACCACTCGACCACATCGTTATATATATATATATATATATATATCTGGAGTGATGCCCAGCGACAGGTTCGGGAAAGCTTTTGGATAAAGGAACTAATTTAAAATGTACTTCATCCAAACGGCATCAATAAGAAATAATAGCAGTTGTGTTACAAACTACTGCATTTTGACAATTTGGGATGTATATATACGCAGGCACGTTTACAGAGTATTGAGTTTTGTTTTATTTGACGAGGTTCAGGATTTGGGATTAAATCAATTAAATTTTTTTATACACGTCTAAACATGTGACAACTTTATGACAGACATTCTCCATCGGATAACACGTGCATGGTTATACAGGGCTAACACCATAATATATATATAATTCGTCTCAAATTTAGCCTAACAATGTAAGATCTTCAAATTTGCGTTAGTAAATTTTTGTTCTTCCCTCAGCGGGATTCGAACCCTAGCTTTTGTGACATCATGGCAACACCTCATGCACCGTGTCCAGCGCCCTAGACCAGTCGACCACCTAGGCTACACATTCGTCAACTGTGAAATTTTAGAATTATACCAGTTCATATCCCAAATTACTATTCTTTGTATACATATCTAAGCAAATTGAATACTTAATCTGCGTCAACTTTGCGATTTTAAAATTATACAATGGTGTTTTGTTTTTAATTTGTATTACGTTAAAGATTGTTTTAGTAAAATCAGAATAGATTGATATGATTCATTTTACATCATCATGATCATACTGATGAAGAATATCTGTTATCCGAAATGTTTATTGTTATTCATATATACTGTTTCCTTTTTTTTTAATATTGGTGTTGTTTTGTACTCTTTGTAGGTGTATTTTTATTGTTCCCAAAAATGCTTTTAGGCTCTCTATCTTAATGTCAATAAATATAATTGTCTATTTTTATCTCTGTATTTTTCTAATTCAAATTCATTCTTTTACATAACATTGAAAGGTTATAGTAAAATAATCAATATACTATGAAGATTGAATAAAAAGTTGTATTTAGCGAATAGTTTCATATTAAGGAAGCTCGCTTGTCTTTTTTGTTTTTTTTTATCAGATAATCGGAATCCTCTGGTTTTATTTATGTGGTGTCATTAAAACAAATTTGCACGCTTGCCCGTCTTTTCTTTTATAATATTATTACATATAGTAAAAAAAAACATTTTTGAAAATCTTATAGAATCCTTATTATTTTTACATTGTTTATGTGAGAAAAAAGGTGCCAATGTAATTTGTATGAAAAATCTAGTGAAAATAATTTCCCAAATTTTTAATGGCTTATATCTCAAAAACAAGGACACGAACCCTGCATTTTTATTTTTATTTTATTTTTATTCTTTTTTTTTAGGGGAGGGGGGGGGGGTATTCTAAGTTCTTTTATATAAAAACTACCAATTTGAAACAGTCCTTTACAAAGCTTGTAATTTTGAAACACAGTAGCGAACATTTTAAAGATTATCAATTAATTTAAGATTATCAGTCGGAAAGCAAGCCCTTAGAAACGACCGTTGTTGCTACTTTCTTAAGACAACAATGGGACTGATATTAAAACCCGCCATTCTGAAATTGCGTTAATTTCGCGGAAAAAATAATTTGGCGCCAATTTGGATTTTTTTCTTTTTTCTGTTTCTTACTTGCCATTAGGGTCAAAAATAGATTTAGTTCGATTTTTCAAGCATGGTTCTTATTATCAAAGAAAATAATACTTAAACATGTTATAAATTGTCCGTCTTTTAAAAATAACGTAATGCCTTTGATCGTCGTTTAAGAATTATGCAAAATTGTCTGTTATTTTTTTCTTCTTTTTTTTCCAGATAAACAAAGATTATACAAACTATATAAAAAATTAATAATAAGTATCTCAAAGTTAAAACAAAAATCAAGTCTAATGTTCTATCACCCCTTAGGAAACCCCGTTCGAACTAAATTCCAAACGAAAGACATTTTTTGACATCGTAGTTTTTTATCTTACACATCGATGTCAACTTGCATCTTTACACAATGTACACACATTTAGTGTGTTTGTTTGAATAAGCAATGGCGAGTTCAGCTGTGAATATTTGACTGGATTAATTATTCTCTTTAAGTCAGTGAATTGTTTGACTTAACTAAAACAAGGTAAGGAACTCGTATACTGTCTTTACACAACCTTAACCAAAACTCATTCATCGTTTATAATATTATAAAAAAAATTGTGATGAAGTAATGCTGCAAAACTGCCAAAGGTAAATGAAAAAGTCTTGTCCTGAATATGAACTTAAAACAATCTCTTTCAGACTAGCATTTTAATCACTCTTATTCAAAGCATGTTCATACTGACATGAAGTGTGACTTACTTATGACTTGTGATCTAAAACATAATATTGTTGACTTAGCACTCAGAATCTGCTCTGAAATACTTTTAAAAATGCATAATTGTTAAAAAAAAAAAAAAATAGAAGAAGAAAAATATTAGACCCAGTCTTTTTTGTTCTTGTCTATTTTCAAGTTCATAATCATGATTAGAACCATTTATCTATTGGTTTAGTGTTTTTTTTTTATAATTTGAGTCCATTCATTAGAATCTGCATGGAATCAGTGAGACATAATTGATTGTTATATTTTGTTTTTTCATACAAGAATTGCAAACTAATTAAGTAATTTCCTTTTATTTCAAATAATGAAGAATTTACATTCAGTCTCAGAATACTTTCATTATGGTCTCGTTTAAGTTTAAATGAAAAAGGTAGGATCAGGTATCAGTAATGAAAAGGAGTTCCTGTATTTGATCATTTTAATCCTGTCTTGATCCATTATTCATTAATATTTTGGCTACCCCTTGTATGATTAAATTAGAAATTTATTTCTGTGTTGAAATAATTTGGTTACAGCAGTATAAATACTTACCAAAATATAAATATTAAATTAACTCTTGGAATAATAATATTATGGCACATACTGACATAGGGCCTCGTGATTTGAGTATTTCACTGAGACTGAGTTCTGAAAAGTGATAAAATGTGTTTCGCTAATTTTTTTGCACATGTCTTTAGTATCAAAATATATTCAATAATATTATTTTAATAAATATCCTCATGTAAATAACAGCATATGGTGCTTAATATAATAATAGTTTGATCATGAGAGTGTCAAACAAAGGGACGTAACTCGTAAATTACTATCGGCCCCGCTTCGTCAGAAATATCGACACATCGAAGTGGCACATTTGCGTATTACAGCGTATTAAGTGGCACAAATTTGACATGTCATAGTCAAAGTTAGGTTACATGACATAATTTAAATTCAGCATAGCTTCCCGAGAAGTTAAGAAAGAAAATTACGATTTTAATTTCCAGTGACCGATTTTTTTGGTCAACACCAGACTTTGAAGACACATTTTGAGAGAAAAAATTAGTTTAATCCATAATTGAGTGGATCAATATATTTCTTATATACTCAAGAATGTTCACTTAAAAGCAAATTAGTTTTAATTCATGCAAAAAACTACAAATTCCAAAAAACGGGCTTCACTTTTTTTGGTAAAAAAATGCCCATATATGGTAATCACATGACTTCCATTGTTGCTTTAAGAAATGGGGTCAAACCGGGGTCAGCTTTCCGACTGTATGTTGTCAGTTTATATTCAGTGAATTCTGATAAAACGTTTTTAGTTTAAAAATATATGATATAAAAATAAGAAGAAATGGTACTATGATTGCCAATGAGACAACTATCAGACAAAATGGCACAGAAATTAACAATTATAGGTCAACGTACGGCCTTCAACAATGAATAAAACCCATACCGCATAGTCAGCTATAAAGGGCCCCGAAATGACAAATGTGAAACAATTCAAACGAGAAAACTAACGGCCTCATTTGTGTACAAAATGATAAACGAAAATAGATATAATATGCAGTATAATTATATAAGACCTCAAAAACAAGAATGCAATAAATGACTAATGGGTTTCGTATCGCTTACATATATATTGACAGTTGTTCACTCATGCAATTTCAAGTCTCCGCCCTCCTGTATAACGACAATTTTCACTGGCTTACAAAACTACAAATGAAAAGCGATATGAGCACATAACATCAAAACTGGACTTCAAGTTGATAATAAACCATGAATGTAAGTAAAATACAAATTAATTGTTTAACGTAAAATGTGATTAAATTTCGACTACATATGCAATTGTTTACTTTTGTATACACTTCCATTGGTCTAATCGTTTTTTTCGAAAAACATCTTAAAGACTAATGGATGTAGCAAAGTACAGAAAAATATGTAACACAGCACTGCTAGTTATTTATATTGTTCAAATTTGTTCATATTTCCTTTTAATTTCATTTTTGACAAATTATTGCAATTTATAGTTTAGGATTACCGGCATCATAATTTTGTTGCACATATGTTCTAATAGATTAAAATCTTTTAGTACAGTGAAGTATTTGATCGTGTGAAATGAGATAGAACTATAAAAAGACATGAAACATAAAACAACTTTTATAATGATAATATTTCATCAGATTTTTTACAATTAATTTTAATGTAGAAACTCGTTGATTGATCATAAGAAACATTAATGGTTAAAGTTATCGGGTCATCTGAAATAGTATATCCAATTCTAATTAACTTAATGAGAAAATAGACACATTGTGAGGTAAATGGGTAAACCTCACATCAATTTTATATAGTAAATGAAATTTGTTATAAAGTCGCATAAGAACATCTTTCATGAATAATATGAATAAAAGGAGATGAGGGTGATAATAATCCAACAACACAACAAAACAATCATCTAGAGGTTAAAATATTTTACAGGTTCAACAATCGACAAGTGTTTGTATGATATGACAAGCCTTTTATCACACTGAGTCTAAAATGTTCTTATATACTGCACATGCAAATACATCAAAATCATTTTGAGTATTAAAACAAGTGTGGACACAGATCCGTGTGGATAGTAATTGTTAAATTTGTGTTAGTATGTTTGACAGTGTTATCGTCACCGAGTTTATGTATTGGTTGTGCCCCTATCAGATGTTTTTTCGGCGATTTCTTTATCTTTCACATAGGGTTCTATATTAAAGTGTGTTCCACGTTGACGATCATCTTGCCTTTTCAGAAAAGAAGCAAAAGCTCAAAATTGGCATTGTGCAGGGTTCGAATAATTTGCCGTGTGGGCAGTGATCTTCCTACATTACATGTCTGAAAGAGACAACGACTTGCTTAAGAAATTTCTATACTGCCAATTACAGGCATAAAATTATGTAAAAATTATCTTTCTGTTTTTCGGCATTAGTCAGCTGCCGTGTCATTTTATAACAGAGCCGCTCATAATTGATATTTAGAACATTAAGTGCTTTCTATCCAATGAAAACGCTGGGAATAAAACTTGCCAATTACAGCTTTAGTACATTACTATTCCGCTCTAGTGACAATGTTTATTTTCAGAGAGGCACCAGAACTCAAAATTAGTAGAGGAACACTCTAGGTGCACAATTTGGATTTTAATGTGTGAACTAGTTTTGATTAAGCTGTATGGTTTTATGATGCTCCACTCTAATAGTCATATTTTATCTCGGGATGAATACAAAATCGCAAATACTCATATATAGAATCACCCTAGTAATACAGTGTTTGAATATGTGAGCAGCTTCTGAGAAGCTTTGTATATGTATTTCACATAGTTCTATATTAAATTGTGTTTGTGTTCTGTGGTGGTGGCCATCTTGAATTTGATTTGGCAACAACAACTCAAAATTGGTTTAAAGCTATCTATGGATCATTTTTACAATATTTTGAATAAATATGCAAAGAAATCCCTAAGATATATGCAATTGAAGGTAATCATAATACATGTTTGACCCTTACGAATCTCAGATCAACACCAAAAAATATAATTTGGTGACGTACCTTGAAATATGAAAATTCCTGCCAATTCTGGTTTAAGTTGTGAGTATCAAAACCAAACATTGCTAGCTAAACAGAACAGTTATCACTGTATCGACTGCATAACTATGGAGCACATTTGTTTTACTAAAAGGTAAACACGCAAGACAAAATCGCTTCGAAAATATAGACCGGAAAATACACACTAAATAGACAGAACGACAGACAGATAGACATATAGATTAGGTCGTTGGTTTTCTTGTTGGAATTGTTTCACTTTTTTCATGTCGGTGCCAATTAAAGCTGATTAAACGGTATATGACCTTTTTTAAATTGTTTATGGCGGTATAGTGACCTATAGATAATTACGTATATCCACGTCATTTGAACTCTGTTGAATTGTTGTCTCAATGGCAATCATAGAACATCTCCTTATCTGTAGATACATCATTGTTGTAAGAGTTGTTTTACTACTAATTCCTTGGTTACCATCACTCAAACAGGACTTTTTTACGATATGATTTAATAAAACTTGTTTATTCTTTCAGTTAATACAGTGGCTGTATATAATTATCAGTCTTCAAGTACAGGTATGAATAAAATAATAAAAGCAATCATTTCATTTTTTTAAATTTTGGAAATGCTAATTTTGTTTTATTTACATAATAGTATTCTGCTAAAGAGAGACTATAGGGCAAAACATAAAAATCAATATGTACCACCAATAACATTGGTTAAAATAACAAGATATTTACCTCTTAAAGTTTTTAAATATTAGAGAACTTACAGGTATCTTATATTTAATATAATACAGTTTCTGTTCACTTCACTTTATCAAAGTATTCTTTTTTCACAGTTATATCTTAGAAACTTCCTTTTATTTCTAGATAAAGATTGCCACAAGTGAACAAAATGGTAATGTAAAAGGTTTATTAATGCACTTGCTTTACTAGTTCATATATCAATACGAATTTTTAAAATCACCATCATACTTCAATTTAAAATTATAAATCTAGACATATTGTTGCTCTTGAAACAGAGTACATGTTAAAAATAGTCTTTTAGTATAAAACATTTATATATTTTATTCTTACTTGATAGAATCCAAAAACGAAAGGAATCCATCTGTCATTGTTAGAAAGAGCATGTTTTATGTAATTTTCATTTTCAGTGTTTCTATAATTTATTTTAATAACATTTAAAAAAATTAATGTCCTAATTTAGATTACAGACACAATTAAATATGGCAATAACAGCTATTAAGGTTTGCTTTGCCAGAGCAGACATTTGTTACTTTATATATTTATTTATTTATCATATCAATTCACAAACCAATTCCTCGATTGTTTTTTCTTTGCAAACGTTTTGTTCTGCATGTTTTGATTTTTAGTTAATTGATTATAATTATTTTCACATATACGGAAGTTGTGTATCATCGTTTAAGCACATTGCTAAATGAGTCAAACAAATTCAACCTTGAGATTCCTGAAAATTGTCTTCCAGCCGGATATTACTGTTTAGCTGATATCCAATATGACGACCTCATTCATATTGATTTCCAATTGGATCGAGCAGGAGAACCCGTTAATTACGTGTATGCACAGAATGCAACAGATAACACACCACTTCCAGATTGCAGTCCAAAATATGATCCTTCCAGTAATGTTTACCACATGCGCATAACAGTCAATACAACATCACATGAGCAAATCAGTCCGTCATCGCCATGCGGGGTCTTGTTTGTAAGTGATATTAATGGAATAAGGCGCAAAATAAGATCATGAATTATCATTGTATATATAAAATTGAGAATGGAAACGGGGAATGTGTCAAAGAGACAACAACCCGACCATAGAGCAGACAACAGCCGAAGGCCACCAATGGGTCTTCAATGCAGAGAGAAACTCCCGCACCCGGAGGCGTCCTTCAGCTGTCCCCTAAACAAATATGTATACTAGTTCAGTGATAATGGACGTCATACTAAACTCCAAATTATACACAAGAAACTAAAATTAAAAATGATACAAGACTAACAAAGGCCAGAGGCTCCTGACTTGGGACAGGCGCAAAAATGCGGCGGGGTTAAACATGTTTTTTGAGATCTCAACCCTCCCCCTTTACCTCTAGCCAATGTAGAAAAAACAAACGTACAACAGTACGCACAGTAAAACTCAGTTTAAGAGAAGTCCGAGTATATACATTTATTTGTCCACACGAAAACGGCTTGTTTCTGGAGAACCAGTAAAATATCAATGAACTGTAGAGTAATTGACCTTTATGTAAATAGCACATCCATGTTTCTGTTATAGCTTCGTTTACTTCGTGACCATAAGTATCATTTACATAAAATTTGGACTCAATATATACACCAGTGCTGGTTTCAGTTCTATGATTAGTTTTACAAACAATGTACGAGTTACCAGATACATTTCGTTTTGTTTTCTGTTGTTTTTTTTTTTGTGTTTTTTTTTGTAGTCTGGCAATATGTATACTGTTAAACTGAAAGCTTTTGCAAGTGAAGGTTTGATATCCGACAGTGACAGTTTGTTTACTATCAGATGTGAATCCAGTATAGAAAGCAGTACAGTTGGAACTGTCAAAGTCGGGTATTATTTTACTTTAGGCTTACATTTTACAAATTAAAACTGTTCCCGGTAGAATATTTTTGGTAGTTAATTTGTACATAATATATAGTTCGTTTTGACTGATTGTTCTTATGATCAGCAACAATACAGTCGATCATATCCTCAAAATATCTGTAATTACTCAGTTAAATTAGATTTTAACAGAGGAAATACGATTTATTTCACAATGAAGCACACCAACTTTCGTGTTTTACTAATAAAGTTGTAAATTGCGAGATCAAATTCGAAAACAAACTCATTCAAGTTTGAAAGGAAAGTCATGACGTCATTCTTGCAAACGCACAAGTTCGCCACTGTAATGATTCCCATATTAAAAATAAAATCTGTATTTTCCCGAGCTGACAAAACAAAAGATTTTGCATATTATCGTTTGACAAAGAGACAAAGTCAATAAAGAGCCGAGAGAACTAATCAATTTGATATTGTGTCAAGCATAACCTTAGGAAAATAAGGACAAAATAATAAATAATAAATCTAGAAGAATCTTAGCTAGCCACGGGTTACAATCCAGTCCCCTCCTCTCCACCCTTGACGAATTAAGATAGAATATCGGATCTACGAGGTAATAATTCCCATTGGTCGCAGTTGTAGGTGGCTGCATCCAATCAAAAAGCGCCTTTAAGATGATCACGTGTAAATGTAGAAAATGTAAATAAAAAATTGCCACGTGCTTATTGTGCAGCATGTCTTTACCCCAAAATCATAGGACGATATTTAGTGACAATTTAAATGAACTAATTGGAGTTCTTGTGTATTTTTCTTTGCGAAAATGTTGGAATGTCAACGTATTTTTTCGGTTTCTGCTTCACGAAATTGGTAAACACTAGACACAACTTTTTTTACACCTCCACACTGAAGAGAGTTCTTGAACTACTATTTGTCAAGAATGATGTAATCGGAATGGGTGTGACTTTTATCTACTGGTAGATGGCGCTGCATTGTAATCACAAATGTTGGCTTAATCTGCCAAGGGTGGAGAGGAGGGGACTGGATCGTAACCATTGGCTAGCGAAGATGATTTAGAAGATAAGTTGTGCAAATTGGATCGACCGGAATGATGGGTGTTTAATAAATAATGCCATCGGAAAAAGAGGGAATGTTGGATAAAGCAACCATTTAAATAGTTATCAAAGGTACCAGGATTATAATTTAATACGCCAGACGCACGTTTCGTCTACATAAGACTCATCAGTGACGCTCAGATCAAAATAGTTATAAAGCCAAACAAGTTCAAAGTTGAAGAGCATTGAGGGCCCAAAATTCCAAAAAGTTGTGCCAAATACGGCTAAGGTAATCTATTCTTGGGATAAGAAAATCCTTAGTTTTCCGAAAAATTCAAAGTTTTGTAACAGGAAATTTGTAAAAATGACCATATAATTGATATTCATGTCAACACCGAAGTGCAGACTACTGGGCTGGTGATACCCTCGGGGACGAAACGTCCACCAGCAGCGGCATCGACCCAGTGGTGTAAATAGTTATCAAAGGTACCAGGATTATAATTTAATACGCCAGACGCACGTTTCGTCTACATAAGACTCATCAGTGACGCTCATATCAAAATAGTTATAAAGCCAAACAAGTACAAAGTTGAAGAGCATTGAGGACCTAAAATTTCAAAACGTTGTGCCAAATACGGCTAAGGTAATCTATTCCTGTGATAAGAAAATCCTTAGTTTTCCGAAAAATTCAAAGTTTTGTAACAGGCAATTTATAAAAATGACCATATAATTGATATTCATGTCAACACCGAAGTGCAGACTACTGGGCTGGTGATACCCTCGGGACGAAACGTCCACCAGCAGCAGCATCGACCCAGTGGTGTAAATAGTTATCAAAGGTACCAGGATTATAATTTAATACGCCAGACGTGCGTTTCGTCTACGTAAGACTCATCAGTGAAGCTCAGATCAAAATAGTTATAAAGCCAAACAAGTTCAAAGTTGAAGAGCATTGAGGACCCAAAATTCCAAAAAGTTGTGCCAAATACGGATAAGGTAATCTATTCCTGTATTCAAAATACAACATCCCATCTACGGACCCATTAAAGAATCGATGCAAGTTTGTTTTTGTTTTCAAGTAAAGATAACGTTACACTTTCTCTTTAAACGATGCTTTGGGTTAATTTTTTAAAACACAAAATATGTGTATTCGAAAAATGTGCATGAGAAAATATTCTAATCTAATACTTAATATTTACCAAATATTTCAGAAATATAGAACATATATCTTTAATTGGAATTTTTCTCAAATCAACACTGGAAGTTTTGGTGTCTCCCGACTGGAAAGCGGGATTTAGTGCTAATATTGGTGATAAGGTCAAACTCAAGTTTACCTTGACTTTTACCGGTGCAAAGGGTAAGTAAACAATGCTATAATAAAATTGAATATATTTGATAAAACGTTTTAACATAATCATTTGGTGTAATTTGTAACACTATTTGTAATCGGTTTTAAATTAAAACCTTTAACTCATCTTTGTGCACTAAAAATAGTAATGTGCTGCCTCTATTAAAATTCAAAATCATGTGTAGTTTATTTTGAATTTTTTTCTTGTTTTTTGGACTTTCAAAAAACATATATAATAAAGGTACATTAAAAAACAGTTTATCTAAAATAATCAGCAGCAATTGTTTCATATACATTGTACTTGAATGTAATATCATAAGCTAGTTTGTATATTGTTGACAGAAAACGTGGATATCATAGGTGCTCGTTTGGTAGGGTTGACAGTTGCTCCGACGAACAATTTCCAACCTATAAATAGAACAATGATGGATTCAGATGGGTATGATTTATTTTTGACATTAAATAAAAAAATATTAGTATCCATAAAGATTCGATCTCAATGACGTAAGAAAAGTTATAGAAATGTTATTTGTTTTTCCTGATCATGTACAAACATTTAACTTTTGTACGCGCCAGTGAAATAGTGTCTTTAAAAAAAAAACATTAAAGCTCTATTATTGTCAGTAACTTTATACTAGTAATGGTGTTTGGACGAACAAAATGAAATGTAAAACAAAAAGAAAAAGTTCCATAAAGCACCAAACGCAGATAACTGTAAGATGTTAATGTTATAAAAAAAAAGGCGATGTGGTATGATTGCCAAAGAGACAACTATTCATCAAAGTTCAAATATGATATAAAAAAACCAACTAATAGCATACAGCTCTCTAACAAGCTGTTGTGTTTATTTCTTCTTCTAATATAGCATCTGCTATTTGAAAGAGGAAAGGTTTAAGTGCTAAGAAAACTAATATAAGACCGATAAGTATTCATATGCATTTTCAACAGCACGAACCTCAATGGTGTATATGTGGTAAACTTCAAAGGAAAGATTACATTTAATAGTTAAATCATCAAATGATTTTGATAGCATTATAAACATGACTAAGCGCTCACAAACATGTTTCACGATGCCACATTTTTTCTGTGGCTATATTTAGCCAGAAGCATGTAATTTAGTGGTTGTCTGCCATTTGTGTTTCTAATTACTGTTTTACCTTATATCACGAATTTGTTTTTTCTTCAATTGGTTCGTTTCACATTTTGTCATGCTTTTTATAGCTTGTGTAACAACAATTTCATATAACAATATATACTATGTCTTACTTTATTTTTCTATATACAGCTGTCCAGTAAATCATTCACAAAACGTATTAGAAGTGTCTGGGCCATTTGAAACAGAATCAAATGGAACATCACCATTTATAGCGTATTCTCCGGAGTTTGAAATTGCCCGTTTCGTTGATTATCCTGTTTTACATTTCCGTGTGGACATAGAATACTGTTTTACTTTAGATTGTTTTCAAGTAAGTGTTATCTTATTAAACAAAACAATCTAAATTGGAGGCAACAGTAGTTAACCGATGTTCAAATCTCATAAATCCATTTAGAACATACAAATCAAAGAAAAAAAAACATAACTCGAGGGACTTGCATAAACTCCAAAATGACGATGCGTCGACATGGTAATGCTTGCATTACCGCCGTAAATTATTCAGTACTGATCAAAGATAAATTCACTTCATATTATCATCAATATATGTTAAGAAGTGTTTTTATCACAATTTCCGTGCATTGAAAATAAGGATATTTGGTAGTTACTTTCACTGAATGTGCAGTTCACAATTGCTGTCCGTGATTTGAACTAATACATATTTAACCTACTCAAGGTAATTGCCGCTTTATATTCTACTTTATGTACCTTATCACCAAACACTACACAAAACCTAAAGACTTAAGCAACACCAAACGCTCCAAAAACTGGGGGACCTTAGGTGTTCCTGAAGGGTAAAATATTAGATAGATTTGTTTATGTTAAACCGACTTACCTATGAACATTGCACAAAAGTATGAGACGTACACACTTGAAAACAACAAGTAAGTATTTCTAAGTTCATTTTGTATTTCTAAGTCCATTTTGTATTTCTAAAATTATTTGAAGTAAGTATGGTATTAACAATCTTTTGTTTTAGAACATGTGTAGTAACAGAAAGAAACGAGCTTTGGATGACAGTAATTCTAAGCAAATAGTTACTCAGTCCCAATTAACAGTCTTTAATCCATATTCAGAAGATTCACTGAGTAAGTTTTGCAAATAATTTTCCCATTCAAGAGACATAATCACCATCATGTATAATGCCCTATCTTGATGGGAATGAGAAAAATAGCCGCCAGATTTTTTTCGCCGAAATTACAATTGTTTAAATAAAAAAGACATCGACTGATAAACAATTTGTCATGTTGCTAATTAAATACGTATGAAATGTCTTAACTGTATTGAATGTGCATAAAATGAAAAAATGGAGTATATCTGTGAAGAGCATCTGCATTAATTATAATTAAATTTAAGTTAATAAAATAACAACAACAAAAACAATAATTTAATCTAGTACTAGAGTTTGTGCATAAGTAATCGATTTTTTCTGGTTTTAAATCCGCATTGACTCAAAACGCTTTAAAATATTTCAATGAGAATCCCTTAAGGTAATTTTGTATGGGAATCATATTGCTTAATCGCTCTATGTCCACTGTGCAATATTAATCATGTTAATAGATAGAATAAAACAAATAGCGTATTATATAATAGTGGAAACAATGATCTTGTTTGAGCTTACCAACCATTGATACATGTAGCATGTGTAGTATATCGTGCTACGTATTGGCTCGAAAGTGAATGTTCTATATACATGTTAAGTGAGGTTTGGTTTTGTCATGCTGATGATATATCTGCTAAATGAAGAGTATTTGATTTCTACTTTGTAAATCTTCACTTTCCTTCCATTAAAGTTACCTAGTAGTTAATTTGACATCAATGTTATACAGATCAAGTTAGTGGAAGACTATAATTTGTTTTTTGATATGTATGAAATCATTGCTATTGGGCATCACGATTTAGTCAATCATTACTTATCTAACAAATCAATCATTCAAGTCGAGTTGTGTTATGACAAAAATTGATAATCCATGAAGCCTAATACATGTTTAGGAAATAAACTATTGACTTATACGTTAAGCTAATTCATTGAATATTATTCAGATCATATATTAACTCATCATAGATACCAGGCTTAAAATTAAGTACGCCTTACTCATCAGTGACGCTCGAAGAAAAAAAAAAGAGTTAAAAAGGCCAAATGCAGTACGAAGTTGAAGAGCACTGAGGTCCAAAAATTCCAAGAGGTTTTTTGCCGTATACAGCTAAGGTTATATATTCCTGGGTAGATATCCTTATATTTTCGACAAATTAAATGATTTGTAAACAGTTAATTTATAAGTCTGATAATTCATGTCAACACAGCTATGTTGAATATATGTTAGTAATGTAGTTAGTAATTGTCGTTACGGACAGCATTTAGTAAACTAAAATAATAGTACTTAAAAGAACATAATAGCATATGACCTCAAAAAGATTAAAATATGTCCTTAAGATAAATTGACAGAGGAAATTACAAGCCACTACTGAAATGCATATCAAACAGCAACACACATGTAAATCGTCAAGCATTTAACGTTACGATTCATGGCAACGTAAAATTTTAAAAGTGAGTCGAGTACCTATGGTATATCCAGTTTTTTTCTTAAAAACGGTAGTACGTTGGCATATAGAGCGCTGTCTCAGTTTATACTTAGAATGTATTCTACTTTGTTTGGTAATCTGTCCCGAATTGCATCGGGTAACTTTTTGCACAATATCTACGTATGAATCTATATTTATGTGTGATTAACTTTCTTTGATATTCCGAATCACTTTGAGGAGATAATGTTTGAATTAAACTGTAGCGGATCACAAGAACAGACTGGTAAATGCCCTTGATCTAAAGCCATTATGCATGTATTAATAACCATTACTTAAAATGATACACAATTACGGCACTCGAACTATACCAAACTTATCTTATCATCTTCTATATACATATAATGTGAATCAGTAAGAATATTACCAGCAATAACTAGAAAGGAAATGAATTGTTATGCTTTTAGAGTTTTTTTTAATATGAATTTAAACATTTGACATTATTCATTGATATTATGAATAGTGCTATTTTACTGAGTTTTTTCTTCTTCTTTAGATTCACAAAACAGCCCTTGTTACAGCAGTACGACGTTTGTGGCAATTGTCTCTACACTGTTAGGTCTAATACTTTTGGAGGGTTTGGTTTTATTGTTTGAAGCAAAGAAATTACAAATAGTAAAAACAAAGGTAATTTGATTTATTGGAGAATACATGCAATGTCTTGCTTCGCGTACCGTAATAATTTCAAATCGCGCCTACGTTTGCATGTCTGAATTATGTTTAAGTACTTCGAATAAATAGTACATTTTGGTATTACGTAAAAAAGCAACAAATTAGTTACGCTCGAATTAACAGTTGGACGGTGATATCAAATACGAAGTTGGCTAGCTTCAAACACCAACACTTTCGATACGTTGTTGCGCTCTATACCTGGGGTAAATTAGACAACAACCTAAAACACATTAGAATTAGCTGGAGAACAAAACGCTGTCTTAAACAATTATAGACAAGTGTATCCGTAAACACTAATGTGAACGCTTATAACTGATTATCAAATATATGCCATAAAAAGTAAATTAACAAAAATACCGAATTCCGAACAACTGTCATATTCCTGACTTGGTACAGGCAATTCCTCATGTTGAAAATGGTGGATTAAACCTGTTTTTATAGCTAGCTAAACCTCTCACTTGTATGACAGTCGCATAAAATTCCATTATACTAACAACAATTTGTGAAAAAAAAACAGACATAATAGGTAAAAATGTCAAAAATAGAGGTACAGCAGTAAACATTGTGTTATTATCTTAATCACTATAAAAGCAAACAAATATATCAACGAAGAAAAACAAAATGGCATACAGAAAAAGAACATAAAATAACACTTTGAATGACCAAAGAAATAAGACATGCTGAAGAAAACCACCAAAGAGGTTCATTACCTGAGAAAAACAAGTAAAAATGTGGAAAGGTTTAACAAGTTATTTTGTATCTCAACCCATTCCATTTCAATCTCTTTTGAAAAACAAAAGGTATTTCAATCAATTTAGAATAACAAAAGGTATATAGAAGAATTTACAACTGTCTAAAACTGGTATAAAAGCTAACAGAAACACAGGTATAAGCTGTAAGGATTTATGAGGAATTGTGTTCCTTGTGGGAAGGTTAAAGCTCAATGTCAAAATATTGATCACTGTTTTGGTTTTTGCATGACGCCTTATTTGTTGAATCATTGTTTGACTAACTTTCAGTGCAGTTTCGAATACACACACTACATGATTATTTACACAAAAGTAATAAATATGCGTTTTGTGTACCATAATGCCACAATAAAGTGCTTATTTCCTATGATGGCAATGTTGTTTTTTTTTCTCAAATATTGAGTCCAATTTGTTTATATCATTTCTTTAAGAGTGCTTTGGAAAAATCGTCCATGAACGTCTATCATTGTTTGCAGGTATCTCCAAGTCAAAGCATTTCGTTTGAGAAAGTACCATTGTGTGATTCGGAATATAAAAATCCTGTTAATGGTTACCATCCACCAAAACAACATAACATAGGACATTTTGTTATGTGATTATTTACTCGGCCAACGAGCCATCAACGAGTGTTTAAAACTTTCGGAGTTGATTATTGTTTTGATAAACCCTGGTTTTTAGTTCCTGCATACGCTTTCATTGTGATTTAAATTCTTATGTTCTTTATTTTTGTTTGTAAAAGATTTCAAAAGGCTTTAGTTTGTACAGCAGGTTGTATAAATATTGAGCGCAAAGTTATTTCAATCTGTTTAACGTGATGATTATTTGTCCACGCTCCACTTACAATGATCTAAAAAAACGCTCTGTTTTATAGACCTTTCGGAATCCTCTGGTCATGTTGCAATGATACACACCTTGACAAATTAGGATATAATTTTCCTTGGCTGATGTAATATTTACTGAAACAGAAAGTTTAAAGGAGTGTTGTCAGATCCGTATAAGCAAAGAGTTAACACAAGATCTTTATTTTAATCAAATTAAAGTTAATTGAAAAAATTTGAGCGGGAATATGTTTGATTAGACACATTAAAGGTTTTTAAAATGAGAGACTAAATATACCAAAGGGACATCCAAACTCATAAGTCGAGAATAAACACACAAAAAAAAGTATACAAAACACAACATAGGAAACTGAAGACTGGGCTACACGAAACCAACCAAAAACTGGGGGTGATCTCAGGTGCTCCGGAAGGGTAAGTAGATCCTGCTCCACATGTGGCACCAGTCGTGTTACTCAAATATGTACAAACCCGATGATGAGTCGGTCACATTTGGGGAAAAGGAGAACGGAATTGTGATAACGACGATGAGAACATTTTCGTTGTCATCTGTGAAACAGATATTCCATCACGGTCAATCAACTCGTGACAGAGTCAACAAAATTAAGGAATATTTCTGCTGAAATCTAAATTCATTGAAAGTTTGAATGCAGCTTTGTGAATAAATGCTTATCTTTCAACTTGTGTTTGTTTTCTTACAGGGAATACCCAGTAACACTCCTGCTTGTCAAAAGTCAGCAAATTTTCCTTGGTTTTCTTATCTCGTACCTTTTAAAATGTTCTTTATTACGCTATTTGTTGTTGCTGAAAGATCTTTAATAATTTTAGTTTAATTAATTCACAACTTTTGATTAGACATTGAAACACATTTATAAGTTAATATATTGTATAGACACCCATCTATTGTAGAAGACTGTATTTTAACCTCTGACTGTCTTATGTTTTTGTGTGTGTCGTTGTATAGTTCTTTCATTGGTTTATACCCAACATTTTCTAAAATTTCATTTTCATTTTTCATGAAATGAAATTGGAGATATCAAAAGGAATTTTAAGAATGTATAGCCTACACGTACGCATTATAGGGATCCCGGTTAACAAGACTTTCAGATGAAACCCGTGCTCTTTTCCTCATTTATGACACCACAAAATACTATATTGCATCAGATTCCTCACTAAAATAAGTAACAGTATCGATGTCACTAAATGAGCAAGAAACTACTTACCCTTTTTGAGCACCTAAATTAATCCCGATTATGAGTGGTGTCCATATTTTAAATTAGAAAACCAATCATTTCTAATTCAATCATCAGATTTTTGTCTTATTGACATTTGCTTCGCATATCCTTTTATTTTTATTATAAGGAGATGCTTATTCAGAGCTTTCCAGTGGGAAATCTAGTGACAAAATATAACCGTCCCTGTAAAAACTGAAAACTAGATCTTTTCAATGTTTGTTCCATTTTAGCAAGGACGCTATCAATTATAAATTCACGGGAAAACGTTCTGGTAAATAATAAAATAGAAATAAGTAGAAATAAAAACAAAACTTCTATTTAATACTATCATTTCCCTCCTTAAATAGAAAACGACGAGTTCAGCAGACTAAAAGAGCTTGGTATAAAATTGGTTTAAAATGTTGCTATGCGAACAAATTCCTGGAGTACCAAATTCAATCTATTTTTTTACTGGCTGTATTCCTCTCTGAAACATGCAAATTATCCGTATATATGCAGCTAGATCAGAAAAAAGTGAGGGAAAAAAATCCAAAGGATCGATTGATATGTAGCAAAGATTGGCATTTTTGAAATTAAGTTACTAAGCAAATTCAAACGGACATTATCCCGATGTAAACATTGAATGTGAATAGATCGAGAAGACCGCAAATACATGTACAAAAATCGAGACGACCTTTTCTTAAAATTGTATAAAATAGTAAAAAGATGCCTACTTTATAAGAATATTCATCTTTAATTGTTTAACCTGCACAGACAGACTTTTATAATGGTATATTCATGAAAAGACCATATTTCTTAATTAAATTGTTATGTGGCAAGAGCAGATCGGTGTACTCGAAAACTTAGAATGTGAAAAATAGGTATATTTGGGGAAATTGTAACATGCTAAGGACTATGTGGAACACTCCAAAAATCGGTGACTATCTATAGATTTGGTATGTACAGGATTTTTTTCAATTTTTTTTATCAATATGAAGCAAAGATTGGCATTTTTTAGAATTCAGTTTCACAAGCGTCTAATGCAAGTATCTCGATAAATACTGAGCATAAAACATCGTGTATTTGCATGTATATTTCTTATAACACAGTTTAACAAATAATTTCTTTAAAATGTACAATTGTTATTTAGAAATAACTCTTGATCAGGGTCGTCACCGGCATTGTTTTATTATTGATTTTCTCAACCCTATCATAAGAAGAGGTAATTTTCTTTTGTTCTTTTTCACTAGATTTCCCACTGTTTTACGTTATATTTTGGCATTTATTTGTCTCTGCTAAGGACCATTATTCTAATGTGAAATAGTATTAACGGTACAATTATTACTGCGCCAGATTCGCATTACGACAATTATTGTCTCTTCAGTGATTCTCGAGGTCTAAATATTTGAAACAAAAATAGCTGATGAGATAAAAAAAAAAAAGGGACATTAAGTATAGCCAAATCCGGAGGGAGAAATAATCCTTAATATAAAATAATTTCCAAAATGATAGATTTATATTGCCAGTAACATTTTATTGTAAAAAAAATAGATAGCTGTGTATAAAAAGTTTGAACATGAAAAGAAAAATACATTAGACATATTAAGCAGTAGTACAAAAAAATTGACACCGCTGAAATTAGTTTTATTTTGTTTTTTTGTTGATTTTGTCACGAGTTGATTGACCGTTATGGAATATCTATTTCACAGATGAGAACGAATATGTTCCAATCTCCTTATTTTCATATTTGATAGCTAGAATGTGTACTATAAAATTGCCTTTGTAGCGTGCTATAACTTCATATTGGGATAGGAAGAGTTAAAGCATCTTTAATCAAGTAGTCGGTATTGTCATGATTTGTATGATACCCTTTTTCGTAAATTCGAGATAAAAAAACGTGTGTAATTTATGTTAGTTCAAATTTAATTCAATCCCTAGTCAATACACAGTTTTGACTGTTGCTTTGGTTCTGGTGCTCTCATACGTTTTACAATTTAGCTTTCCATTATTATTTTGTTTTGGCCTTGAACGTACCTGATGTTTTTTTATTCAAGAAACACATTTCTTGTTTAACATGTGTTTTAACCAGCAGTCGTTTTTCCTATAGAATATCATGTGTCAAGTAGCTAACACTTTGGTTGCCTGTCTTAAATAATCCGTTTATTTTTAAATTACCAGATATCTAATTATATAACTGTGCCAAAATCAAGAGTGATCATTTCAATAGACAATAGACAATAGACAATACTTTATTATTAAACCTCAGACACATAGGTGTACAAGAGGACATCGTATATACACGTATACACATTTTTATACTCAATACATTTACACTACACATAATAATGCATACATGCATGGTAAAATACAGCAAAATGTCAATTTACAAATTACCATAACATTCAACTCAAAAAAGACAAATATAAATCATAAGTATCGTGTAAGTATTTTTAAAAATATTGCTAAGTTTTTGTAAAGTTCTACATGACAAAATGTTAGAAGCTGTTTTAATTTGTACTCCGTTGGATTTGCAGTATAAAATTCTGGTATATATTTATTTCTAAGCAGTTTTATTTCCTGTTTTTGACATTTGAATAGATAATGAAATTCATCTCCTATCCCGTTTCCACAGAGATGACAAATTCGCTCATTTTTTGGTATTCTAGACCATCTTCCCGTTTCTACAGGAAATTTTAAATTTGAGCATCTGAATTTTGCTATATAAATCCTGTCACACAGCTTCAACTTCATTAAATAGGTTTCCAAACGAAATTCCTGTTTGTAATGTGAATAAAATGCTCCTCTTGAAGAGTTATTCATTTGGGAAAACCAATGTTGGATAAATTGGTCATTCAGTTTTTGTGAAATAATGTTCTTTAAACCCAGTTTATCTAATGAAAGTTGATTTTGCCAAATAAAACTAATTCCATTTTCGTCAAATATGGATTTAACGTACGTAATCCATTTAAATTTTGTGGGGTATTGAAAATGTAATTTGAGCATTAATTTATACATAATGGAAGATAACTTGTTATTCTCCAATAATAAACTATTCCAAAACATCACCATTTTACGTTTAACAATAATTTCCAAAGGGAATCTTCCGAGTTCCCCATACACCATATAATTTGGTGTACTGCTTCTTAATTTCAAAATATTTTTGCAAAATTGAAGGTGTATTTTCTCAATGCTATCTTTACTTTCAAATCCCCATACCTCTGAAGCATATTATAAAACAGGACTAACCAATGAGTCAAAAAGTTTAAGCTGCAAATCGACGGGAATACATATATTTTTTATTTTTCGGTATAGAGCATACAAAGACTTCTGTGCTTGATCAAGAAGTTTTTTTCGTGCAGTACAAAAGCTACCATTGTAATTAAAAAGTATACCAAGGTAGCAGTATGAATCAACTATTTCAATGTTTTCTCCATATATCCTAAAATTCTGATTTCTTTTTACTTTCTTTTTACTAAAAATCACTGCTTTAGTTTTGCTTGTGTTAATCTTTAGTTTCCATTTTTTACAATATTCTTCAAAACATACAAGGGTTTTTTGTAATCCTTCTGCACTTTCAGACAATAGCGCAGTGTCATCTGCGTACAGTATAATAAACAATTTAACATACATTTGTAATGATTCCAAGCACAGATTTGAAATATTATCTAGACTTTCTATATTATTTTCCACAAAATAACTTTCTAAATCATTTAGGAACAAAGAAAATAAAAAGGGTGATAAATTTTCACCTTGTTTTACTCCTGTGTGAGATATAAAAAATTCGGAAAATTCATTTCCTTTCTTGACACATGTTTTTATATTTTGATACATATTATAGATCACATTAAATAGTTTACCTTTAATGTTTGATTTTTGCATTTTTTGCCACAATCCCGATCTCCATATAGTGTCAAAAGCGCTTTTAAAGTCTATAAAAGTGCAAAATAGCTTCTTACCAAATGAAAAATATATAGTAATTAAAGAATACAATACAAATATATTATCAACAGTAGAGAATCCTCTACGAAAACCTGCTTGTGATTTTGAAATCAGGTCTACGTGATCTGCATAATTATTTAACCTGTAATTCAACATAGCAGAAAAGGTTTTACTAAAGCATGAATTTAATGTGATTCCTCTATACATTTCGGGATCGGATCTTGATCCTTTATTTTTAAATATAGTTATCATGATTCCATTAGACCAACTGTCTGGGACAATTCCAGTATCTAAAATTAAATTGAATAGCTTAACGTAAATTGGCATTAAATCGTCAATTGTATTCTTTATATATTCATTTAAAATTTCATCACTACCTGAAGCTTTGCCATTTTTTAAATTCGAAACGACCTTTTTAATTTCATCTTCGGTTACTGGACTATTTAAAAATAACTCAACATCGTCTGATAAAGTTTCAAAGTCAAAATTTTGTTCGAAGTCATTTTCTGGCTCGACATTTTCATTTAGGATTTTAAAATGATCATACAATGCTTTTAGAGATATATCGTCATTGTTATCTTTTTTCTTACTATCATTTAGATTATTAAGGATTTTCCATAGAGCTTTTGTATCCTTTTTAGAAATGTTACGCAACTCATCAGCAGCCCTCTGTTGATAGTTTGCAAAAGCCTTATTTAATGTTATTTTATGTTCTTTACTAGCTTGTCTCATCTTACTTCTGTTTTCAGCATTTTTCAAAAAACTATATCTCTTTCGAGCTTTATGAAATTTTTTTCTACTCATCGAGCATTTTCTATTAAACCAAGGTTTTGAATTTTCATGTTTGTAAAAATGTTTATGTTTTTTTATTTTCCCAAACGTTTTTGCCGCCGCATCTTTAAAATTTTTGCTGATATCTAAAACTATATTGTGTATATCATTTTGAGTTGCATCATTATTTACGGACAATTCGTCCAGTTTATTCATAACAGTGGCTAAAATACCTTCGGGATCATTGTGAATTCGATCAGCGTATTCAGATTTCTGTTCACTTTTCCACCTGACAAAAGTTTTATCATTTCTATTGTCGGTAACAATTGAATCTGGTTTACTAAATGTGGCCTGAAGTCTAAAATGTATAAATGAATGACAATCAGAATATAACGGTATAAAGTCAGCAATTTCAAAATAAAAAATCATAGGGAAGAGCATTGATGAAATAATTAAATAACCAACAACACTCGAATCGTTACATGTTTTCTCCCCAATATCTTTATCTGATCCAACTCTTGAATTAGCAATATATAAATTATTTTTTCTGCACAACTCTAACAGTCTATGACCATACTTATTAGGTCTACATGTACACTGAGACACTCTTTGCAAGGTGATTTTGTTTTGAGTCAGATTCTCAAAATCATATAAATACTGTAATATATCAGCATCACAATCTAAATCAAACATACTAACAACTGACTCATCAGGTATAATATAATCGGGTAAAGACCCAGTTTTTGAGTTAAAATCGCCAACTAGGGCAACATAACAATTTTCAGTGTTTGTTAGGATATTCAATTCATTTTCCAATTCTTCAAAAGCTTCTATAGTAGAGTACTTAGAATTTTCAGGTGGTACATAAACACAGCCAAAAATTACATCTGAATTAAGTGACAAAATTGATTTCGAAATTTGAAACCATAAAACAAATTGACTCTCAGTATTATGGAATTTCAACTCTTTTTCTAAACTCTTTCTATAAATAACAACTATCCCACCTGATGCTTTTTTAAATTTTTTTCTATTTTTTGTGACATAAATATAATCGTCTGGTAAGTTTAAATTATCTAGGTCAGTTAACATCGTTTCAACAAAAATACAAATATCATGTTCAAGCAAAATGTCAATGAAATCAGGAGACAATAGTCTTTTCTTAAGGCCACACACATTTAAGAAACACATATTTAAACTACCATTGTTAATTGTATATTTCTTATTCAAAGTTTCATTACTGTACGATTTCTTTTGAGGTTGTCCTCTTGCACCATTCCTCTATCTGCCAGAATTCGGTGGAGCATTTGCGTGCGGTGGACGAGGAGACGGTCCCTGTCGCTGTCTTTTGCTAGGAGGGGTATCACTAGAATAAGACCCTTTTGGGCTCGTGTCATGGTTTGTCGTCGAAGAGCCGGTATGCTCTATTCTAGAGTCCTCTAATACCGTGTCAGGAATGTAGAGCTGATTGTCTATATATAGCCTATCACGCACAAGAGAGGCTTGTCTATTTTGCTGTTTGGCCTGTTTTAACACAGGATACAGTTCCTTCCGCTTTTGTTCAATTTCATGAGGAAATTGTTCCCGTATTCCATACAGTCTACCTTTAAGTCTGGTAGCATTTAAATAAGTTAAAAGTCTGGTGTCTTAGCTTCTATCAGCCAGACACCTTTGATTACAATAATTGTATTCAAACAAATTTGTATAATTAATATTTCTGTTTAACCATGAAAATTCACCGTTTATCATTTAACCATGAAAACAGTGTACTTATAATTTGCTATCAGCCTTCTTAATATAGTGTTGGTAATCATTGTTTTACTTGTAAAAATAGAGCCGGAAGATACCTAGGGGACATTCAAATATCTTAAGTCGAATAGAACTGACAACGCCTAGGCAAAAAACGAAAAACAACGAAAAGATAAACAAGTACACAAAACACTACTGAGAAAACTAAAGACTGGACAACATCAACCCCATCAAAATCCGGGGGTGATCTAAGATGCTCCAGAAGGGTAAGTAGAACCTGTTTTACTTGTGGCCTCCGTCATGTTTTAATTTTAAGACTGGATTTTTTGATAAGTTTTAAGAACCCCTTCGTTGATGTCACTGCTGGTGGACAATTCATGGCCGAAGGTAATACATGCCAAGTAGTCAGAAATTTTGTGTTAAATATCATCGATTTATTCTTTTTCTTTAAATAAAATGTTAAATTATTAGAAATACTTAGGTTTTTCTACCCCAAGACATAGAATGAATGTTTTTAATTTGGCCTTATAACTGTTTTGATTCTAGCGCCAGTGTGGTTTTGCGAAATGCAAGTCTGGCGTACCAAATTATGAGCCTGGTAAATTTGATGACTTTTTACAATCACTGGGTTGAAGCCACTGCTGGTAGACTTTTCGTTCCGAGGGAACAACCAGCAAAGTAGTCAACAAATTTGTATTGAAATGCAATGGTATTTATATGTTTATTAAGTAAATATGCGGTTTAAAAAAAAAATGTTGAATTATTCGAAACACTGATTAAGGTTTGGGTTTTCTAAACGCTTTCATTCGAGCGCCACGTAACTTATTTCTATTGTACGTTATGTTATGTACATCCTGTTTTTCCATAAACCGAGTTCAAAAAAGGGAAGTGTTCGCATAAAACTTTAGTTTTAATCAGCAACATATCAATGTGCTTGATCCAAGCATTGATGCTTTTGGTTTTCTTGGACTTTTGATATTGATTGCAGATTTTATGTTATCTCCAATGATCTCTAAAATTTTATGGAAACATTTAAAGAATTAGTTCGATTTTTATCATAAAGCATTGACGGTTTTCTGTTGAAAACCGTATATTAGTTTCAACATACTAGTATTGTATTTGTTAAATCTAAGCAAATTGGATGAGACACAAGTAAATCATACTTATCAAGTCTTCTCATAATACAATATAAGTATATAAACAATAATAGCATGAGCATGCATGTAAAACAAACAAATTCTTTAGATATTATACGGACTATAAATATAAAGAAGAAAGGAAAAAAGAAGCAAATCCAATTTTTTTCTGTGATGATGAATTAGGTTTTAATGACGATGATCTAAAACCGTATATTTTCTTCAATATTCGGTTTTACCGCATTTTGCGACATTCTTAAAATGTCAGTGTTTGCATTACGATGTTTTTTGTACCATAAATGCTGTACAAGAAGATTGACGGCTAAAGACATGAATCGATTTTGCTTTTGCAATTTAATAAACTTCAGGTTTACTTACTTTTCAACACAACACAGCCAATGACCACTTTGCAAACTCATTATCAGAAGGTCGAAATTAAGAAAAATGTGTCTTTCATAATTGCAAGATTTTATTACAGACAATGTGGTCTAACGAGACAGCAACACAAGGACACAAACAATAACGTTGTTTTTTTTTTTTTTGGAATGTAAAAATACGTCAAACTGAATGAATCTGGTTTATCTATTCTGTTTAAAAGGTTACAGTTTTTGCTGGATAATGTATAATATATACATTTGTGGAATTTTATATTCAGGTGAGAAGTTCGCCTAACATTGTTAACTATGTATTCAAAATAAATTTGCACAAGAAGTATAAGTTACATGAAACACATTAAAAAGTAATAAACAACTTAAAATAACAATTTATATATAAATCATTATTTATAACGAACAAAACGAAATCACAATAACAACAACATTATGATGTAAATGAAAAGCTCTGATCAATACATGTATCTACTCGGGAGTAAGTTCTTTAAGGTACAATCTGATACAACCTGTATTAGCATGATGGACGGAATATTTAACAACTCTCAGAAACGTTCATTGACTATGAGATTTAAACTTTATGACGACATGGGTAACTGTGTACGTCTGATTTCTGTTAGTTGGTACAACCTCACAAAGAAGTACAGAATGGTGCAAAGGAGTGTTGCAAACACTATCGATAACACAGATATCACGGAAATAAAGGCTGAACTGTCAAAACAAGATTCTAAAATAAAATAAAACAGAAATAGTAATTATTATTCAACCAAATGGATTCCATTAAATACATTTGAAAACTGAACTATAACCTAGCGATAAAATAAAACCAATTATTGAGAAAACCAAACCGCATGACTGTCTAAACAAAATTATAAAACACAGAAAATAATAATTTTGTTATCAGAGGACTTAAAACTAAATTTGTCAAAATAGTTTCTAAAACGTAATTATATTATCTGGGCTACGATAACAAGATTTTAGAACATAGATAAAAAGTCTAATCCTTACATATGGTATTTAACTAGAACAAGTTTTTCACGGAAAAATAACTATCTAAAAATATGTGTTTAACATTAAATGAAAGATCCCTTTCCCATGTAACTGCTTAGATACAAAAAAATTTAAAGTGCAAATGAAAATAAATCAAATGTATTTTAAGATAGATTTGATATCTCTCACAATAAAGTTACACACTGCTATTGTTGCAGAATCGTCTAAGGTTGTCTTTATATTAGAAATAAGGAATTGTGGCATGGTTACCAATGAAACAATTATCCACCAGTAACCAAATGACTTGGATGCATGAAACTTATGTTCTGTTCATTCTCCTATTTTAGTGCTTTTTCGGTGTAAACATGGGTTGAATTGTCTTCAACTTTTGATACATTATAATTTTAAACATTTGATTTCTAGTACTTCTCAGTTCATGCATCATATTATTTGGGAAATCTTTCAACTTTGTATTACATCTATTTGGAGAAAATGATGCTATACAAGTTTCTCCAAAGCATGTTGGAATATTTAAATGACGGACGTTAACTCGGTGGCAATGAGCACTAGAAACTCGTTACATGGTCCATAACACTTAAAAACAGCACCTTGAAAATAGTGCTTTTATTTATTACAGTACTATGTTACAAAATGCTTAATTTACGGAGGTAATAAACGATCAAATTGTTAGAATACTCAATGTACATGTATTGTATCAATTTGAGTGTGCTTGCTCCGTGTTTCTACAATAACTTTCATCAAGTTTGCTTGTAACCAGAGATATTATGAGCTGAAAAAAATAAAACGACTATGAGAACCATTGGGTTAATGAGTTTCAACTTTAGACGTAGATTGTTCAGACGTTTTAATTATACCAATACTGAAAGCTTGACTTCTATGTGGAATATACTCACCATCAGATGTTGTAATTTGTTGTAGATCTGACAGAGTGATCAACCTATCAGATACGGTATTTGAGGAATGAACATCACGTTTGCGGCGTTTTGTACAACTCTAAAATCAAATTTATCATCAGTTGTGAAAAATAGTAATGTCTGCATATAAAGAGTGGACCTATTTATAATGTAAATCAATTATACATTAGATATTTCTATATCTCTTTATATTAAAACAATACAAGTTAATAACATTTGATGGTTGTTTAAGAATTCAACACCGCAGACAACATCATTTGATGGTTTTTTCCAAATATAACACTGTAACTGTTACAATAACTTACTTATATTCGAAAATCCTTAAAATATAAATAATGCAGTCGTTTCATTTGACATATCTATCATTTTATTTCGAGGGGAAAGTGTATATCATTACTTACTTGAAGACCTTATTTTTATTTTCTTGTGTTTTTTATTTGGTATTTAACTTTTCAACCCTATTTACACATCTCTAACAAATTTAAATTCAAAGATTGTTATTCTTCAGTTATTTAAAAACGGTCTTCCAAAGATGTGAAAGGGTAACGATGAATGATATGCGCCGTTCTTTCTCAATCTTGACCAGCTACTGATTCGGAAGAACACTTTTTGATATACCGACCAGATTCAATTGAGTATCAATTAAATCTTCAACAATTCATGTCAATGGTCTTTGCTCACATGTAATACACTCAATAGTTATATTTACATCTACATTTGTAGCAATGATATATTGACCTTTTCGTAGGGTTCGTGTTGTTCACCCTTTAGTTTTCTATGTTGTGTTTTGTATAATGTTGTTTGTCTTTTGGTCGGTTTTCCGTTTTTTAATTGCAATGGTATTGTCAGTTCGTTTTCGACTTTGAGTTTTAAGTTTGCATATCTCTCTGGTATCTTCCACCTCTCTTTTATAATATTTTTATGGTTAAGTGTCATCATTTGGAATTTGGCGGCCCTGACATGTGTTGTTTAAAATTGAATAACTATGGTTACATCTTAAAATTCAATATGAAACATTGTTGACTACGTTTTCTTGTTTTTCGAACTCAATTTGTACAGATTAAACATTTGACAAGTCAGTCGCTTAATAGGAAAAAAAGTTGAAGTTGAAACAAAGAAACCTTGTATATTTTTTTCGAACTGGTAAAGTTTTATATGATTTGTTTCTACCAGTATATTATTTACTATGAAACAAATTCCTTGTTTTAGTGAAAAATCTTTATTTGTTGAAGAGTCAAACTGCTTTCCACGACAAATACACAAAAGATGAAATTGTCAAAATACTTGACTTTTTGGTCGACAAAATATTTGTTTAGTTTGGTGGTACATGTATGATGTTTTAGCAGACAGTCGGAATTCCCATGTGTACTAATTGTGCACCACTACTGACCGACTTTTCGTACTCATATGAAGCTGAACTCAAACGGAACCTTCACAAAGACAAGAAGAAAAAAGCATTTTGCAAAACTCTTTAATTTCACTTCCGATATATTAATGACATTATTCAATTATTACATTTCAATGAGTGCTTAGATCTCATCAATCCCAGTGAACTTGAAATTAAGGAAACTACATAAATTACTTGATCTTTTCCTCGATATTGACACGGATGAACGACTTCAAAATAGAATTCGAATCTATGACAAATGTGACGATTTCAACTTTTCAATTGTCAAATTGCCAAATATCAGCAGTAACATACTCTCTGTTCCATCGTATGGCGTTTATACATCTGAGTTAATACGGTATGCTCGTGCATGTTCACACTATACGTACTTCATTAACAGGGGTGTGCTCCTTACACAAAAAAGGCTCCAACAGAGTCATAAGGAAGAACGACTGAAATCGATACTATTCAAGTTTTACGGTCATCATCATGAATTGGTTGATCGATATAATGTATCAGTGTCTCTTCTCACTAGCAACATGTTTTCAAGTCTTAAATTTTAGATACCAGTATAGTCGACTGATCTGTTATGGTACCGATTGTGAAATTTTACTGAGTGTGAATTCGCATGGCGGGTGATGCATGCATAGCAGCAGACGTTTATCATGTCGACGCACCCAGTCTCGCTCCTTATAGAGTTCATGCAACTCCCTCAGTGTGGATATGTTACCTTGATTTGTCTCTTCCTTGTCGATTTACTTACTTCATATACAATACAGAAAGTTAAGAGGATAACTCTTATTTAAAGACAATAAAATGCGTCCTTAATTGTTAATAGAGCCTTTTTTGATAAAATAAGTCTTTGGGCAAACCGATGTCCATAACATTGACTCTTTCTTAGGAATGCCGCTCAAAATGAAAGAGTATTAAAGGAGTTGTATCCAAAACAGGAATTGCGATAGATAACACGAACGCATATTTACGTTTAGATACAACGGTATGTCGCAAAACTAAATAAAGTCTAATGTTATAAAAACAGACAGAAGAAAACTATTCAGGTTCATTAACACAATGTGTTCGGTCTTTACCAAATGTGTGCTTTGTTTCTGCTTATACTTTTTCTTATTCATGTTAAATAACATCACGAACATCATTTTACTTAGTTGTTCAAACAGGTACATCTGTGTAAAATGTGAACGATAACTTTGTTAAAGCGAATGTGTTGTTGACACAATATTTTACTTGTGTCCTTGTAATATCTGTTTATCTTTTCTTTTTCCTTCTTTTTTTCAAATTAATAAAGCTATCTAAACAAACATTGCCATCACGTTGCTTACTGATATCAAGGACCGTAGGATCGTTTGTTCAAGGAGACAAACTTCCAAAGAAAAACATCAAAAGCACCGTTATACTATGATATGTGCTAAAGTATAGTACTCTTCATATAAATACACCATCTATGAAAATTGTGGATGTCATTATAACCCTTGCTCTTATAACATCCATGTATACGTTCCTTATAAGTTGTTATACCACATATAATGCTGATATTATATTATATATAATTTAACATATTTACCGTATCGCAAGAACTGTCATACTTGAAACAAAAGTGTACATTGCAGCGTAGATATATTTCATCATAACCATCAAATCCAACTAACTCGACTTTCCCAGACCTATAAATCTGCGTAATATTATCTGATTTCGTCGAATCATATGTGAAATCTGACATTGGTCGGAAAGGGTCATTTTTATTGCCACTAACACACCTGTAATATTGTCAAAATAGGATTTACACAATTTCATAGTAAACGGATATTTATTGAAAATTAGTTTGTAACATATATCCACATTTAATGAATTATTTACGTTCTATCATACGGTTTTTAGAAAATAAATCAATCTCAGTCTATTTCAACAGTTCTATTCACAACAATAGTCGTAATATATTCGCCGATTCAAAAAGATGTTCAGTAGGAACATCCTAGTCATTGAAAAAATAATTTGAAAATATTAGAAAGTTACAATAAGTGCCAACAAGCTATTTTAATGTTCAGTTTAAGGTGTGCATATTTTGTAAAATAGACGTCTGTCCTTATAACTATGTACGAAACGCTTGTCAAGTTATATGCTGTTTATAATACATGTGATTTCAATTAAAGCCTTCAAACCTTGACAGAACATTGCTTAATAAATTATCCGACCTTGTTAATTGTCAGTATTTACGCTGAAATAAATTTATATGTTATTGTTGTTTCTACAAAAGAGAAAATTTGTCATACCCATTTTCAATAATTCGTTGTTGTACTGAGTTTTCAAATTTTGGGTCTGGTGATACGTCACAATCATTCACTCGTATCTTTTCAAAACATGTATTTTCTGTTGAAATAATTACAAAAATTAAAATTTTTATTGTTCAAGAAAAGGTCATATTGAAAGTTCGTTTTAAAGGTTTAAGTTGAAATAAAATGTAAAAACAAGAAATATGTAAAGCCAATGAACAGAATCTTAAATTTTATACTTGCTTATTGCTTATTAGAACTGGAAAGAAATTCTATTACCTTCTTGTGTTACCATAAGGAAAGCTTACAATAGATAAATGTACAATGTTAATATACTAAAATTGCCAGTCATTATAGTATTGGAACACCGACATTTTAATACTACAAAGAAGAATACATCTGCCAGAAAGCGATAGTTTATATTCTGTATATCTAATCATTTTTAAAAGTCTTTTTTTCCCTAATAAACAAACCGATCAACCTGAAATGAAAGCTTATTTGGGAAATTCATCCAACACTTTTTCCTAAATATCTACGGTATAAGATGGACCAGTCACGAATTTAGATTTAGTTTTATTTTCAAATTTTGAGGTTGAAAGACGGTCTTCTCGGATTCAGAAAATTGGGGTTTTTTGTTCTAATATGTGTTAATAATCTTTTTCGCCCCATTCAAAGCAACGTACTAACAGAATTCAGTCTGAGTATGTATAGTTCTTTTTTACCCAAAAATCGCAGGTCATTATAATTTTAATAGTATTTCAAATAAGGCAAATATTATAATCAAATTCTCTCAAGGCATTTTTTTTCTAATACAAAAGGCAATTCAAGGCGCAATAATATGATAATGGTTCTGAATTTATATTTATGATTAGTAAACTTGTCAAAACTATGAGATGAAATTAAAATACATGACATAATGACTACCTTGATGTATCCCTTTCAAGTCCGCATAATTAGCACCTGAACCTAAAATAATTAAAATTTCAGTGTAATGATAAACATGTGCACTGAGGATAAAAAATGATTAAGCTATCTTCATATAACAAATTCATTTTCACAATCTTTACTGATTATATCTAATATAATTTTTTGTGTGTATCGAAATTACTTATGGTAAAATATTCCATGTGTTATAAATTACAACAAAAGCCTTTATCGAATATAATAAAGTAAGCATTATTGATAAATGATCCAAAATGAAAACTTTTATGGAACAGCTATAGAAGAATTCGAGATTATTCAAGGCAATGTGGAATAAGCCTGGTTTCTTTGATAAGTTTTTCTCATAATCTCATAATCCATTTGTTGGTGGTTTCTTTTAAATTCTTGCACAATCATGTGTTTGAGTTTTGCAATTTTTTTGCTATGAGTTTGTTTTTTTTTTTAATTTTGATGAGGATTTTATTCAGCAATTTGATTCAATTGATCAATTCGAAAGCTGAAAGATATGTTCTTTCTTATTCCACAAAAACGATAAAATAATCTAAAATTAAAATGTAAACGACAGAATGCCACAGATTTTTTAAATCATGTTTCTGTTGAATAAAATCCCATGTGACTAAGATTGCACTTTGAAACTTACTTTTAAGCAAGTCTTCGTCAGCAATCCCATCGCAGTCGTTATCGATCAAGTCTCCAACATAACCTAAAGTCTTTGTACAAGACTTATAATAAAAAATATTGAACATGCTATATTAGTAACATAATAGATCGTGCTAAGGTGTATTTGAATAGTGATTTGACTTTAAATAATACTGTTAAAGACAAAAGACGCCGTTATATGAGGATAAAACTGATATACCAGGAAATAATTATGATTGTGTTTTGCGTTCTTTGAGGTCTCAATAATTTAAAGTGAATATCTTGTCATTTTCAAACGTATGTCATTCTTTAAGTCTAACAGATGAAGTTCTATAGATTTATATAATTTTATAATCAATGAGCAAACTAAAATCTCATCTTCTACAGGTTCAACAGTCATCTTATGCACTGGAAAGTCTTTATATCTAGAATATTAAGTTGTATAACAAGGTCAAAGCGATGTCACAAATTTTACTGAAAACTTAATAGTTAATTCATTTAATTGCTAAACTTGCTAAAATGGTATTGAACGAAAATACTTGAAGTTGTTCATTTGCATAGATTGTACGTAAAATCTATCGAAACTTTTGTCAAGTTATATTTCAATTCCTTTCTCTACAACTAGATCATAGTTATTTTATTTAAAAATCGACATGTTAATATCTGTTTTATTGATGTAAATATTCTTGGGGTAAAAAAAATATAACAAAAATACCGAACTTCAATGTAAATTAAAAAAAAACTGACAAAATCAAACCTTATCGACCAACGGATCAAGTGAAAAATAACTGTCATTTTCTCTGACTTGGTATCGGCATTTTCGTTAAACCTGGTTTAATAGCTAGCTAAACCTCACACTTGTATGAAAGTTGTTTATAGTTTTGTTATATATTTACATTTTTGTTCTTGCTGGTTTTTTTACTTCTTCACTTCTAACACGGAAACAGATTGGTATATACACCCAAAAAAAAAGTCGGGGACTATAATTTTTGTTATCAATTAAACTATATGTAGCATCAACAGATCAATTTTTCAGCAAAAATATATTGATTAGTTTTAAAGATTTTAAGAAATTTTTCCACCCATTTTACGTGATTTCTACAATAATGTACATCTATTTTTAAAGAATTCATTCAATAATATTTTTTTAAATAAAAGAGATAAATGCATTATATTTTCGATTTTTAGTTTAATATACTGCAGTTGTATGGAAATTGTTATAGAAATCTGTGACATGACCCATTTACTGTAACTTGACCTTAATTTTAATGTGGCTAAATATTTTCATTGATGCAAGAAGTACTAATTTACATTAAAGATGAATTATACATTTGTTATTTTTTTAAAGGGTTCTTCCTTAGTAAATGATGAATAAACTATTGGCACTCCAAGTTCATTTTAGTAGACCTTACTTACTTCTACATTAGAATACACTGAATTAAATCCGGGTACTAAGGTCAATGTTTTCCTGTTAGATGATGAATGTGTTGATAGCAGCACAACTTGGAAATTGACATTCGGATGGGAAAGTGTCACAAAAACGTCATCACTTATTCCTGTTAGATCTATTGGCATTTCCAACGCTACCAAATCTAATGATGAACCTTCGTGATTAAAAAGTATACATTTTTAAGATACAGATAATCATATATCTTGTGTTATATCTCTTATTGGTATCAACAACCTGCCAATAAGGAAGCACATTTTGAGAAACGATAGTATAGAAGACTGCCATGTATTATAGAGAAGTACAATCATTATGTTTCTCAAAAGTTGCAGATAATTGTTTTCCAACTGTTTATGGTATAATAGACATAGGAAAACAATGATAGCATGGTATCTAGAGACTGTATTAACACTAAATAAGAATACGAATATGGTCAACTTTGCATGAGGAAACAACGACTTCGTTCAAAATTACTAGATCTATCAATAATTAATTTCTTTTCTGAAAAAACAATTTAGCAATTTATATCAGCACCGATATAGCGTCTTCAGGTGTGGTAATACGTTCGATAACGTACTAGCAACATGGTCGTAACTGTAAGTCAAAATTATATTTTGCTTTATTTAAGTGTTAGGACTGTTTACCTACAATGTATCTTCCGATGGTTTCCACTTCTATTTTCATCAGTTGTTTCCTTTCTTTTTTGTTACATTTTGCTTATTGTTATCTCCGTGAAATTTAACAAAATTCTTTTTTACCTCAAAGACTTCAAATATAAAGGGAAAAGTGTGGTTTTTTTTTAATTACTTGGCTACTTTTCACTTGTGGTTAGATATCAAATATTTTGTTTTTTTCTTTTTCTTTTTTGGTCTTTTAAAATTGGTTGAATATGTATTGGTATATTCGATAACAAAATTAAATGCTAACCTGTAACTTTAGTAACAGACACCCATGTTCCAACTATGATTGTTAAAATACCATTAATGTTTAGCACAAGTAAGTCTTTGTCTGCTGAAGTTGTAACTATCAATAACTTATATGATATCTCGTTTTGTTTTAGAACAAAACTATAACTACTTGACCATTGCTCAAAGGAAAACAGAGAAATAGATGTGTCTCCACTGTAAACCTGACAGAGAACTGGCTTTGTCGATGAAATTTCCATAAATGATGAGACAGATCCAGTAACAGCATTTCCTGCGTTTCGGGATAATGTCGAGGAACTGTAAGATACATCGGTGGAATTTTTCAGAATTAAACATTTCCAGGTATCGGTTGAACCTGTTACGAATGGTATGACGTATGTTTTACCTGCTGACCATTCTCCAAGCAACTGTTGAAGTCCATATCCGTTTGCTAATGTCTCTTTTTGAAAAATGGCAACTACGTTGTCAGATATCACAGATGACCCGGAAATATCCGAGCCAGATCCAAATTGGTAACTATAAGTTTCAAAGCGTTCAGTTTCTATAGTAACAGGACTGCTTCCTGACGGTGTTATGTCAATAGAAGTCGAATTAAGTGACACTATTATTATTTCCGTGTCGTGTACAGACGAGAGGGCACGATATGACTGGCGAAAGGTGTCCACAGGCAAAATAGGAATTACAGAAAAATCTTGAGACGTGTAGTGTTGACGTTGAACATATATACATTGGAATGGGGAAGACACATAAATGGCTTTACAGGAAGAAGTAGTGATCTCAAAGCTGGTGTCGACTGAGCATGCTCCGAAAGAGTTCGGAGCGACGATTACAGGTGAACATGGTAAAGTAGAATTTTCACTTTCGATTTGCACCGATATACTACTGGAAGATGGATTTAAGATGTACAATGTAAGGATAGAATCAGATGGAATACCCAGACTTTGAAATGCAACCCAAAATTCGTGTCCACATGTGTCATATTCTGAAAGTATATTTTAATGTCTATTGCATTTATTTTTTTTTTTCAGTTGGTTGCTATACTCACGGAAACTAAGAGTCTTCATAGCTTTCGATAGACGATCTTCATAAAAACAATTATAAAATAAAAGCTTGCAGATGATAATGCCAATAAACATTTGCAATAATACTATTTATTCGGCTTTTCGGACAATTAGCCATGACTTGGTTGTACAAAGGTCAATTTAACTTTTTCAGATCGAAAGAGTGATTTTCATATTAATCTATTTTCACTCATTTAAAAAACAAATAAAAAATTTTAGTTCAAAGACTTAAACGGAAAGATGAGTTTTCAACACGCACTTTAACTTCTTTGTTAATATTCTTTCTGAACCGCCTTGAATTGAGAATGATTGATCCCTTTCTTGAGATTGCTAAATATATTATATACTTACGGGTATCCTGTTTAAAACAAGACTGGAAACCAATTTGGTAGTACATCTCCCTTCCGAGTTCAACTTCACCGAAGAGTGGGATATTGGTAGTATAATCCATCAACCAAAACGATAATGAAGATTGAAATGGCTGAAGATTTGTTTCTGTTAGAGAACTATAAAGGAAAAGCACATTCCTCAAAAAGGATATGAATGATCTTGATATGACTGACTATAACGAAATATCATCAAATTGCTTTTTGAATATTATAACACCAGGACCCGATTGCCGAGCTTTTGGTCAAAAATGTAACCCAAAGTTAAATAAGTTTAAACCTATGGTTACTTAACCAAAGGTTAACATATTTTAAACTTAAGGTTATTTAACTTATAGTAAAAGTTTATAACCTTTGATTAAGTATAGAATAAATGTTAATTTTTTCAAAATTAAGAACTTTCAACATTCTCTTTAATTCTTTGTGTCGATAAATATCAAAACGTCTTTTTAAAAAAAGCATGTAATATAGGTATATAATTGTCAACTTTTTACATATTGTGACTTAGATGGATAGTTGTCTCATTGGCACTCATACCACACCTTCTTATTTATATATAGAGAGCAACTACAACTCAAACCTAAGAGAGAACGCCTTTTCGTTTTGAAAAGGGGCGTTGATCTTGATATTTTGGAGAAGGTGAAAATATGAACGCTTATTTTGACGCAGAAAGGTTGGTTGGACTTGTCAGGCGTTTTAAAAGTAGTATTATTGATAATTGAAAACGAGCAGAAAAAGAATATAATGTAATAAATGTCTAAAGATATTTGCTATCTTTTGCACCGTTAAAGATCCTTCAATATAAAATAATCAGATATGCATTGGTTTATTGCTAAAGAGACAACTGTCCAAATGAAGGGGATGTACGGCCTTCAAAAAATTAGTCAGCTATTAAAGGCATCGACTTTGCAAAATGAAAAACAATTAAAACAAAACAATAATCTGGACTCATTGGCAACCATACCATCCCCTTTTACTTTTATATAGGTGATGTGAAACTGCATGTGGTTATCGAAAACGGTACAATTCACTTTTACACTTTCCCAGATAGAGAACAATTATTATCAAGCAGATATAAGTAGAAATGTATGGAATGCACGTGAATATTGCAAAAAAATGAATTTGATTTTAAATTGCCTTTACTCATAAAGTCCGAATTTTCTTTAAAGATATATTATTGCCACTTATATTTCCGTTAAGTTAACCTATAGTTTATAGGGGTCATCATTTTTATATTCGCTGTATAAATCATTCAAGTGAACGTGTAGCATCTAAAAACGTCAAAAAACAAGATTTCGATGCACAATGCAGTCACGATTTTTGCCTTTTCTGTGCTATTTTTCACACCGTGCAGAAAATTCAGCTATCTGCACTCAAAAATGAATACGCTGACCGACCAACTACAAGTTGTGTATCACTAAAACGGTAATGTAAAAGACATATTTTTTTTTAAAGAGATCACAGGTATGATATCAAGAAATGAGTACTTGCTACTTTAACAAGATCTTGGCGTCCCATTAATGCTCAAAAATGAATGTTGGATTTATTTGAGTGATGATGGAACAATGGCAACAATGACTATTTTTTTATAATACTTGACGTGAATATTCTCTGAAAAAATGAAAATTACACTTTATAAATTTATGCGCCCGAAGCATTTTTCTGGATTTACCTTCATCAGAAACTCTCAAAGACGAACGATGTATAAGAACCGAATAAGAAGAAAAGCTATATGACCAAAAAGCCCTAAAAATAAGTAAAGTAAAAAAGTGAATCTAAAAAATAAAGATGATATATCATACCCGAGTCCAAGTGTTGTAGCCCGTACCCAGGACGCTAGTGACTTCTGTACATCACAAATAAAGTCATAATACGCATCTTCTACTGATTTGATTCCTACAGTAGTCTGTGACCTTATTCGCAGCTTATACTTCTTTCCTGTTTCAATCTGAAGGAGACCAAAAATAACTCATAAGACATCATGAGAGATCCTCTACGTCATGGGATAGGAGAGAGTAGAGAGGAGTCGGTGCTATTCTCAAATTCAAGAGCTCAAAATTCACATCAGAATTTTATTCAGATGGTGTTGCTGTTTACCTTGTCGTTCTCCTTTGCTCATTCATACCATGCAATCGAAGGCATGATAGTGATAGTTTCAACAAATATATTATTAGTTATACCAAAAACACTTCAAAACGTAGATGTGATACGAACAATTCCATAAAATGTCTCTCCTTCAAAAACCTGTTTAATAAGATAGAAAACAAAAGATATGGGGTATCCATCCATGACACAAAATCAGTACATGCACAGCAAAAAACATACAAAAAGCAAAGGAATAATGCAAATACAATGTAAGGACAACTAAGTGAACATGTACCAAAATTTGAAATCTAAATAGTATTTATGGGAGACTTTCAAACAAATTTTCCAGTGCATCTCCATACGTTAATCGATTATTTGCTTTCGTCTATTCAATAGCATGACAAAAATGTTATTGAGCTTATTAATCGTCATTAATACCAATATTACCGAATAATTATCACTTTAAACTACTTCATTAAGTAGAACGAGACGTTTTCTTTAAGAATCTACCTATAAATTTTGCAAAGTTCTGTATACTGATGTATTTTCTTTTTTTACTTTGGTTTTTTTTTTGCTTCCAGTATTTTTGAATTTGGGAGTACCCATACGCAGTAAAGCATTTTTTCAGTACATTAAATTTTGCATGCAAATATTGACCTATTTCAATTAATTTGAATAAAACAGATGTTGTATGTACAAATTTAGACAAATACCAGAAAATATATGTACATTGGGTTTATTCTATGGAACAGACAGGGCGTTCATCCACTGAAACTACTATAATTGCTTGTCTTTTCATTCAGCAATGTTAGAATTATATTTTTGAAATTTAAAATATTTATGTAAGTCATAAGCGGGATTCGAACTCAAGCTACCATTGTACAGTATACATCGTGTATTATTGCACGAGTACTAAAGCGTGTTGTTTAATAAAATCATACTTTTAACGATTTTCACCAGTAAATAAATAATAAGACGATTTTCATATCGCACTTCTTCTATGAATGTATTTTAACGGTTATTTTTAATCATTACAATATTGCTTACTTTTTTTGCAATTGTGTATTAATTGAACCAATACTATTTTAAAAGATCTATTTGAGTTTGAAAGCTCGTTTTATGTCAATCAGATTTCCCGATTCAATTAACACGTAATAAATAAAAAGACGTTAACACTATAACAAACATTTAATACAAGAAATTCCAGAGATATTTATGATCACATAAAAAGTATTTAAATGTGCATTCGGTGAAGACCATGTCCATTTATAATGTTAACCAATTTCTTTGCATAAATAGGCGTCAGAGTGGTTGGAGAATAATGCATATGTAAAGGGTCGGTTTTGATAAATTTGTAGTTGCATTTAAAACTTTACAATTACAGCGTTGTATTTGTAAGTAATGACATATACGCCTGCAAAGGTTTTTTCATTTGCAAAACGTTTTTCTATTACACCCTTTCCTATTTAAAACTATATTCCCTTGCAATATACGGTTACCGGTGTCATACTAAGTAGTGACGGTTACCGGTGTCATACTCAGTAGTGACGGTTATCGGTGTCATACTAAGTAGTGACAGTTACCGGTGTCATACTCAGTAGTGACGGTTACCGATGTCATACTAAGTAGTGACGGTTAGCGGTGTCATACTAAGTAGTGACGGTTACCTGTGTCATACTCAATAGTGGTCAACAAAGCCATGATGGCACTCATGAAGCTTTCGAACATATAACTTTAACATTTTTTTTTAAAACATTCGTTGAGTAGTTTACCTTAGTGAATAAACAGGAACGTAGTAAACATTGTAATAATGGTACATTGTAAACATAGTAGAGAAGTGGAATCTTTACAAATCAATAACAATCAGTTTCTGATAGTATACGACGACACACTATCCAATTTGATTCAAATATGCAATGTTTATTTCAATGGTCTGTTGTCTTATTTGTTTGTAGTAGAGTTTAGATTTTCAAATATTAAACACAAAATAAAAAAGACAAGAACACGCTACACAATATTTGGTAAAAAGATTCCAAATATCATAATTGAGATTTTATGATAAAAATGAGTCAAATAAAATTGAGAATGGAAATGGGGAATATGTCAAAGAGACAACAACCCGACCAAAGAGCAGACAACAGCCGAAGGCCACCAATGGGTCTTCAACGCAGCGAGAAAATCCCGCACCCGGATTAGGTATATGTTAGGTGCATTTAGTAATAAACGAATGTATAACAGTATAATCAGTCTATGAATTAAATCTTTAACAAATAACGCATTCATGGTTTATGCGTACAAATTTAGTAACGAGTTTTATTTCTAAATAACGCTACAGTTTAAGGACAGACGAACTAAATCAATCAATCAAATACTTGAATATGAAGGCAGTATACCAATACAAGGGTAAGTAGGTACAAAGTAGTCATTATTGTTAAAAGGGGGGATATTATAACATTATGAGTGCATACAATATCTAAATACCAATATTAAACGTATAGCTCAAGGCAGAGATCAGTCCGTTTTACAACTGCACTTTCCGCTTATGTGACTGAGCAGAATTAGACACGCCTTGGAACAAAGTAAGAAACCCTGTCAAATGTTGTCTTCTGTTTTATCTAAAATATTTTATTCATTTACTCATTTTACACTTGGATCTTCGGTGTTGAATTTAGATGTTTAGTCAATGTAAACAATCACAACTGTTTTCGACACTGTTGTGCGATTACGACCTTGACATATGGTACAGACACATGTCTAGATTTCTCTCGACTTTTAATATCGTTGGGTTGCTGCCAATTCGTTTGTTAAACATATTTAACGTATCAAGTGAATATAAATGTATATGGTACCTTGAACCCGATACTCAACAACTAAAAAACATCAGTGTTGACCCAAGTAGATAGTATTAAATATAAGACAGGAATATTCTACACAAGGATATAGGATGTAACAGTCAAACAAGGAATGTCGTTATTTATCATTACATCTGGTAAAATACATCCTCTCATAAAGATTGGTCAATATACGATAAGGAGATGTGGTATGATTGCCAATTATCCAACAAAATATGAGAAATAGACGCGGATATCAGCAAATACAAGTCTCCTCTCAACCCACCTTCTAACCTTAGACAGTGGTATAGCGACAAAACATCACAACACACTATAAATATTAGTTGGAAAGTTGGAAATTGCTTGACTTATCAGATTCGCACTTAGCACAAAAACATACATAAAGACAGAAGATACAAAGTACAGAAAGCTATAAAGCTTATTTAAAAGACGATGCTTGATGTTCTTTCCTTGGTTTATATAGTTATCAAGTCACATCTGTACGATTACTAAATGATTATGTATTTGTCAATCCACCACAACAATTATCAGTACGGCCGTTTCGATGAAATTTAATGTCACTTATATTTTTCGCTAGATTTATTTATGCTTGTAGAATATTATCTCAAATGAATCAAAAGATAATGCATTGTTGGTTTGTTTCTGAACCAAGTGCAAACATTCGAAACTATTATTTAGTCCGTTGAGGAGAGTTTGGTTCAACCTATAGCACAGATTCGAACAAATAGCATTTAATTGCCTAAAATTATTCTGAACCTACCGTATAGACCCCACATGTTGGATATGATGTTGAAGTTTGTAGATCAATGGTAACGTTCAAATAGTAAATGTCCTTCTGACTATCGGTAGAGATATCAGCACATGACGTCACAGGTGAACTCTGATCTGGGTCGGGTTCTGCAGCTGTATGGCCTATTATCTGATATATTGTATCATTGTTTCTCACCAATCTGAATTTAGCAACCAGATTGTTGTCTTGTTTCTCACAAAAATAGGATGCTGAATAAAATAAAAGAAAATATCAAGTAAGTAATTTCATTGTGTCAGTTTTTCTATATGATTGATTAATTTTTGTACATTATTGTGTAGTAAGAAAGTGCTAATAACTTATATTATCAAGAACATGTATTCATTATTGCGAGTCAAATATAAAATTCTGAACCAAATCTGCGCAGCGCAAATTGTTCACTGATAAAAATTAACCCTTCATTTCATCTCATTCATAAAAGCATAAAAACTTTTAGTTTTCAATATTTGTTTTTGGTCCAGATTCCAGATGAGACCTATATAAATCTTTCGGTGGAATTTGACTTTACTATATTTAGTATATATGAAAATTAGATCGTAAAAAACAAAACTAAAATGGTTTTACACTAGTAATTTTTGGGGCCCTTTATAGCTTGCTGTTCGGTGTGAACCGAGGCTCCGTGTTGAAGACCGTACTTTGACCTATAATGGTTTACTTTTATAAATTTTGACTTGGATGGAGAGTTGTCTCATTGGCACTCATACCGCATCTTCTTATATCTACAGACTGACAAAAGTTGACAAGAACAAAAATAAACAACTATTGTGAAGTATTTCTTCATGGCAATTGAAAGATGGCACCACTGTTCCTGGTCCAGCATCATTTTGTTTACAAATTGATTGTTTACAAATGAATGCACGTTGTAGGTGCTATGGAATACGTACACGATAAATACATCAGTACAGTACCACAGTTGAAAAACTATGATCATTAATATTATTTGTGAAAAAACTGAAATTCCCATTTGATTATTTTTTGTAATTAATTTCAAAAATCAATACATGTGACTTATAGCAAGTATGGTAATTAAAACATTTGGAAAAAGAACCACATTAAAACTGTTTCGAATTCCTAACATTTTGACAAGTTGATTTTTTTATTTAGTAACAATTCTATTGTTTGGATTTAATACTAATGAAATTCTTCTTCTTCAATTCGTTGCATTTCATTGTACTGTTTAATTGTTTTGTAATGTTTCACATAACTTGGGTGTGGTCTTTGAGTGATATAAACTTTAAACTTGAAATTCAACGACAATAAAAAAATGAAATTTTCGCTGACAAGTGTTAATAAAATGTAATTTGTTTGTATAATAACGTCTTTGTTAGAACCATTTTAACTTACCACAATCACGATCATAAAACTTTAAGATGAGATAATTGTTCATGGTATATTTGTTTACATTCATTTTTATACACATCCTCGTGGTTTTTTTTCAAATATAGTAGATCAGGAAAGTATATATCTTTGCACTTGAAAAGCGTTAATTATTTTACATATATTTTATCATTTTATCGGGAAGATATATGAAACAAGCTTGATAGTATATGTGAAATGTGTGCTTCATATGTTTAGTGTCTGGGTTAACCGATGTACGGTCGCACAAATTGGCGCCATTGTAAAACACAAATAAACGAAAAAGAATAACGTTTCAATAGTTTACAAGGAAAAATTCATATAGGTTCTGCAGAATATTCATTTTTCAAATTAGTATCGTATTCTGTTTATTTTGAAGACGTAATTCTTGTTAAACTCCCCGATCCAGATAACTAGCGAAAGTATTTCAAACGACTTCATAGTTGCAAGTTTAGACTTTAAACTCCAAGCAAATTGTTTCAAGGACCTACAATGTAGGTTACATGTAACTACATTTGACATTTGGGACCAGTTCTCTAATGACCTCTCTTCAGTACTGTTGGAATAGTCTGTCACTGTCATAGAATTTTTCTAAACAGTTCTGGAACAAGTCTATCCTGTATTGCTAGAACTGTTCCAGAGAAGAAATTTCAGCATCAGTTCTAGGTCCAAAACTGTTCAGAGGTAAAACTGTAGGGATCCGTTATTAGATAGAACTATCCAAATCTGTTTTAGGAAAAAGAAATGAAGAAAGAAAGAAAAAAGATAAAAAGAACAGAGGATATCAATTCAAAAAGAAAAAATGAACATTTTTTAATATCATGAAAAGCAACGATATCCCAAAATATTTTGTTGTAACTAATAAAGAGAAAGTTTAGATAATTGAAATAATAAATAGATATAGATATATAGATAAAGATAGAACTATCAGTATATAAAACTGCTCTATTGTAAAACATTCAGTATATATTCTCAGGTAGAACTGTCCAAAAGTGTTTTAGTTAGAACAGTCCAAAACTTGTTTTAAGGTAGAACAGCTTCTGTCAAAAACTGTTTTTATTACGATGTCAGGAGAACTGTTCTAGGTACTATTATATAACAGTGCTCAGACAGTTCCTGACAGATATCCAAGGAGATTTTAACTAATCCCAACTCTAAAGTAGGGTTTATTACACAAAATATATATCTTCCGTTGAAAACATTCCGGGTAATAATAAGATCACAAATACTTATCTTTAATTTGGTTGACACTCGCATTATTACTATTTTATATTTAGTTAGGAAACCAAAAGTTTTTGAAAACCAGTTATACAGTTTAGTCGTTAACAATAGATAGATGCCAAAATAAAAACAAAATGGTAAAGGATAAATTATGAAACATTGATATGCCTTTTTCAGAAAGGTCAAACAGGTTCAACGTGCCATATAACGATATAATATAAAACATGTCATCCATAAAATAATTGTTTTTTTCTCCGTCAATATTTGAAGTTTCTGGGGCTTTATAAAAATAAGAAGATGCCGTATGACTGCCAATGTGACAACTATAGACCAGAGACCATATGACGTAGATATAAGCAACTATAAGTCAAAAATGAGAAAATCCCATATTGTATAGTAAGCTACAAAAGGCCCCGAAATGACAAATGTTAAACAGTTCAAACAAATAACCAACTGCTTGATTTATGTACAAAACATTAAACGAAAAACAAATATGATAGACAGCAACGAACAATATAAAATAAGGAGATGTATTATGATAGCAAATAAGAAAACTATCCACCATAGACCAAATGACGTAGATGTTATCAACTATAGATCATAGTACGGCCCTCAACAACGAGCAAACACATAGTATAGTAAGCTATTATAAAAGGCCCCGACATGAAAAATGTAAAACAATTCACACAAGAAAACCAAAGGCATGATTTATGTACAAAACAAACAACAAACAATTATGATATAGAGCGATAAAAGACAACCGCATTACAGGCTCCTGACTTGGCACAGGTATATTAAGACTGTGGTGGGATTTGGCATATTTAACCAACCCTTCCACTAACTTGGGATAGTGGTATAACAGCACAATATAGAATGAATTTCATAACAGTGTGGACATGGACACCTGATATTTAAATGATATCATGTCGGTCACTGGCTGTCGACAACAAAGACTTCACGCAATTACAGTATGTCAGGGGCCTCTCATATTTCACATAATTCCTATTTTACACATGTCCATTCTTAATTTTTTTTTTTTTTGCATGAAAGTTTATAGTAATTTGTTTTAAATATATTTATATACTCACAGCAAAATTTTCTTTTGAAAGAATGAGTATATTCAGTGGTGATATCACTTAGTAATCGAGAGAAAAAAGTAAGAAAAATTCTCTCCTGGCAATAAGTGAAAAATTAAGTAGTGTGTCAGTTATAGACAAGTAGTCCAACATGCATTGCAAATCATTCAGTGGAAAGGTCAATCGTCAAAATAAAAAAAATTCTTTATTTGTAAACAAGCACTAATACATGCATTGACGGGGGCATACGTATGCTAAATAATACATGTCCGTATAAGGAAATGTGCCCGACCTGTTAAATGCAGCTGTTCTGTTGATTTGAAATGGACGGATCACAGCGATTTAATTTAGAATTGTACTTATTTTTTTTAATTTGTGTTTCAGTATCTATCCATGAATTAAATACGTTCACAATACCTCTTATACTAGAATATCTAAACCCTGTTTAAAGGTTATTATTACACTGTTACTGTTATGTTGACATAATAACCTGTACATTATCTTGTGTTACAGTTGACCAGTTTAATCTTGTGCACATGATTTATTATTCCAAAACAGATGTTTTGTGAACATATCATTAAATTCATGGATATATATTGAAACAGAAACCGAAAAAGAAATGAGTACAATTTCAAATTGTATGGGGGCGACCATTCCTGATTCAGTTAATGCACGAGGCTTTTGAAATCAGCATGAATAAAATTGCAAATAAACATTTATGCAGAATTGTCTCAAATATGCGTCCTCAAATAACCAAAAAAAATAATTGAGTAAGACCAAATTCATTGAAATTACCTGCTCAATTTGTAGTAAAAGAATAAAGATCCCGTAACTTTTGTTATACGTGTTCAGGTATAACAAAATCTAAAATAAATACATGTATCAATGTTTCCACAAATGCTACTCTGACTCCAATCAATGTAAATGTTGCACACAAGACCGGATTCATATGCTTCTTAATATTTTCACGAGTTATTTTTTGTTAGAATGATATTTAAATGTTCACGAAAATCTGATCGTTGGAGTCTTCGATGGGATTTCAAATTTGTTCCGTGCAAAAAAGTATGCAGCCCAGGCAGAGGACTAAAATGATTTTTTATGAAGGTCCGGGGTTTTTATTACCAACAAAAATAATCTTAGTATGAAAGTTGATCGTAGGTTACTCTACATCAACTCCAACGAATAAATGTTTCTTTTTTTTAAGGAGCCATAGAACGTTTGTGCAAGAAAAAACATCACTTTTTTTTCTCGATTACTCGGTGATATCACCTCTGAATATACTCATTCTGTCAAAAAAAAACTTCTTGTTGTGTATATAAATATATTCAAAGCAAATTCCTATAAACTTTCATGCAAAAAAAATATTTATGAATGGACATGTGTAAAGATAGTAATTAAGTATATCCCCATTGAGAGGCCCCTGACATACTGTAATTGCGAAGTCTTTGTTGTCGACAGCCAGTGATACACACGATAACATTTAATTCCTATGTGTCCATGTCCACGCTGTTATGAAATTCATTCTAGATCATTCTAAGAACAAACTATTTAAATCAGTTGAATAGTGTTTGGCTCATCAGATCAATACAACGGACAAAAACAACTTACACAACCACGAAAGACACAAGAACACGGTGTTACTAAAGCTAGTTCAGAGCCAATAGCAACTAATGAAACAATCATGTGTCCAAGATAAAATATCATTCAGTACACATACAATGGATTTAGTATAAAGACATCATAAACAGTCTAGGAAAACATGGCCTTGTGAAATGACACGTAGAACCGGAAGTGCAGCAATACATATTCAGATATGTTTAATTTATTGATAACAAAAACAATGTTAGTACCGATAAGAACAAATGATAGATCTTATTATTGAGAATTTATAATTTTGTTCAAAGGATCGATAAGCTTACATATGGATCAATAAAGTAAGTATCCATGGGTTAATTTCAGCAGTATATATAGAGGATTCTTGATTATTTAACGAAAAAAAAATATTATCAAGGTAAAGGTTGGTGTTGTTGAATTTATCAATTAAATTAAATTTAGACGAATATTTACAGGGCCTGACCATAAACAGCGATTCATAACTATAATGGCACAAGAATGCTATTAAAGGACCTTTTAATTAAAAGGGAGTTGTTATTTCTTTATTACATGAAGATTTTTCTCGATAAGAATGAATTCGTAAATGGTTACAAATTTAACTGGGAAAACAGTGACTTCACATCAAATGTCTTTTGATAACTAGTAGTTGTTTTGAATATTTCTTGTTCAAAGTTTTAAATATATTTTCAATTTTTCAATAATAATTCAAGCTATATTGGATTTCAAATCGGATAAGAAAGTCATGATTTTCATAAATGTCATTTAAGGTGTGATTTATTTGTGGATAGTATGCCAAAGTACATTTCCGTGCCATTAGAATAGTATTAATTTTCACGGGTAATCAGCGGTTGTATCTATGTTTCTAATCTTAAATTATGATTGATGACTGTCTTCAAAGGAGACTCTAATATGACAAACACACCACATAATATTCATCTAACATGAAAAAAACAAATTGTACTGATACATGGTTCAAAACTAATATATAATGCAATGTATTGTAGGGAAAATAATAAATATTTTTTTTCAAAAACTTGTCACTATTTAGCGTTTTTACAAAAAGTCACATCGGTCACCAGAACAGCTAATGGATAATTCTATAGCGTTAACATCCTCTCGGAGATCAAAGAAATTGATGTCATATTTATTCAAAGATTCAAGAAATCTCCTTTATTTATTCTTTTTTTAACACGAAAATCAAGGAACAAAATTCACTTTTCACAGATATGTCATATCTGTTGAAAATGAATTCTGGTAATTAATGAGATATTTAAATAAGAAAAATATTACTAATGATTATGTGATATACTACACACAACAAATACATCTAGAGTTCAATATAAGGTCTTCAAAAATATATCCATCTTTAAATCTAAGTTTAAATCACGTCAAGCTATAGTTCTCGACCTATTCTAGAAAAGTTGTGAAAAACAGACTAAATCTAAAAGACGAATGAAATACGATAAAACTAAAGACATAGAACAGGAACATACACATACATGTCAATGAGTGCTACATGTACTGACGCAAGACAAGGAAATAAACATGTCGAACAGTTAAAACTAGTTTTTGGAGCATTCGATCCTATTATTTAATCTCGAACAGTAAAATAACACTACACATTGAAATAACAGAAGATACACCGAAGATCATACAATAAAGATCGGTTCATAAAACTACTTATGTTTATAACACCGGTATATATATATACGACAACAACAACAAAAAGAAACAAATAAAACAATACTATTTGGTTCCGTCAAGAAATGCATTTACTAACAAATGCCATCAGCAAGATGATAACAGAAAGAGGTTACAACTCCATTTTCTAATATAATCGGCTAAATTTCTTTTTTACATAAAAAATGATTAAGCAATTCGATATTTATTATACTATGAAACAATCCCTCGCCTGAGAAATATTTCTGTTCTTTAACCTAAGACTAAAGTCAGGAACAGTTTATTTGTCTTTGTTTGTTTGTCCGATTTTTTTCTTAAGAAGAAGTCGGATATTGGTGCTTGGTGTGTCCAGTTGTACTGTTTGGTATTTTTTGGGCAGCATTTTATTCCTTTTTATTTGTTACCGAAATCTGTAAATTATTTAACAGAAAAAATATCAATTTCTTTATAGTTTTTTCATTTGTATTTTAGTTTTTCTTACCTTCTTGAGTTCGAGCTGAGTAGCAAATCTGTAAACAGTAAGTTATTTACATTTCAAGTAAACAATATTTACAGTATTTATATATTTTAAAAGCTTATTATATTTCAGATGAAAAGACAAAATTATTAATGTGTTTTCAATTTTTATTACTTTCAACGGGAAAGTAAGTAAGTTTGAAAAATAAAATTATAATATTTTAGTAACCATAAGACAACATTTGAATAATGTGTGATATTTTATATATATATATATATATATATATATATATTATATATGTGTGTGTATGATTTATGCCTCAGGTAATTAGTGGAAAGTAACAGGGAACATCAGGAAGAGTTTGGACCTCTGATAGATATAGTAACAAGCCAGAAGTTGAAATAAAATATATGCATTTGTTAAAAAAAAAACAGTATTTACAAAGGTCAACTCATTTTTAACATGATAGTTAGATGTTACAGTTTATATCAATTCTAAAAGAAAAATACGGAATATGTTAGTGAGATAGTAACTGACATTCTAAGAGTTAGTTGATGACAAAATACCCCTTGATTATGGAAAGAAAGGGAACTGGACATGTCCTGTAGAAAGACACACATTAAATGAATGTTAAATCATATTGCAAGACCATTCAGACTTTACTTTAAAATATCCTACAGTGAATGGAAAGGAAATTTGCCAATAGGCAATTCTTTCAGATAATCTAAAAGCACTTAAACCATATGCTAGAAACAATTCGTGGCATTAACATACATGGACTTAGTTCAATAAGTTTTATTTACTTACTTGAATGCTACTAGTAATCAACGAAACTAAAACTGTCCATTCCATAATCTACCATAAAAAAGTGATTTAATAAATAGTTTTACTACAGTAACTGATTTACGTTCCTATTCATTTTTTATCATAACAATCCAAACACATACATGATGTCTCATTATCATTTTTTTTAATTAGATTATTATCAATTTTATTAATTATATCATTATCACTTTTATTAATTATATCATTATCATTTTTATTAATTATATCATTATCATTTTTATTAATTATATCATTATCATTTTTATTAATTATATCATTATCATTTTCCGTTTGATAATAAATAATAAATAAATATTTATTTAATTATAGTGTCACATATTGATTGACAAATATTTACATATCACAGTATTCAACAAAACAATCAATACCCAGTCATAAATTTGACTTATGAGACACTTAACACATGTTATGTACATATCAATATAGTTTCACAGTTAAATTCATAAAATTATCATCAAAAAAATTTAAAAGCATATACATTTTGAGCAAAAAAAATAAAAATCTGAAAGGAATGTTGTTTAAAAAGTTTAAAAATAAATAAAAAAGAATAAAAAAATATATATTTTAACATATATAAACAATTTGCATATTTAATATTATCCTAAAATTAATCACAGTGACTTTAAAATCATAAAATAGACTCTTACTAATAGTGTGTTATTAGTAATAATTAAGAAAATAATTTTCGTCTCATAAATCTCTTGTGTAAACATTTGCTTAGACATTTTTGAATATCGGAACATTTCATTATTTCAACAAGCTTAACATCATCATTTAACATTGAGAAATTGTCAATATATTGTGAACATTCGAACAACAATTCAAACCTAATGTCATCATATAAGGAGCAATTTAAAAGAAAATGTTTTTCAGATTCAACACTATTTAAGGAACAAAATTTACACAGTCTATTTTCTAGTGCTGTAGGCGGCCTGGTGTACCTGCCAGTCTCAATGGCTAACGGGAGTGAACCGGAGCGGAACAAGGCTAGAGTACGTCTGTACGAGCGTGGTATAATTTGGAGAACGTATGTCTCGGCATAAATGTTAGTTTTGAATAACCTGTACGTTCGAAGTTTGTTGCCATTTTGATGTCCACGATCATTAAATAGTTCACTTTGCCATTCGGTATTATCTAACACCTTTATTTTGTCTTTTTTATTTATATTTATATCTTCTGCCTCTTTTTCCGTTTGTATTATCATTTTTTTTTATATATTTATATATATGTATACAGAGCTCATGTTTACTATGTTAACTTGTACATATCATGTCCGACTCTAAATAAAATGCAGTTACTTACTTATGTCATTGTTCTGAGAAAGCAATGCTTATACCGTGGTGTACAGAACAATTATAGACAAATATAATAACAAAACATGATACAGTTTTACAAATGAGAGGTAACGATATGGTAAAACATCACAGAAATATATGAAAGTTAGTATAAAGTGAGGGGGAGATTATATTGAAGTTCTGTTCACCAAAACTTTTAGAGAGAATCTATTTGTTGTATTTATTATTCTTATAAATTTACCGAGTTTTTTTTTTTTTTCTTTTTTCTATTATTTTAGTTCTGACAGTGTTATATTTTTATTTTGTTAATTGGGAATTTATAAAAAAAATCTGTAACATCTGTTGAAATTCGTAATTTATAGAATATGAAATATGAAAACATTTTGTCAAGCGTATTAGACTGTTAACTTGAGAATATTACATTTTATGATGTATTTCCTGTAATATTTCTTTCTTTCTTCTGAGAGAACTGCACATTTCAAGAGATAATGCAATTTGTCGCCTATATATAAAAATAAGTAGATGTGGTATGATTGCCAATGAGATAACTGTTTGTTTTTGTTTGTTTTGTTTTTTTTTTGCGTCAGCGACATTTTGGATGCTGTTGAGAGTCGATATTTTACGAAATTCCGAGTAGCACAGCTTCATAAGTGTACTTTTAGGTGTTAACGATATGACGGTGTACTGTTAAGCATGTGGTCCAAAACTGCAAAACTTTGATAGATTGTGGTAAATTTGGAAGATATATCTAAAATATTGAAGTAAATGCAGTTTGCTACCTTTTTATACAAGCTAATTCGTTTTTGTTAAAGACATCTTTCGATACAAAATATTACAAAAAGTAGCATGTAAAGTTTGCAATAATGTATAAAATTGTCTTCAAAAACAACACTGTATAGTTGCAAATAGCATTTGGATGTAATTGATATATTGGTAAAATTTTTGATGTTTCAAAGTGTATTCTTTAAACTCTTTAATAATCTTTAAAATATGTTTTAGACGTTACACATGGTCGTGTTTTCCAGTACTGTCATACACATGGTCGTGTTTTCCAGTACTGTCATAACGTTGCTATATGAAGTCTTCTATCTTTTGTACAGACCCATGTGTGGGCGCATGACGTCTGTTCGGATTAGGAGATTATTTTTATGACGATTGCGCGTAAGATATTATTACATTTACGCGTATTTTTTACAGGTAACAGATTGTTCATTATTTATTTATTTATTTATTCATTAACTATTTGTTCGTTCGTGCGTGTGTGTGTGTGCGTGCGTGCGTGCGTGCGCGTGCGCGTGCGTGCGTGCGTTCATTCATTCATTTATCTATTAATTTATCTTCTTATCTACAATGGCGTTACGTTCTTACGTTGATGATTAAGATTTCAATTATAACAAAAAATTAAAAACCACATTTGATAAACTATGAAATAAATCTAATATTTTATAAAAAAAAAATGACAATATATTATATAGAAATTAGACTAACTGAACATTATTTAATGTATAGGATGCGGTATATTCAATCTGTAATGGTAACACAAGTATAGAGTGATAAAAACGAACTGTACCTTCAAACTCAACGTTTCAGTCCTATAAACCAATATTTAATATAATCTTTTTTTCTGTAAAAATCTATAAAATCATTATTCAGATAAGATACTATGAGACGTACATGCTGAATTATTCACCCTTAAACCGTCAGTCATGTTGATTGATATCCGCATTAACCAATCGAATTCCTTGTTACAAACAGAACCTTTAAACCAAAAATATCTAGTATTACACATTAAAATGCTAATAGTGTAATATCAATTTACCAGATATTAAATACGATGTTTATCTTGATTCTTAATGTAATTTAAAATATTCACATCTTTTCACAGAGCCTATGTGTTTACAATAAAAACATCTCTGTGATGGTTTCCAAAACATACAAATAATTGTTGTGTTTTGTTCATTTATTGGAATTAGGGGTTGTTAACCGTTGTGTTTATTATATTTGCACAATTTTGATATCTTGTTTTTTAATGAAGCTAGCCAACCAATTATTAACAAATTTAAGTCTGTTTGTAGTTGCTTGTAAATATTTCAATTCACTTTTAATTCAGTTTTGATTTGTGCATAATATATTCAAAAAACCGTATACTCTTGAATAACAAGTTCGATCAAATATTTCCACCGGAATAGCAAAGCTTACCCAAAACCTGTATCGCTGAGTTAATCTAAATATACAATATATGTACATTGTCGGAAAATATAAAATTTATTTGTATGAGCTTTAGAAACAGGACGAAAAGCGAGGCTCGCCGAGCTTTTCTCCTGTTTCGCAGCGAGTACAAATAATTTTTATATTTTCCGACAATGTACATATATTGTTTTTATCCTGAAATTTACACCCAACACTTGAAACTTTAGTTGTTAAAATCTAAATCATTGTCTCTAATTTTTCAAAGAAATCGACATAGTTTAAACGCGGACCGCGAAGAGGACCCAAAAATGAACTGGTACGCAAAAAGAAATATCCACATTACCGCTTGCTCAACATGGAAGAGCGGTAACAGGAGACTTTATTTGTACAAGTACAAATAAAGCAAAAAATTATTTGTATACCTGTTACTTGTACAATAGTTGGCTGATTGCAGGATAAACAATATTACTTGCCGTTAACTTGTGATAATTAGTTTACTGAAACGACATCGCTTGTCAAATTCGGTATCAGTGGGTTTACTGAAACGACATAGCTTTTCAGCAACCTGTATCAGCGGGTTTACTGAAACAACATAGCTTGTCATTAATCTGTATCAATGGGTTTACTTTAACGATATACCTTGTCATTAATCTGTATTAGCGGGTTTATCAAAACAACATAGCTTGTCAATAACCTATATCAATGGGTAAACTGAAACAACAATGTTTGCCAGAAACATGTTTCATTTGGTAAACTGAAACAACATAGCTTGTCAGAAACCTGTATTAGTGGGTAAACTGAAACAACATAGCTTGTCAGAAACCTGCATCAGTGGGTAAACTGAAACAACATAGCTTGTCAGAAACCTGTATCAGTGGGTAAACTGAAACAACATAGCTTGTCAGAAACCTGTATCAATGGGTAAACTGAAACAACATAGCTTGTCAGAAACCTGTATCAGTGGGTAAACTGAAACAACATAGCTTGTCAGAAACCTGTATCAGTGGGTAAACTGAAACAACATAGCTTGTCAGAAACCTGTATCAATGGGTAAACTGCAACAATTTTTGCAAGAGACATGTTTCATTTGGTTTATTGAAATAGCAAAGCTTGTCAGAAACCTGTTTTAGTATGAAACAAAAAAACAACATGTCGGATTCTGCATCAGTGGGCTTACTGAGACAATATAGCTTGTCAGTAGCCTGTGTCGGTCGGTTTACTGAGACAATATAGCTTATCAGGAGCCTGTTGTTCAGTGGTTGTCGTTTGTTGTTGTGGTTCATAAGTGTTTCTCGTTTTATCGTTTTTATATAGAATAGACCGTTTGTTTTCCTGTTTGAATTGTTTTACACTAGTCTTTTTTGGGGCCCTTTATAGCTTGCTGCTCGGTGTGAGCCAAGGCTCCGTGTTGAAGGCCGTACTTTGACCTATAATTGTTAACTTTTTATACATTGTGACTTGGATGGAGAGTTGTCTCATTGGCATTCATACCACATCTTCTTATTTATATTATCAGTAACCTGTATCAGTCGGCTTATTGAGACAATATAGCTTGTCAGTAGCCTGTATCAGTCGGTTTTCTGAGACAATATAGCTTGTCAGAGCCTGTATCAGTCGGTTTACTGAGACAATATAGCTTGTCAATAGCCTGTCTCAGTCGGTTTACTGAGACAATATATCTTGTCAGTAGCCTATTTCAGTCGGTTTACTGAGACACTATAGCTTGTCAGTAGCCTGTATCGGTCGGTTTACTGAGCTTCTCAGTAACGTGTATGGTTGGGTGTACTTAAATTGCATAGCTTATCAGAAACCTGTGTCGATGTGTTTACTGAAACAAAATGATGTATATGCAGCCTGCATCAGTGAGTTTTTTTAAAACTAGCCGAAACCGAAATCAGTGGGTGAAACAACATATTTCAGTTGTCCAAATCTGAATCAGTAGGTTTACTGAAACAACATACCTTGTAAGCTACGTGCATTAGTGAGTATACTTGTGAGAAGCTTGTGTCTGCAGGTTAACTGAAACATTATAGCTTGTTAGAGATCCTCATCAATAGGTTTACAGAAACAACAAAGCTTGTCAGAGACATGTATCAATAGGTTTAATTAAACAACATAGCTCATCAGCAGCCTTTATCAGTAGGTTTACTGAATCAAAATAGATTGTCTAAAGCGCGAATTATTAGGTTTACAAACACAACATAGTTTGTTTTAAACCTTATTAGATGTATAAGTGGGTTTACTGAAACCACTGATTTGTCAAAACAAGTTTCATTTGGGTTTACTGAAACAAAATAGCTTGTCAAAATCTGTTTTAGTATGAAACATAAAAACATATCGGGATTCTGCATCATTCGGCTTTTTGGGACAATATATCTTGTCAGTAACCTGTGTCGATTTACTGAGACAATATAGATTGTTAGAAGCCTGAATCAGTCGGTTTACTGAGACAATATAGCTTGTCAGTAGCCTGTGCCAGTCGATTTACTGAGACAATACAGCTTGTCAGTAGCCTATATCAGTGGGCTTACTGAGACAATTTAAGTATAGCTTGTCAGTACCCTTTTTTCAGTTAATAAGACAATACAGCTTGTCTGCAGCACGTGTCAGTAGGTTTACTGAAATAATATAGCTGGTCTTTATCCTGTATTAGTCGGTTTACTGAAACCATATAATTTTTCTGGAGCCTGTAAGTGTCGGTTCAATGAAACAATTAAGCTTGTAACTAATATGTATGAGTGGGCTTACTGGGAGAGAGCCCTTATTAGTCGGTTTACTGAAACAATATAGCTTTTCAGTAGCCTGTATCAATGGGTTTTCTGAAATGTAACAGCTTGTCAGTAGCTTTTATCCGTGGGCTTACTAAGGCAACATAGGTTGTCAATAGCCTGCATCATAGGGCTCACTGAGAAATGTATAGTTTGTCAGTATCCTGTATCAGTGGACTTACAGAGACAACATAGCCTGTCATCAGCCTGTTTCAGTGGGCTTACTGAGATAATATAGCTTGTCAGTAGTCTATATTAATGGGTTTATTAAGACAATGAAGCTTTCAGTAGCTTGTATAAGTTGGTTTACTGAGATAAAAAAAAAACGCTAGCCATTAGCTTGCATCACTGAGCTTATTGAGATAATATAGCTTGTCAGTAGCCCGTATCAGTCGATTAACTGAAAAAAATTGCTTGTCAGTAGCCTATATCAGTCGTTTTTCTGGAACAATACAGTGTGTCAGTAGCCTGTATCCGTCGACTTACAGAGAAAATATAGCTTGTCAGTAGCCTGTATCCGTGGGACTACAGAGACAATATAGCTGAAAGTTGCCTAAAATGAAGTTAACCCACCGAAACATGTTTCTGGCAAGCTATGTTGTCTCAGTTAGCCCGCTGATACAGGCTTCTGACAAGTTTTATTGTCTCAGTGAACCGACTGATACAGGATACTGATAAAATAGCATGTCGTTAGCCTGTATCAGTCGGTTTACTGAAACAATATAGCTTGTGAGTAGCCTGTGTCAGTCGGTTCACTGAAACAACATAGCTCGTCAGTAACCTGTAATAATGGAATTTACTGAAACAACATAGCATGTCAGTAACCTGTATCAGTGGGCTTATTGAGGGAATATAGCTTGTGAGTAGCCTGTATCAGTCAGCTTACTAAGACAACATAGCTTGTCAGAAATCTGCTTCCGTAGGTTTACTGAAAACAAGTTATAGATTGTCGCCAGCTTGATCAGTGGGATTCAAACATTAAAGCGTTTCAGAAGTATGTGTCAGTGTGTTGACCGAACCAACATAGATTTTCAGCAGCTTGTGTCAGTCGTTTTACTAAAACGACATGGCTTTTCAGCAGCCTGTGTCATAGGTGTAAAGGAAATTACGTAGCTTATGCAAAACTTGCATCACAGCGTTTGCCTTGACAATTTTACTTTTAAGCAGCCTGCATCAGCAGGTTTGCTAAAACTACATAGTTTTTCAGCAGCTTGTTGTACAAAACCTGTATCACAGCGTTTACTAAAACAATATAGCTTGTCAGCACCCTATGTAATAGATATAAGAAGATGTGGTATGAGTGCCAATGAGACAACTCTCCATCCAAGTCAAAATTTATAAAAGTAAACCATTATAGGTCAAAGTACGGTCTTCAACACGGAGCATTGGCTCACACCGAACAGCAAGCTATAAAGGGCCCCAAAAATTACTAGTGTAAAACCATTCAAACGGGAAAACCAACGGTCTAATCTATATAAATAACGAGAAACGAGAAACACTTCTGAACCACATCAACAAACGACAACTACTGAACATCAGATTCCTGACTTAGGACAGGTGCAAACAATTGCAGTGGGTTTAAACGTTTTAATGGTACCAAACCTTCACCCTTATCTGAAACAATAGTGTAACATCACAACAAAGACCAGTAAATAAAATATCAATTGAAATGGCTTAACTCAATCAAAAGATATATTAACACCAGTGAACATTCACTGAACAAATAGATTTGATCTATGATACAATGTAAATACAAAATAAATAAACTAAGGGAAGAATAATTAAAGTAACATGTTATACTGCTGTGAAATGTTAAACAATTTAAGAAAAACAATATGCTTGAACAAAAATATCAGCTATTTGCAACTACTTTAAACACAGGTAAATGAAAATAATTTTGTTGTTAGGTATACGTGTACAGTTCAAATGGAGAAAGGAAATATTTTTACAAAATGAATAATTTTGGTGTTCATAGTACGAAGAAGTGAAAATTCATAGTAATACCAAACACTTATCAAAGCTGGTATATATGTAACACTCCCAAACGTGTCCTTCCCCCCAAACGTGTCCGTAATATTCAATATTCCCCAAACGTGTCCGATTTCATAACCCCAAAACGTGTCCAATAATTGTTATTCGCCGAAACGTGTCCACTATTAAACGCCAGAAAGTCTCACGTCTTTTAGCGCTAATACATGTATGTCCTGAATGAATTCAATACCGCGTTTACGGCAATTCTATGATTGGGGGAAACAGTTGATGAGGTAGTAATTTATTAGCATTAGTTTGTTCAATGTCGGTTGTTAAAGATTATCATAATTGCAAATTTAATATGTAACATATGAATTAACTTTTGACTGAATTTGCTTATTGTCCAGTTGCAAGTATTTCATGCTCATTCAGAGCGAACATACAAATAAATCTAGTGCAGTTGAATTTTAAAATCGTTTACTATGTAAATTATGTGTTACTAATAAACTCCGACGATGCCTTTTATATTCATCATACGGCGGGCTTTTAGCAGAATTGACTTCCTCTTTTTTCAACAGTTCTGATATTTTAAAAGCTCTTCAAATCATAAACTGGTTTTCAGGTTTTTTAATAAATTTTAGGTTTCGAGCATCACTAAAGACACACGAACAAGAGAAATAACGTCCAGTGCCAAATATTTTATGCATTATTTTAACGACATCATGTTAACAATAAATACTGTATATAGGTTATATTATCATACCTGGAATTTAGGATTGGGCCTAAATTTTGACGGTTATTCGGGATTAACACTAATTGGGATTTTAATCTAAAAAAGGTTATGCCGGTTTAAAAAAGACCTAAAGTAATTTATTTCTAGTTTTTAATAAAATAGCAAAATGAGTATACTTTAATGAAAAAACAATAACCAAATAACCTACGTATTTATAATATGGACACGAATGATAGTTCCAGTAAAAGAAAAAAAAAAATTAAGCTTGATATGGACACGGTTGGGGGAATGGACACGTTTGGGCGTTTAGACAAATGACACGCTTTGCCACCCTTTTACATTTAGACATGTTTTGCAGTTCAGTGACGTCATGTGGACACGTTTGGGGGAATCGGACACGTTTGGGGGGAAGGACACGTTTCTGAGTGTTACATATAGACCAGATATAACCCTGAATAAGTAAACATTTAATAACAATTTAATGCGGATAGTGTCCACATGTGGACACAGATGATGCCCCCGCTTGCATATCATATAGTTATAAAGGGACATAACTGAAGAACGGTAAAAGTGACGCTACCCAAATTTGAACTTGATCTGAGTTTTGTGGTAATAAGCATTGTGTGTAAATCTCATAACATTTAGTTGAGGCTAACTTAAGTAGAAAAACAGAAACTTAAAATTCAGCAATTTTTCTATTTGCAAACACGCATCTCTAGAACGGTTGTGTATAAGTTTTATAACATTTGGTTGAGACAAACTAAAGTTAGAGAACAGAAATGAAAAATTCAGCAATTTTTATGTTTATAAAGGGACACAACTCAAGAATGGTAAAAGTGTCGCCACCAAATTTCGAACTTAATCTGTATTATGTAGTAAAAAGCATTGTGTATAAGTTTCATATCATTTGGTTGACGGCACTAAAGTTAGAAAACGGAAACAAAACATTTGTACTTGATCTTAGTTTTGTGGTAATGAATATTGTGTATAGGTTTCATAATGTTTGGTTGGGGCAAACTTAAGTTACAGAATGGAAACTAAAAATTTTGCAATCTTTTGAGTTATAAAGGGGCATAACTCAATAATGGTTAAAGTGACACTACCCAAATTAAACTTGATCTGTGTTTTATCAGTGGAAGTCAAAATTAAACATTGCATTGTATAAAGCATTGAATGTAGTTGATTCCATTATATTCATGGACAAAGGAAGATAACTCCAATTTCAATATAAATTACTTGATATTTAGAAGAAAATAAAAATTTTGCAATTTTTCCATTTATAAAGAGGCATAACTCTAGGACGGTAAAAGTGACGCCACCAAAATTCAAACTTGATATGTGTTTTGTGGTAATAAGCATTGTGTATAAGTTTCATAACATTTGGTTGAGGCAAACTTAAGTTAGAGAACGGAAACGAAAAATTCAGCAATTTTTCCATTTGTAAAGGGGCATAACTCTAGAACGATTAAAGTGACACCACCAAAATTCAAACTTGATCTGTGTTTTGTGGTAATTAGCATTGTGCATAAGTTTCATAACATTTAGTTGAGGCAAACTAAAATTAGAGAACGGAAACGAAAAATTCGGCAATTTTTCCATTTGTAAAGGGGCATAACTCTAGGACGGTAAAAGTGACGCCACTAAAATTCGAACTTGATCTGTGTTTTGTGATAATAAGCACTGTGTATAAGTTTCATAACATTTGGTTGAGGCAAACTAAAGTTAGAGAACGGAAACCAATTTTGGGACGTACGTACAGACGGACAAGGGTAAAACTTAATGCCCCATCCGCTACGGCGGGGGCATAAAAAGCATTACAATTAGTATCAACAGGTCAAATAAACAATGGTTTACTGAAACAACATAACTGTTCAGCAGCCGGTATCAGTTGGTTTATTAAAATAACATAGCTTGTATGAAACCTGTACTGATATGTTCACTGATTATTTTATTTTTTTCATCTGATGCATAACGATAAGTCGGGTAACAACAATTTCTTCCAAATCCCTACTGTAATTTTCGAATTTTTATTTGTGTCTTATTTCAATGATTTTTACTTATTAAAGCTGAAAATATTAATAAAACCAACAAACAACTCACCCCTTCTTTTGTTATATTTCAATTTAGCAATTAAGGAATAATTTGAAAAATAAGTCAAACGACAAATATAAAGCCAGCTAAGGGTAACAATCATATGTCCAGTCCATAATACATAGCCGTATTAATGGTGGACGAGAGCAACAACGAAACACGAGAATAAGAATATCATCATGAAATCATGACACAACCAGAGAAATCAGCTATCGATGAGGTATCATAGGGGTTTGTTATTTTTGTTGTCTAAATAATAAACATAATTCCGTATAACGAACCAGGCAATTGACATTTGAGCGAAAGGCAGTACATTTTAGCGATAACATAGTGACGTTTGAGCGCCAAAGTATAGGACATTTGAGCGCCGAAAGTTTTAAACATTTGAGCGAAAATAAAAAATAAGCATAGGACACCTGAGCGAAAAAGAATTAAGAACGATGAAGGATTACCTCTTCCGTTCGCCAGATATAAACTGTTACCCGTGCTAACTACGGATAAAACTCGGCAATAGCATTATTTACAGGTCAGTTCGGGCTTGAAATATATATCCTAGGCTTCTGACATAAAAGAAACCTCGTTATTTCCTGCTGGCAGTGCGGTGAATGCAGATCAAGGAGATTCTGTTCCTTCTTCTTGTCTGTTCGGCTCTGAGGTTCATAAGGGGGAAACAACAATTCGTCTGTGATGTAAGTTTCAGTCAAGTAATCGGCAAAGTCTATACAAGGCTTGGCGTTAGGTAAATCGGTCATGAAATCCTTAACAAAACAGTCTGCTACTTCCTCTATCCCAAACACTCCTTTCAGCCATTGACCGATATATGAACCAACCTTTTTGTATTGTTGACTTAATCCAACTTTCTGTTTTTGCATAGCCAATGAATTATAGTAAAATGGATTGGTAAATAGAGACCAACTCAGAACGACACTGCCATTAACTAGCCAGAACCGGTCGAATTACTCGGGTGTAAAATAAAATAAAATATATTTATTTTAAAAACTTAACTCATTTTTCTTACTTTTTAAAAATATATTCTTAATTCATATAAAAGTATCACAGGAAATTTCGCACAAACGTCCTATTTGAAAATGCAGGTAAGGTCAATATTCCGGCGCTATATAAAATGTCCTATGATGTCGGCGCACAAATGACCCTATGTGCATTATTTATCTTCGCTCAAATGGCCTATGCCCAACGAACCATCATTAAAAAGGCAAAAATGAAAATTCAATGTAATTGAGGACTTCGCATATACTATCTGATGTTTGACACCTGTAGGAATATGACACTGGTTGTTTTCCATTTGTTTGATGTGTTTGAACTTTTGATTTTGCTATTTGATAAAGGTGTTTCCGTTTTGAATTTTCCTTGGATTTCGGTATTTTTGTTATTTTACTTTTTAGACAAGATGTTTAAACCCGCCAGTTTCGTTTCAAACTGTACGCACCAAGTCAGTATTAGCCAGGTCATCAGATTTTTGTAGAAGAGCTCTAGAAGTTGCAAATTTTCGATATCCTCGATTGTAGTTTTTTTTTTAATTTTCAATAATTTCATAAAAGTGGATAAATATAAAATAACTCACATGTTTAGTAACATTATGCAACAGATATGTATCACAACTCGGTAAATATCTGTTAAATTCCTTTTAGTATTTCTGGCTAACATAGTCACTGGACACATTTATTTCAAAAATATATAGTTTTATTTGTAAGTATCACAGTAAGATATAATTCACAAAGAACAATATATAAATAAGAATTCTTAGAATGAGAATTTCTGTAAATATTATTTAAATTAGAAAACTATATCACAATAGATGTACTGTCACCCGTTATAGAAATCTCCCTAAAACATAGTAATAAGTATAACTATGATGTTGCATGCATTTACATATTGAAATCGATTTTTAAATTCTGTTTACCAATTATATGATATTATTTATATAAGTAATTACTTGTTGCGTCATCAAATATTGATCAGAGTTCTTTAATGAAAAATATTATTTCTCAAAATACGTACCTTTTGACTTTTGTAAAAATAATTTATAGTCACGTTATTAAAACGTCCATAGCATGCAATTTACACACACATTATGTTTCTAATGTATATAAATGACATTGTCCAAAAAATACAATGTCATCCAAGACATGGTTTGAATAAAGATCTAAATAAAATGTACAACGAACCAACCAAGAAGTACATTGATGGTTGGTTGCATAACGTCCAGTGGCAAATATTTCATTCATGAAATACATCGAAAACTACCATTGCATAGTATACATAAATATATTTTGGTCGTCAAAAAAGAAAATAATTATATCACTACAAATGCACGAGAAAATAATATACATAAAAAGATTTTTTTAAATATTATCTTGTAAAAAAATAAATGCTATCACAGACAATTAATATGAAAATGAGTTTTTACTGTTTTAATGCAAGAGTTTCTGTGAATGCACACTTCAGATAAAAGTTACTACCAATATAAATTAATCTATTTAGAATATGTTTAAAGTTCACGAGGCCTTGATTAAATATCCCATCAAACGATGGTACATTGAGTGAACTAAACAGGTCTATATTTCATAATATAAAAACAATAAAAAGCGAAAAATATAATATAAAATAAACTTGTTCATGTATCACAGATATACAGCAAGAAAAACATTCTTTACATCTTCTTCTACATTTCATTTAAAGATATTTATATCAGAAAGACTTAAAATGGCAGTCAATGAAACGCCTATATAAGTTGGGATAAATATCATGAATTCAAAAAGTACCATATGTAAAATAGCTGAGGTGAGATAAGACCAGTATGATAATGTATTTGCTATTGCTATATGAGTATTAGTTTCGCTAGGTAGGAAAATTTCAGTAGTTAAGTAGTAGAATATCTTTATAATTCCTAATCTTTCAGAATTTTTACAGCTACTGTGATCTTGACCTTTTGACCTCCCCTCCATTTTTACGGAAAGAAAAGGATGAAATTCCACAAATTACATACTAACCTATTTGATAGTTATACTCAAACATTTCCAAATTACTGTTTTGATAAGATGTACAACATAAGTTTATAAAATGATCTTAGAAATATTCTGCTAAAGGTATACCCCTTATACCATTCAAATTGACTATCAGTTGACGCTTTTAAATGCAGTAGTTTATAATTCAGATATCATACAAATCCAAAACCGTTTCGTATAAGCAAGAACGTGGATAAGTGAAATAGTCTAATGAAAGTAAACACCCTAACTTACATAAAAACATAATATAGAAGTGTCATCTTTTTATTTGACACTTTAAATGTAATTATTTATGTTTCAGACATCATAAAAGTCTAAACGCGTTTCATTTCAGCAAGGAAGACGTGCATAATTATTCCATTTTACTGTGCTTGAATTAACAACACAAAAATGAAAATCTGAAGATTCGTTTGTACATTCATATGAGAAAAAATCATTATACTTCTATTTAGAGAATATTAATATTTAGTATTTAGTTTCGAGTAATTTATTGTGTGTAATTCAATAAGGCACCAGTTACAACAGACAATTATTTTTTACATTACGTCGGACATATAGTTTTCATGTGAGGAAGCTATAAATTAAAAATCATTATCATTCAAAATACCACGTGAATTTGTTGAAACTATTTTTAACAAATGAAATTAATCTCCTATATACATTTGTACTTTATCAACTACATGATTTGATATCACAATGAATTTTTACAAAAAAAAATTGAAAAAGAATTTTACAAAATTTTTGATTTTCAATAAATTGAAATGAAATCTATTCATTCAGGATAACTACTAATGGCAGGACATATTATCTTTAAAAACAAACAAGAAATTATAAGTTATTAAAAATATACAATATATATAAATAGTATAGGTTATTAGTTAAACTTTTAGATTCAAAAGAAAATGTTGATGAACCAACAAATTTATGAAATGGCACATCTTCATATCTAAAATAGCATCGTATTTTTCTGGGTTTAATACCTGCTTCCACAATATATTATGTTATTTCAAGTATCTTTCACAAATAAAATTCCTCAATTAACGAAGATTCAAACATTTCGGTACTAATGTCAAACCTATAAATACAAATGTTTAGTTATCTATTTGTTTATGTAATTGCATACAGTCATGGAGATGATGTGTAAACCTATTTTTCTCAACAGTTTTATGTATTTCTATTTATTGAATCCTCATGTACATCTTCTAGTTCGTCTTCCGGGCGGTTGACTACGAGCTCAAAATTGGGTATGATATCTTGGAATTGGGTACAAATGCTTAAGCTTTGTTTACACTGCTTACAAACTGCTTTTATAAGTATTTCTCTTTGGTGGTCGTCTACATGCACTCTGTATTTCTCCTGTGAAATCTTGGTTATTCTTATAGGACTGTGGATATAATTATTGCCCTTGGAAAAGATATGTGCTGGAGTATAAGATGCAATAAACTGAGTACTTGCGCTTCCCGCTATTGGTTCAATCATTTTCTTGCTGCTTATTATACGATATTGCGGTGGAATTTCACTTATTTCCTCAGAATGGTGTCGGTCATGCCCGACTGAAATATTAAACCAACCATCCTTCTTAACTTGTATACTTGTCGACATTGCAATCGTCGCATTTGATTGAGGTTCTTTATGTATTGCTATATTGGTGAAGTTTCCGATTAATTTATCGTTGAATAAAAATGAAATATCGGATTGCTTATCATCAGTGTCTGGGATTGTAAATCTTAAAACGATATTATTCTCTCCAAACCAGTCACAATAGAATGGTTTCAAGCTTAATTGTATTGCTGATTTTGTAATAAAATTGATTCTGTATAATGCTGGGTCATTATATTCTACTTTGTTGTTAAGTGGCCTCTTTATATGTAATCTTACAGAGTTTTGATCGCACATCAAAAATTGTAAGTCTGATTCAAAAAGGTCAATTGTGTCATCAGAGGGGTGCGATTTACATATATATCTGAATACTTTCGAATCAACCAGCTGTTTTTCATTGATTGATACTGAGAATTCTAGTGATGACGTCCCTTTCATTTTGAAAACTGCTGTTGTACCATCTACCTTAATAGAATGGAACATCGACAGATTTATCCCCTTTTCTTTACAATACAGATGACTTTGCCATAATACAGCTTCTTCAAATTCAAGATTGTCCGAATACTTGTTTCTAACTGTTATTACTTTCTTGTCTATTCTCATCTCATTGGAAAATCTCGCGATAATAGCGTTTTCTAATGTATTGATGACTAGAGAGAGTAAAACTTCTTTGATATGCACTTTTAGATTTGTATCGATAGGCGAGTTGTAGAACAATATTTCAATTTGTTTTTCTTGACCCATCAGGATAGGGTTCCTCAACGCACCTAATTTCTTTTTCGATATAATTCTGGTTTCACCTGTATGTTTCAATTTGACTGATTCAATACTTTTTAGCATGCCAGTAACTCGTTCTTGGATCAGTTTTAAATGAGAGCAAGGTGGTCTTGTTGATAGTATTAGACCATAAGTGCGAAAGAGATTGAAAAATGCAGTTTTCATTCGAGAGGATACAATGCAAATGGTTCTATGCGTGTGTTCTCTAGCCTCCTTAACATCATCCGATGATTTGATATAAGCGTTGAAAGATTGAAAATCGATTTCAATATCTGATGGCACAAAACCTAAAACCTTGAAGATGCTTTGAAAGTCTCTATTAACTTCATCTCTAATCATTGGGGTGTTAATGTGCAGCCTAGAGTTTGCGAGTACATAACGGAAATCTGGGGACAGTTTATCTCTTAAAACTGACTTATCGATCATTTCACCAGTTATAAAAGTATCAGCGTTCACGTTAATTTTGGTTGGTAACTGTGAAAGCACCTCCTGAAATAATGACTCATCCACAATTTTATAGACACGATTATTTAGCGATACTAATTCATTTGATGGCTGCTTTCTTGTGACTAATGTTGAGGATTCGAAACTGTTATGCTTCCAGCAAATCTTTTCCCCGTCTTTTTCTTCAACTTTGCACGTATAAAGTGGGAGCAATGATGCATCAGTAAAAACGTCTGTGTTTGATAACCTACCACGCCACCACCAACATCTTGAATGTTCTTTCAACTTTAATTTGACGACTCTATTCACCATGAAACTATTGTCAGAACTGATTTGATTACCTGGATCGATAAGTATTTTGACCCATAATCCATCGGGAATGCTGTTGTCATTGCTCAAAGAAAGAAGGTATTCGCCAAAATTGCTATGGAATACTTCATCAATCATATATTGAACTGCATGAACTATATTTTGCACACATTTTGTCATCATAGCAGTGGTAACCACATGTGGGTGTTCCAACTCTCGTCTGTATCTTTGGAAACCATAAGCTGCAATGCGTTTATCATCAAAACTAACATGAACATCTATGCCATAATTCTTTCTTAACATACTGGAACTTTCTTCTACTTTAAGTTTGATAGCATTGAATTGTTCCGATTTCCATTCAGAAAATGCTTGTTGATCCTCTATGTCCTCTAGTTTCTGTCGGATTTGTCCGCGTTCTATCGTTACGGCTTTCTGTGAATTCAGATAGGTACACACACTGATGGTAATAGTTTCATCTTGTAAGACTAACCCTGCGCCCTGAACTGATGGACTATTTCTAAGCAAAATCTTTTTCGCCTTCAATACCAGTCTCATGATTGCCTCACATTCATGTGCGATTACGTTGACCTCTCTGCTTACTCCCTGACAAAGCTTTTCATTTATCATTGTGCCATCTTTTATTCCAAAAGATTTGAGATCTATCTCAAGAGTTAACTTTTCTTTATATTTTTCAAACTTGCTTCGGTTGCCTACGTTTGTGTCTAGGTTTGCAATTCTATACACGGAATTATAAACGGCATCAGATAAATTGTGGTAACGTAGTAAAGCTATTAAAAGTGGAAAGTTCTCCCTATTGTATTTCAGATTACCTCGTTCGTATGTGAATTCCCATATTAAAATATCAGATAAGGAAGTTGTTTTAGCTTTTCTGGATATTTCTGGTCTTTGCAAATTATCGACATACACAACGACAACTTCACGAATGTGTGACAACGAATGAAGAGAGAAATCAACTGTTGCTTGGTCAAACATGTTAAACAATTCTCTACGTAAACTTTTGCACTGTAATAAAACATCATATAGACCTCCAAGCCAATTTCCGCTTGATTCACCGGACAACAATTTCAGAAGTAAGTCATAATTTCCGGTACGCCTGCGTGACTCAAGAGAATTCCAATCTATGCGTAATGTAACATCTCTTTCAAAAACATCCAAAACCTGAAAAATATTAAATAGAAAATATCATAATTTTTTTTTCTATACGTTTCATTGGACAAATTAAAATGCTGGAAATTAATCAATACAAAGTAATTTCTTTTTTAAAACCAAATTCAAAATTTATTTGAGAAAACAACTGTTAAATTCTTTTTCTTAATTTTTTTTTTATGTTTTCATTCTTTTTGTCACTACTTCTTCTCGTCTGATAGTTTATAAAATTTCATATCGATTAATCTTAGTTTTGTTAACAGTTATATTATTCCCTTAAAAGATTCTAAATTTTTAAATTAAGATAACTGCAAAATCACATGGAGAAAAAAATTGACATACGGTCGTCAATTTCAAATGCAGCAAATCCATCGATATATTGACAGATTACTTCATTTATAGAAATCGCATATCGAGACATTTCTAACATAAATGAAGCATACCAGTGTAGAAACTGTTGGGAGGACATCTGTCATCACACGATTTCTACTGATTACTTCATCAGAACGCTGTGTCAGAGAGTTGTCAATCATAAGTGCAGTACCAGTTTTTGTCTGTGTCAACACAACAGATTCTATGAAGTTCCCAGAAGAATCAATGTGTATTTTGGGAAGGCTACCTGGTCCTACTGGTTCACATGTCACCTTTATATTTTGGACCGCATTCAGCTTCTCGTATCCGTTTCTTGTAAAGGCTTGTAACTGTCGTCCGTATATATGACTTGATGCAACATATGCTTGTATTGTGACATGGTGTAAATGACTGCTTAGTGTGTTTTTTCTGAAGCTTTCAAAATCAACAGTATATTTTTTGCCGCATATGGCTTGAGGGATCAAGAAATTATCATCTATATTGGTACAGACTATATCTACTACGTCGTCGGGGAAGTTTGCAATAACCCACAAGTCAGCCATAGACAATTTGTTGTCAATTGGATCAGTGCTTATTGATTTTTCCCAATTTTCGTTCCCTGGCTTTTCTATGCCAGTTATCCATTTCACTTGGAGAGGAAGAGTTTCTGTCAGTTCATGGAATATTGAATACACAGTTTGTATATTTTGTAGTTTACTTGTTCGGTGCAAGAACAAAGCAGTCTGCATATTCCCAAAAGCAAAAGCTATTTCGTTCAATGATGCCTGATCGTTCTTACTTCGAATATTGGTCTCAATGTGTCCTTTGAGAAATTGCGTGTTACCGCAAGCCGCAGCAGACAGTATCAAATCACTAATATCGGTATCCATTTGAGAAAGATGTGCAAGAGTTACCGTGTATTCTGGTCTTCCCATTAATCTTTTTATTCTGTGATGTACAGTTTCTCCTGACGACGACGGAAGCTGCAATAGAACTTCCTGTAAACTGATATTGTCGTCTTTATATCCCATAGAGATAAGGATATACCTCCATAAAGAACTCTCTCGTGGTATGTTCTCCACCATTAATGTAAGAAGGAGTTCTTTTCTAGGTTTTCTGTAAATTGTTGCCAAACGTCTGCCATACGAATTAATACGTTCAATTTTCAAACTCTTTGGTTTATCTATAACGAAAAACTTTGCGCTTGTGTTTTGTGTGTTTATTGGTCTTGTATTGCGTTCTTTTATGTGATACTTATCAGAATTAAGGTAAAGTTTAGACCATCCTATGCACATATCAAGATTGCACTCTAAGCATGTGAAGTCGCTGGTCTCGGAATTTGTATGATGAATATGCTCTTTCGATTGTAATGACATTCCAGTAGTTAAATACGCCAGAATATGATGTTGTCCAAGTGCAACAGCATAAAGTAAAGGTGTCATTCCTTGGTGGTCTTTCTCTGTTCTATATGAACCTTTAGTTATGTCATCTACTAACTGCACAATACTAAGCTGTTCTGTTTTAACGGCAAGATGGAGAATGTTTTCGCCAGTGGGTAGTCTTTGCCATTTAGTTCCTCCCATTTTTAGTAATACTTTTACACATTCAAAATTTGAATTTGTTATGCCATATGCAAGTGCGCTGTAACCTTTTATTTCATGAGTACACACTTTCGTCAGTACATTTTCATCCTCTTGAATCATTCCGCATAGATATCCTAATGATTTTAAACAACCTTTCTGTGCGGCCATATGTATTAGAACAACAGTGTCAAGGAAATTTGTTTTTAAATTTGCCTTTATCAGATATTGAGAGCTGTGTATAGCAGACGCTGCTAAAATATCATTGCCATACTCTAAAGCAGACTCTATAGTCAAATGCGTTCGCCCTCTTAAAGATTGGACAAGTTCGTTTTTCTCCGATTTTTTTAATGTTTCGTTAAATGTCATATGATCTCTGAACCATCCACAACACTCTATTCTGTCGACTACAGAGTTAGAAATGCTCATTTTGTTTTCTTTCAATAAACGCGCTATTTTAGTCCTTCCACATACAACAGCATAATCAGTTGCTGAATATCCATTTCCATCAATTCGATTTAAAACCTCTGGCCTAGTCTGGATAATTTTTTCGACTATAGAATACATTCCATGGATTGCAGCTAGATGCAGAGAACTCATCCTATTGTCTGTGTCTATCACTAAACTGGTATTATTTTGTTCCAGTAATTGGAGGCAAAATTCCTCTCTACCATGCATTAAGGATATCCTGTACGCTTCCTCTATCTCTTGTCTTGTAACAGTCTGTCCCAGTTCCTTGTCAACGTACTGACATAGGTGTTGAAAAACTTCTTTATTTCCTTTTTGTATTGCTAATTTTAACAGGTCTCTGCCCTTCACACTGTTCTTAATCGTTCTATCATCCCTAAAACACTTTAGAAGGAAAACAATCGTATCTGTCGAATTTCCTTTTACTGCATATTCAAGCACACCCCAAGATGGAATGTGGAACTTTCCCAATAAATCTTTAATAGGTGATTCATCCAAATGACTGATAAGAGGAATTCTATTTCTGATCAGGTATTTAACGGTTTCCACTTGTCCATTCAAGCTTGCTAAGCAGATAAATGCAGTAAAGCAAGATTTTTGTTCATCCGTCATTTTTGATACTTCCAAACTACTAAGAATACTCTTCATAAATTGTATTTGTCCACTTTCTGCAGCCTTTGCCATCACTGTTTGCCAAACAGGACTTAAGACACCCGAGCCTATAAGAGTATGGTGTCCTATTACTTCAAGATAAGACCATAACTGTTTTTCTTTGGCAATATCAACTACGTCTGAATGCAATGTCAAAGAAGATTCTAGTATAAGAATTTTTTCCATCTGTTTTATAACTTCTTGTGCAAGTACGATCTTGTCGTTTTCATTTTCAGATTGTGTTAATAGTGGTATTATATCTATTATTGTTAAATCAAGCAAATATGGATCTGTGAGTTTATTTTCGCGTTCATTTGTTAATGTATCAACTAACAATTCAAAAACCCATGACTCTCCAGATATTAAGAGCACAGTCAGTAATTCTTTTGGAATGTTCGTCACGCCAACAGCAGAAATTTGGTCTTTTATCATTTTTGCCAATGATAGCTGGTGTTGTCCCTCTTTCGTCTCATTTGGAAAAACAACACAGGAATAAGAATTGTATATTTGTGTATACTGGCCACAAGGAAGAAACTTGAATAAGCATAGAAAGGTTTCAATAGTTCCAGTGTCAAAAAACTGTTTTAAGATTTGTTCCATGTTAGCTACTAGGCTTGTAAATTTCTGCTTAGAGTAAAGACAACCAGTTTTAAACGACATGATTGTTCTCGGCACTTTTAACGAATTCTCCTTAATTTGTGCGATTATTTCTCCAAGATGATAGGTAAATGCTCCATTTTCACCAGATGAAAAGTTTGGGGCTTCTAGTCTTGATGCATATCTCCAACAAATGAAGGACAATAACTGAGTCAGAAAATAAACTAATTTGTTTTGATTTTGTTTTGTCGACATGAACTTCCAAATTAATGCTTTAACGGTTGTTGAGTCTTGATTCATTTCGTTTGGCTTTTCTATATCAAAGTTGCCGTGCTTAATAGCGTAAATAATGGGTAAACAGCCACATCTATCCTCTTGTTTGAAAGCTGTTCTATCTTGTGCTATAATTTGAGATATTAATTCTTGGTCCCCTAAAGCATATGCTACATGAATTAGACCAGCACCGTTGACCTCTGCTACTTTCGAAAGTTTAATCAATTCCAACGCTCTCTTGTAATCATAAGATCTTTCTGTTTTAAAAGACAAGTATGTCCTCTTGTGTCGCTTTTGTTTTTTTGTATTTCCTTTCTCTTTTCCTTGTTTCTTCCGTTCAAATATGTTCCCACGCTTTTGTCCTAACCTGTAGGCCATCTTAACAGATTTGTTTACTTTCGTCTGATAAACACGCTTACCAAATGTAATATTCATATTCCCAGATGCGAAATTTGATAATGTATTTTCTGATAACTTTTCTGCACTAGCTTTAAATTTCCTCTTATTATCAAAATCCGGTGTTGCTCTTCTGCATTTTGGAATACAACCTTTAATCAATAAAAGTTGTGCACATTTCCAATGACGATTGCTTAATGCATACCATAGCGGTGATGCTTGAAATTTGTCCATGGAATTCAACAAATCTACTTCACCGACCCTTGTATTCGTTATTTGTGATGTCAAACATTGAATTGCTAACAGATTTCCATTTCTGGCACCATGGTGTAGAGCTGTCTTCTGTTCATTGTCTCTATACTGTAAGACGTCATCATATGAATCAATACCAATGGACACGAGGGTTTTTGTAAAAAGGTGTTGGCATAAATCTTCCTCATTTCTGGCAATTAAATACATAATTAAACCACTGAGAGCATTTTGCTTGATGGATGTGATGTGTTTTTCAATGAACTCCAACTGTTTTAGAATCACGCTGGTTGGGGAGTGTGTGCATATAAGATACAGAAACTCTAGTTTTGCAAGCATTAATCCCCTGAAAATTTAAAAAAAAAACTTAGATAGTAATTTGAATATTATAACAAATGTACAAAACACTCAGATCAATTTAATAATCATAACACACTGCAAACTACTATCAATCAATAGACTGTAACCTCTGTAAGGAGTTTCATTAAATGGGTATATATGCTTCACATGATATGTTAAATATTAATTTTTAGCTGTCTTTCCTAAAGAAAGCATACTATTTTATTAAATCTTTTCTCAGAAATTCGTTTGTGAGTATATTATTTTGTCCAAAACCATCTTATCATAGTTTGCTATATTTTTTACATTGCATTTCATACTAACCTTTCTTCATTGATTGCGTTTATGATTAGATGCGGAGCTTTCTCCATAAAATACTCTATGATTTCCCAGAGACGATATACAGCACACGCACAGGTCAAACGAGCTTCGTCTTTTAATAGTTTATCAGATTGTCCTATTTCTAACCTAAAATATTCATTTTGTAATTATGTATATATATATATATATATATATATATATATATATATTTACTTTTCAGTATAAAAACTATTTTGCGTAATTAAGTGTATTCTTACTAAAAATTACTGAATTGTTGTTATATGCAGTCTGTTAAAATTGCAAGATTTCATCGAAATCCGTAATGAGTAAACTCTTATATGAGAGTAACTTGTAGTAACTTTTAACTTCAAAGTTGATTAAAATGCTTAGGCGAAACTGTGTTAAGAAAATATAAAATGTATGAGATTGAAAAATAAAAAAGGTGTTCGTGTTTATTTTTATAATTAACCTTTCATAATTAGGTATTCATTATAACATTAACGGTACCAATTTTATTGCACCAGGTGCGCATTTCGACAACTAATGTCTCTTCAGTGATGCTCGAGGAAAAAATATTTGTCCAAAACCTAATACAAACAATATAAGAGCTGATAAAACCAAAAGGGACTAAAAGTAAAGCCAAATCCGACAAGGAATCAGAACTATGCATGAGAGAGATACATTCCTCAATTTAAAATGATTTTGATATTTAAATAGAATAATATCGGTATTTTCATGCCAGTACCGAAGTCCTGGCTACTGGGCTGGTGATACCCTCATAAGTATTCATCATTTACAACTTTTATATCATTGCACATTCCATTATATCTTAATCTCAATTATGGAACTAAACTTTGATTTTGATTCATGGTGTTAAAGTTGACAAAAGAAAACATTGCTATATGTCAAACTAGGTATTTTTTAATTATGTAATTTTTTAAACCTAAACAAACCTCTCTTGTCGGCACGACACTTACCTAGACCATACATCCTTTACAATTTTCAGTCTGGATTTGCCATGACGATTGTCTGCATAATAAGGATTTGCTTTTGAAAAATGCCAGAAACTTCTGAACTGGTAGTTAGAACTAGAATAATGAAAACAAATTTAATCATTGTACAAATGCAACATATAAAATGTGTGTTCTGGTGATTTAATTGTGACAATCGACAATTACAAGATAAGAAACAATAGACAAAATTACAGCTGTTACGACAAAGATTTACCAACATTCAGTAGTACTTTTACATTGAAAATATATGATCTGCATCTAAAGCTATTCTACATTTTATGTTGTGTTATAATTCTTGGTTAAGTAACGAGGAAGCTTAGGCATCAGTAGTCTTAAACAAATTATAATTTATAAAGTTTAGTTGACAGAGTGATCTCTGGTACCAGACCAGTGAATTTCCACATCTATGTTTAAGCAACTTGAATTTGAACCCGCTAAAGGAACAACATGCATGTATAAAAATGCATTTCTAACAATGGATGGATGAATTCCATATGTAGATCTAAAGTGAAAATCCTGAACTGCCATTGACTCGGCTATCAAGAGAAGAAAACATATCGTAGAGAAGTAACACTTAAAGTTGCATATATAATAATCATGTCAGCATACCTGTTCCAGATGTCTTGTGCCATTTTTATTCTCGACTTTCCATGAAAAGACTTATCAGCATATTCAGGATGACCTTTCAGACAATGCGAGAACCCTCTTATTAGGTGAAAATGACTTGATTCATTGGTTTCCCATTCCATACAATGCATATCTTCAACATATTCCCAGTACCGTCCACACCATTTCTCACCCCAATAACTTGCATCTACCATTTTTAGGATTTTTTGAGCTGCAGTTAATACATAATGTACATAATGTAATATCTATAATTAAAGAACCTTTGTGAGCACGATCAAATACTCAACGCCCCAACATTGTCACTGGCAAACAAAATATCACCAGATTCCTAATATCAAAGATTCAAAACACCTACAAAATTCAACTGATACAAAATTTCTTGTGGATTTGCACATCTATATATTATGTTCTCATTAACTACAAATTTTAATGAAATGCTGTTGTGTGGTATCAGAGGAGTTGCGTTGAAAAACTGTTGCAGTAATATATTTATGTAAAAATTTTAAGTTCAAAGGGGCATAATTCCTAGAGAAAAAATGAATCATAATTTCCTGTCGTTATGCACATCTACACAGTATGTCCGTATTATCTACAAAGTTTCATGCAATTCTGTTGTGTGGTTTCATAAAAGTTGAGATGACCAGAACAGGACTGACGGACTGACAGAAGAACTGACTGCCGGACGGAGGTTCGGGTCAAAACATTATACCGTAAGCAACCTTGTTGCGTGGGGTATAATAAAGGTCAGGCAATACCACGATTCAAAGAAAACGACAGAAAGACAGCACTTCACAGTACACTACAAAGAAAACTACATATACAAAGCATAATGTTCTAGATTTCTTTCAATGACTTGATAAATAAATACTTCTGCAGTATTGTATACCCATATCATTTTTGCATTCTTTAATGATTCATTTAATAAATTATGGGGATGTAGGGAACCGTCACAAAAGGTAACCGTTTTCACTAACTTTATTATAAGTACAATATGGAAAAATAAGCAGTCTGCATATCTTTCCAGTGACAAATATGTATTGTGAAGAAACGATCACACCAAATTTGCAAAAAAATAAATGTTTCTTGCAACCATAACCATTAACGAAAGAATCATAAGCAAAATCATGTTGAGCGCAAGGTGTACTGTTTGAAAATCATCCTTTTAATTCCAATAATATACCAGTTTTAATCAATTTGAAGGTCCATGACAATTAAAAGATATTTCAGAAGGGAAAAAAGAAATTCTACAATATCCAGTTGTGCTTAATACTTATATGGAAATAAAGAACAATTGCCATTGCATTTATTTTGTTTTTCATTGATATTAGTGGAAATGCGAATAATTAAACAAATATATTTTATTATTCAAAGATTGATTGAATTATTTGAGCTCTTCTTATAAAGGTCCTTAGAATATCCATAATATCGGTACCTCTGCATTGTCCTATTCTAATCCTTATATAAATCTCGGACTTATCCTATTTTACCCCTTTATTTACCACAAACTTTCCCTGTTTTAACAACTATGTTTACCACGGATTTGTCTTATTTCTACCCTTATATTTTCTTCGGACTTATTTATTTCTACCTGTTTATTTATTCATGGACTTATTCCTATTATAAACATGGACATGTTCTTTTCGCATCCCTATATTTACCTCGGACGTTCCCGATCCCAACAACTATATTTACCTCGGACTTGGCTCAATCCTACCCCTACATTCACTTCGGATTGGTCTATTCTAACCATCTATTTACCTTACACTATATACCTATTCTATCAACTATATTAACCTCAGACTTGTTCTATTCGACCCCTTAATTTACCTAACGTGTTCTATTCTAACCCTAATATTTACTTCAGACTTGTTCTATTGCAACCCCTATGTTTACCCCAGACTCAGCCTATTGTGACCCCTACACTTAACTCAGACTTGTCATATTCCTACTCCTATAGTAACCTCTGACTAGTTATATTGTATACGATCACTATATTTACCTCGGAATGGCCCTATTATTTGAACCCCTATATTTACCTCAGACTTGTTCTATACCAACCCCTATATTTAATTCAGAGTTCTATTATTACCCCTATATTTACTTCAGACTTGTTCTGTTGCAACCCCTATATTTGCCTCAGACTTGCCCTGTTGTAACCCCTATATGTAACTCGGAATTGTCCTATTCGAACACCTATATTTACCTAGGAATTGCCCTATTATAATCCCTATATTTACCATTGTATGCATCTATGATACAACATTTCTCAAGAGTCTCAGTTTTAACCATTCCATTGTTATCCATGAGAATTTTGTAGTTCTGCCAATATCCTGCAGTAACGGCTATATCTAAAGGTGACACTCCGTCTTCGTTCTCTACATTTGTATCTATTGTAACTGTCGCCTGTAATTATAAAACATTCAACTATTAATAATTTAATGAGACATCAACCTAACAACATAAATGAAAAATTTAAAATTAAAACATATAAAGATCAACATACATTATTAAAAAAAGACAGGTTTTTGTATAATATTGCAGGATCTAAAACATAATGTAAATAAATTAAGTAGATGCTATTACCAATAAATTCTTAGAATAAACAAAATAAAGCAAATTATACCATTTTTTATCAATGTATAAATTATATAACTGATTTATACGAATTTAAGGAAATAACTCCAAATTGCGTTTGGTGCTTTCGTCTGAAATCATATACATCTTGAATGGAGGTAATTTTGTGGTTAATTCTCTTTAGATTTTGTCGAGTTTGTGTTATTATTTTTAAAACGGACTTTTCACTCAACATTGAAATGTCTTAAACTTTATCACAGGGTGACTTTAAGGCGCAATTTTTCTCAAAAATATGATGAATTTAGCTGTAATATTACCTTGATCACCATTTTGAGAGCTGAACTGTCTTGCAAACCTGCAGATAGGTGCAAAACCGATGTTCCAGGTCGAAGCGATTTCTTCTTGTACAATGTATAACAATGGCTAAGGAAAAAGTCTTCTTTACTTCTTACAAAAGGAGATATATCTATGTCTTTGCCCAGAAGATAAATGTGTGGTAATACTCCTGGAACTTGCTTCCAAATCTTTACAACATTAAAATGTCTCATTTTTTCTCCCGCAATCAATTCTAGAACTGTTAAAACCAGTTTTACCATATTATCTTCAATTTTCTCAGCATCTTTCCTACTTTCAGCTGGTAAAATATCCAAATCAATTCCAACGTCTGCTCCCGCGTCTGATCTGAAGAACTTGGCTCCATATTTTAAAACTTCATTTAGGACATTTTCAGGAGTATCCTTGCTTGCTGCAGCTAATATAATATTTTGCAAGTAAGAAATATTTACAAGTTTCTTCGACGAACTATTATATATTTTCTTGTGAAAGTGTCTCTGGAAGGCACAGCGTTTATCAGAGAGTTCACATTTCCATATAATATCTGTCGATTTCTTAATTAATAATTCCGCCACGTCATAGCATTTCATTTCAATACAATCTCTCAAACATTCACATACTATGTGAACATCCCCAGTATAGTTCATGCCAAGATTTGGATCGTGATTAAGTAAGAGAGTTCCAATCTTGCTGAAAATGTCAATTTGTGTTCTAGGCTTACTTTTCAGAGCAGGATGGTTTTTGTGCAACAATTTGCCCAGCAAGGAATGTTTTCGTACAAGTGGAATCTGTGATGACTTACATAGGTCGTGTAAATGTTTGTTTTTATCTTCATGTTTTTCTGTAGATCCATGTTCTTTGTGTTTGTAGTAGCGTGACAAAAGATATTTCATGACATCGATTGAAATGGCCCGCGAGCTAATAGCAATACTGAGGATATCCATTTCAGTGATTTGTTTCGCGTCGTTTTTTCTCCATTTCTTCAATGCCGTTTCCACAATATCTGCTGATCCTGATGAAGCAGCCATTGCCATAGTTTTGTCACTGATTGTTTGAGCTTTTTCAATAAGAATCTTTGTTATATCTGTATTCTTGTTGTTTATTGACAGACCAACCACTACCTCATCTAAAGACGTGTCATTTGTTCCGTTCAGTGTACAGCCAATAGAAATCAGGTACGTCAGTAATTGTAATGGAGTACTGTCTCGCTTTGAATGTGAAGCTTGTGATACAACTCGATGTACGGCTCCAGACTTCTCAATATCTGGTATAAGTTCAAGAACATTTTTTACCAATCTCAATGATTTTAAGTCTAAAGCTAATGATAAGCAATTGCGTCCAAAGTTGTCATGGTAGGTTGAAACTGTTTGATCTAACTTGCGTAACTTCCGCATGACTGAATAATTTCCATCCTTAACTGCTAAAAAGAATGGCGGAACAGTGGTCTTCTCTTTGGTGTCTCGTTGAAGATACTCAAATGCCTTCAGTTTGATCTTCTTCCCTCTCCTATCCGAGGGAACAACACATCTGTGTCTAAAAGAAAAATCATTTGAGACTTGTAAATTATTGTCTACGACATTTCTTCATTTCCTCTTGCATAATTACAAATGCAATGAATGGTAATTCATTCTTAGTTTCTGATTCAACTTTAAAAAAAATAAATTGGTAGTTTCTTTAAAAAAGTAAAAATATAATGATTTTTACCGTAGAAATTAATGTAAATGAATGAGGGCCAATTTGCTTGGAATTTATTTCATCCGAGGGCCATTTTCGAAAGGCCTTTCAAGCTTTACAATAACAGACTTATTTCTTAACATATCAACAACTCATAAACAACTGAAGATAGCCGAAAACCTCAATTTTGATTAATTTGTCCCAAAATGAATAGTAAGAGCATTCTTAACCAAAACCCAAATCATGTAGGAAGGAAAGCTATACACTGCTTTTCGGATTCAAATTGGTTCATTTTGGTAAGAGACGTCCTTCCATTAACAACTTCACAAAAATATATAAAATTTGCAATTTTGTTAAAAAAAACCTTCATCAGCAACGCACTGTGGTTAAATACTAGCATTATTTTACGGCAATATTTGAAATGGTTAAAAAATATATTTACGTATAGAGCGCTATATATTCTTTTAAATAAAATTTCCGGTAGGATATGACATCTTTTAATTTTTTCCCCCAAAAATACATTGAGATCGGTGCTATCCTTCTTTCTATTCGAAAAGTAAATTAAATCGGATGTAAATGAAATATTGAAAAAATAACTGATTGCAACTAAAATCAGTTCTTTTGTAAGATGTATAAAGCATCACTGGCTTGGTTAACTCATATGGTTTCCGTTTTTCATTAATATTTAAGATATATGGCTGTCTTTTCCCTATGGCTTAGTTATCTTGCTCTTTATATACAAAACAAAACTGTTATTTCATTTACAAATTGTATTTATGTGGTTATTTCTGGCCGCTATCATACCTGTAGCGATGTGTATATTACATATGCAGGGAAGGTTTCATTCATTTATACTTATCTGTTTTAAATTGATCGTTTTCTAATAAGCTTTCAACAGTTTGGTTTATTTTATTCTTTTTATAAACAGTTCTAACTACATTGTAAAACTAGTTATTTTATATAGAGATTCCCTACATTAATAGAGAATACTTACATTGCTAGAGATTTGATAAGCCGTTTGCATCCACTACACAACTGATAACTAAGCTTAGGTGATTTTCTCGGCTTTTTCTTGACATAGTTGTGTTCTTTTTCTCTTGATGTCCATAATGTAGACACAGTGGTTCTTTGAAGAGAGAACTGACTATTGACATTAATGGAGTTATACGATGACCCTTGTTTCAAAGAAACACTTTTCCCACGTTTTGGCTTGTTTTTAAATCGAATGTTAAACGTACTATCATCCATATCATGCAAGTGTGCCCTGAAGTCTGTAAAGATGACTTCTCCAATCCATGAATGGTCGGGAATTTGATGTTTGGTTCTAACACTTTCATCAGCGACCATTGGTTTTGGTCTGGTAGACATTTTTTCAACGACAAGATCAAATGTGCTCTCTTTCAGATGAATACTAAAATGCAACAAGCCATATCCATCTTCATCCTGTACTTTCAGATCAATAACTTGTTCACAATTTCTCAACAGGTAACATACAATATCATTCCTACAGTAGTATGCAGCCACCAGTAGCGGTGTTCTACCATTTACATCTTTAATGTTAACTTTTACATGTTTGTTCTCCATCAGACATTTCACAATATTTGCGTTCCCTGTTCCGCATGCGTAATGAAGTGGAGTCGATCCTCTCCAATCAACCGTATTCGGATTAGCACCCCCTTTCAAAAGGACTTGAACGCATCGAAGTTTGTTCGACTGTGTTGCTTCATGCAAAGGAGATCTGCCAGAAAAATCACAAGTGTTAAAACTAGCACCAAGTGATTTTAAGAGAATAAGCGTCTCAGAAGCACCATAAAGAGCTGCATCATATACGTAAGTGTTCAAAACGTCCGGTATTGATTTAATAGTTGGTAGTAACATGCTGGCCATATTTTCAAAATGTTTCAATGGTTCTTCGTCTATATATTTATGTTTAAATTTCCTCAATGTTGCCTGAACTGTGCTCATCACCATACATACAGTTGTTTCTTCTAAAGCGATATCTTGACGGAAAACGTTGATCTCGTGGCAGCCTTTGATATGACCATGCCGGATACAGAGTTGCAGCCCTTTGTTCACATCATAGTCGTCCATTTCAGGATACATTAGTATCTGGATTTGATCAATAGTCCCAAATTTACAGGCAATATGGAAAGGTAAAAAATCGGTAAGATCCCTCTGAGATTTGTCAAATCCTTTCGACACCAAAATTTTCGTCACATCTAAAAGTTTGAATTCAGCAGACATATGAAGTAATGTACTACCTATCTGCACTTCTGATGACACTGATATTGATTGCGCAAGCTGATGGACGTGTGAGAAATTCTTGTTTCTCATGGACATATACAATAGACAGAATTGTACACGATTGTCCACACAATCTGTCTCTAACTTCGATACGATGAATTCGACGTCTTTTGGACTCTGTTTGAACAGCAAGTTTAAGCAGCTGTTACCAGTAAAATCTTCTGTATCAACATCTGCATTCAGTTGAATCAGGTAAGTGATAGTTTGTGCCTTACGTCTGTAAAGAGCTCGATGTAGCGGTGTACGCTTCCAGTTATCAAGATGATAAATCATTTCACTTCCCATACCTGCCACTATTATCTCACAAACATCTAAATTTCCATTGACTGCTGCGTAGTGAAGGGGTGTTGCACCCCTCTGGTCAGTTAGAAATTTGGCTGTTGTCCCTTCTGATAGTTGATGAATAGCTGTTCTTAGTTCTTCTTTAAGTCCGATTGCAGCAAATATGTGAAGAGGTGTACCGCGACATTCTGAAAGAAACAGGAAGGTTATTTGAATTAAAAATGTCCAGTAGTTAAATCATATTCCGAATGAAAATATATCGATATTATATGATGGCGAATCCATGCATTAAAGAACATTATATCACTTAGCATGCATGAGAAAGTTAAATATAACTAGAGGTTTCAAAGAGCCTGTATCGTTCATCTTGCATTTTTGTCAGCTTATTAGTTTTGACGACCAAGTTTTTGTCTATCCATTATAGTTTTAAAATATGCAAAAATGAAATAGGGGTTAAAATTGTGATTTAGGGGCAGCAACTTCTATAATGAGTCGATTGACGATTTTACAAGTTTAGATTCAGCATATCAAAAATCCTTTGAATTCAATTTTTGTTAAATTCAAACTAAGTTTAGTTTTGGACCCTTTGGACCTTAATGTGGACCAATTTGAAACCCGGTCCAAAATCAAAAATCTAAATTACGCGGTTAGATTCAGCATATCAAAGAACCCCAAAAATATTATTTTTGTTGAAATCAAAGAAAGTTTAATTTTGGACCCTTTGGACCTCAATGTGGACCAATTTAAAAACGGGGTCCAAAATCCAAAATCCAAATACACGGTTAGATTCGTCATAATAAAGAACCCCAAGAAATAAGCAATTAAAAATAAACTGCTTCGCTGAGCGCAGCTGGATACGCCCGCAGAGGTCCAACCCTGAACAGTTGGGGCAAAAATGGACACAATATTCAAGCTTGATACAGGTCTGAATTTGGATTGTAATTAAATATTTGACATATTATAGGTTTCTGAATAAATGTAGTCAAAGAACTTGAAATTGGTTATATGAATTGAATTTATATTCAATTAAAGATTTCTTGCTGTTGTACAATACACTGTGTTGTTGTGCAATACACTGTGCTGTTGCGCAATACTTAGTAAATCTGTTGTCTGACTATAAACAAATAAAATCTTATAACACGGAAACGTAAAATCGAAAATTTATAAAAATCAAAAGGGAGCTTACATCAATAGATATAAACAATTTACCAAAGTTTCATAAAAAATGCTTTCAGCATTTTTGAGTTATTGTCTGAAAACTGGAAAATCCCCCTTTTTGTAATGAAAAAAAACCCATAAATCGGAAACGTATAGTCTAAAATTTATAAAAATCAAAAGGGAGCTCATGTCGATAGAAATAAACAATTCACCAAAGTTTCTTGCAAATTGGTGAAATTGTTTTTGAGTTATTGTCCGAAAACTGGAAAATTCCCCCTTTTTTAATGAAAAAACCCCAAAACTCGGAAACGGTACATCTGAAATTTATAAAAAAACAAAAGGGAGCTCATGTCAATAGATATAAACAATTCACAAAAGTTTCATGCAAATTGGTGAAATTGTTTTCGAGTTATTGTCCGAAAACTGGAAATCCCCTTTTTTTAATGAATAAAACCCCAAAACTCGGAAACGGTAAATCCGAAATTTATAAAAAAACGAAAGGGAGCTCACATCAATAGATATAAACAATTTACCAAAGTTTCATGCATATTGGTTAAAGCGTTTTTGAATTAATGTCCGACATGTTGACGACGGACGAACGGACAGACGGACGGACAACGGTATACCATAATACGTCCCGTAAACGGGCGTTTAAAAAGTATTAAAAAAGTAATGTTTTTGGCCCTTTTTCCCCAAACGGTTAGGGCCATAACCCCCAAAACCTATCCCAACCTTCCTTTTGAGGTATGGAACCTTGCGGTATAATTTCACAGAGATCCATGATACACTTATACACAAATTATTGTCCGGAAACAAGAAAAATGCTTGTTTATGGCCCCTTTTTGGGCCCTTATTCCTTAACAGTTAGAACAATAACCCCCAAAATCAATCCCAACCTTCCTGTTGTGGTATGGAACCTTGTGGTACAATTTCATAGAGATCTGATCCATATACTTATACTCAAGATGTTGTCTGGAAACCAAATGTCTTCGGACGACGACGACAACGACGACGACGCTGACAACATGATAATACTATATACGAACGTAGAAAAATTTGCAGTCGTATAAATTAATAAACTGCTTCGCTGAGCGCAGCTAGATACGCCCGCAGAGGTCCAACCCTGAACAGTTGGGGCAAAAATGGACACAATATTCAAGCTTGATTCAGGTCTGAATTTGGATTGTAATTAAATATTTGACATATTATAGTTTTCTGAATAAATGTAGTCAAAGATCTTGAAATTGGTTATATGAATTGAATTTATATTCAATTAAAGATTTCTTGCTGTAGTGCAATACTTAGTAAATCTGTTGTCAGACTATAAACAAATAAAGTTCAATTTATTCTCAATGTCATATTAGAAATTTATGAAAATAAAAAGGGAGCTTACATCAATAGATATAAACAATTCACCAAAGTTTCATGAGAATTAGTGACAGCATTTTTGAGTTATTGTTCGAAAACTGGAAAATCACCCCTTTTTTAATGAATAAAACCCCATAACTCAGAAATGTAAAATGTAAAATTCATTAAATTCTAAAGGGAGCTTACATCAATACATACAAACAATTCACCAAAGTTTTATAAGAATTGCTGAAAGCATTTTTGAGTTTTTGTCCAAAATCTGGAAAATCCCCCCTTTTTATGCCCCCGCCGTAGTTTTATGAATAAAACCCTGTTACTCGGAAACGTAAAATCTAAAATTTATAAAAATCGAAAGGGAGCTCATGTCAATAGATATAAACAATTCACCACAATTTCTTGCAAGTTGGTGAAAGCATTCTTGACTTATTGTCCGAAAACTGGAAAATCCCCCTTTTTTTAATGAATAAAACCCCATAACTCAGAAACGTAAAATCTAAATTATATAAAAAACGAAAGGGTGCTCACGTCAATAGATATAAACAATTCACCAACGTTTTATGCAAATTGGTTAAAGCATTTTTGAGTTAATGTCCGACATGTTGACGACGGACAGACAGACGGACGGACGGACGGACGGACGGACGGACAGACGGACAACGGTATACCATAATACGTCCCGTAAACGGGCGTATAAAAATATGTAAAAATCTTCTTCCAAGGGAAATAACTCCAATAAGGAGTTGACTAACGACTTCTGTCATTGAACATATTTGTAGATCTTGTCCAGCAGATCATATTTTTTTTTGTTTACAGTTTCTGCCTATCTAGAAGGTTTCAACAAAAAAATCCAAAATTGGTAAAAAAAAAATTATCATTAAAGAGCAATAACTCCAATAAGAAATCGTTTTTTTTCCCGCCATGTTGATTTATTTGGAGATATTGCCTGACATACACATCAATTTTGCTATAATTGTTTCTCTTTTATCTATTGCAGCAAAACAACGCTAAATAGGTAAGATCATCATTCAATGGCAATAACTCAAATGAGGAATCGATTGATAATTTTCGGGTCATCATGATGTTTATGTTTTTCAATACATTCAAATTCCAGTAATATAATTTGTATTATCAATATCTTTAGATGTAATGAGCTCTACTTACATGTTTACAACTATACTTCCATAATCTGCTTGACGAAGATTATTATTTAATAACTATAATATTTTACAAACCTACAAGTTTACCGCTCCATGACATAATGTCAGTTGGGATATGTGCAAAACCATCGATTGCACTGGCACTCAATTCTTCTCGTAGAACTTCTGGTGGCCAGTGGCTAACTTTACTTCTCTCAAACAAAAATATCACACATGCACACGAAATGGAGAACCTCTTTCCGTCATAGTTGTACCACACCTTGTATGAAAAGAAGATACATATGAGTTGAGAATAACTGATCAACTCGGTCCGGTTAAACAAATAAATTGAACATGTATATAAAAAAGGAGATGTGGTATGATTGCCGATGAGACAAATATCCAGCAGATTCAAAATGACCATGGATTTAGGCAATTATAGGTTACCGTACGGCCTTCAACACCGGGGAAAATAGCTATAAAAAGCCCCGACATGACAAAATGGGACACAATTCCAATGAAATAAAAACCAACGTTCTAATTTATGACAAAACAATAAACGGAAAAAACATAAAATGGACGGCAATCTTCGACATCCACTAAAGTACAGGCAAACATATAACGGACGGCAATCTTCGACATCCACTGAAGTACAGGCAAACATATAACGGACGGCAATCTTCGACATCCACTGAAGTACAGGCAAACATATAACGGACGGCAATCTTCGACATCCACTGAAGTACAGGCAAACATATAACGGACTGCAATCTTCGACATCCACTGAAGTACAGGCAAACATATAACGGACGGCAATCTTCGACATCCACTGAAGTACAGGCAAACATTTAACAGACAGCAACCTTCGACATCCACTAAAGTACAGGAAAACATATAACGGACGACAATCTTCTACATCCACTGAGGTACAGACAAACATATAACGGACGGCAATCTTCTACATCCACTGAAGTACAGGCTCCTGACTTGGGACAGGAAAATTTAGAAAGTGGCGGAGTTAAACATTTTTGTGAGCACAAAACTTCCCTAAACTTGACATAGAATGGATGGTGGAGACGTGCTCGCACAGTGTTCGAACGGTCGTGCGTTTGATCCCCAAACGGATAAATAACAAAGACATTAAAATTGATGTATTATGTTTCTCAGCAAAGAACGCAGTATTAAGAATAACAAAGACTTGTTGGATTGGAGAGAGAATGATGTATCCTGGTAAGGTGACAAAGTATTGCTTTAGACCTTTGTAAGCTAGCACCTTGACAATCCTGCTTAAATAGTGCGTTGATCTATAACAAGCAGGTTTCATGTTCATGTCATATAAACATAGTATCATGTTATCGTCCTACATAAACATGTTTTATTTTCTCCTGAACGTGCATAGTAATGGACAATCGACACAAATAAATTAATCAATTAAACTGGGAATATGCCTACAAATGTGTAAATCAATTTCAAATAAGAGATGATTCCTTGTTCAAAATCATTTACCAAATTTAAATTATAAAACGGATTGCATATTTAATGTAGTAAAGAATAAACCATGTTAAAATATTCTGAATTACAAGAACAAAATCAGAGAACATACTCGTAAAAGTCAGATAAGGGAACACATCACACTTATTTCTCAAATAAAACTTATTTTGGAACAGAAAAAAAGTTTTGACAAAAAATAGTTTGACAAGCATTGTGTGAGACAAGAATAAGTTAACTCCAATTTAGAGACATACAAGCATAAGAAAAAATATACAGAAGATAACAAAGACTGAAATGAGTTGGATATTGAAGAAAGTTTTAATTAAGAACCCATGCAATCACATTTCTATGATAAAATAAGATAACTTGTGAAATTTTCAGAGCTTTAACCATCTTGGATTGTAAAATAGCAGTACTGAATAGGTATAATTTTTTGCCTAAATCTGCAAGCTTTGAGACAGATTGGCAATTAGTGTGTAAGACTGTTTATTGAATAAAGAACAATAAGTGGTTTATTGCATTATTCAGACTGTTTTAACGAATATCAAATATTTGTGTTTGTTTGAATCAATTTTTCAACTTAGCCATTTCAGGGGAGATAACTCTTATAATAATAAAAGTTCTATAAAGGAAAGTTAAAGAAATTTTAAATTTTTATCTGTAGCAAGAAAACAAGTTCGGTGACACCATTTTTTCTTTTTATTTTCTTAAAGCATATTATAAAACCTTTCTTCTCATATTTTATTTCAAAGTTCTATCTCATAGATTTTTTTTATTCACAAAAAAGTGTTTTTTCATGGATAATCTGTGCAAAATTTGGCAAATTTGCACGACCTGTAGCATGAAAAATAGCACGGTGACCCATACTTTTTATTATTTTTTTTAAAAAAGCATGGTAAAATCTACACTTTAATAAAGTATAATAAATTCTATCTGAGAAAATATATACCGATGATCCTCGATTATTGTTTAATACCTAAGGCCCTTGGCGTAGTGCAGGCAGAGTTGAAACGATGTCAAAAGGTATAGGCTCTAATCTCGCTGAGGACTAATTGTAATTCGCTAAAATTCATATGAAGTATATGTATATTGATTCCTAGTGATCCGCATTGACTGCTCCGAAATATTAGCCTTTTTATACAATATAATTTCATTTCTTTTTAGTAGTTCCGTTGCACACATCTAGTATTTAAATGAAAATATTCAACAATTTCATATCTCTTGAAAAAATTCGTTAATTACTAGTGTTTTCATATTTAGATCCAGATCAAGTTTAAATTATCTGGTTGCATAAAAAAATTATTAATAATACGCGACATCACCTTTTGTATACCTCCTGCTTGAATAAAATGCAATATATTTTGATACACTGTTTGGTCTGTATCTAAATAAAATCTTCCAGAAGAGACAGAAAAAAAACAATAAATAGAGTTATCCCTCTTTGAACTGGTTCATTTATTTGTTCTCATTTACAATAAGTATTTTAAGTTGTATGAATTTTGCTTTTGTGATTTGAACTGATTTATATGCTCAAAATAAGCTCATTCATTAGGAATAAAGAGTTGGGTTTTTTTTATTTTGATTATTCAAATAAACAATAACAATATTTTACATTTTATTTCTTATTAATTTGGTAGATCTATTCATCTTTCCAAGATAGACATATAAACATGCAGAAATTAGACTGACTTTCAACCTTGTGTGTAAATGTTATATTTGTGAATGATATATCCATTGGAATATGGATCATCATTATGTTAACCTGCTCTTTCAAATTTTTTTTTAATAACTTGAAATGTTCTCGAATTTTAAAGAATATTATTACAGAATTGAATATCGGGGTAAAAGGAGATGTGATATATACATATTGTTGAGACAGTATCCTAACTACACAATTAGTCGACTGTCAGCATACAATCGCCAACAAAAAAAAACTGTCTACATAATGTATCTAGCTCTCCAATTCGAACATAGTGAAAATTGGTTATTATTGCTAATGAGAAAACAATCAGTCAAAGTACAAAAAACTGGGATGTACAAATAAACAACTACAGGTCGTTCAGCCTTCAACAAAGAGCGAAACCCATACCGTAAATTAAATGGCTTGAAGGTCACTGGATATCAAAATGTGAAACAATTACAAGAGAAAACCAACGACCAAACTATGTTTTCGAAAAGCCATATAAATAAATGAAATATGGAAGAAAATATTCAGTGAAACAAAACTAACACTGTAAAATGGCAGTATCACTGACGGTATTTGCTACGTATCCTCTCCTTTGATTTAGCGCGAAGATGTTGAGTTAAGAAAGAACTGACGTCATAGTCGTCAAACGTTTCCGAAAATATCTAAACATGTAGGACAATGCGACAGTATTTTTACGGACTGGGAATAAAAAATGGATCTTGTGGATTACGATTTCATTACAGAGTTAAATGAACTAAGGCGGAACAAAGTCTTTTGTGATGCAGTTATAACTATTCCAGAAGAAATAAATGTCCGATTTCCAATTCACCGAGTCGTTCTAGCAAGTTGCAGTCAATATTTCCGTTCGCTGTTCAAATACGGCAATGATGAAACGAACAAGGAAATTAGTATTTCCGGCGTGTCCTCTAAAACGATGAAACAAATAATAGAATATGGATATTTACGGACAGCTGACATAAATGAGGACAATTTTGAAGACTTATTTGCCGCCGCCGACAGATTCCATATATTTGGACTTTTGAAAGAATGTACCGAGTTCTTGCTTCAACAATTATGTGTAGAAAACTGTTTAGGAATTCTAAAATTTGCCCGATTTTACAGTTGTGAAATTCTGAAAACGAAAGCTTTGAAATTTGTATTGTCTTATTTAGGTGAGATTGTAAAAAATAGCCAAGAATTCGTTGTCATGGACATAACTGAATTAAAGGAAATACTGGAGGACGATGAACTATTAGTTAAAAATGAAAGCGAAGTATATTTGGCCATTCAGAGATGGGTCGACTTTAGTTACGTGTCGAGGAGGAACCAATATGAAACTTTATTTCAAGCAGTCCGATTAGCATTTTGCAAACGTGAATTCATTACAAATGTTATTGAAAAGAATAAAACTATTAGGAAATCGAAAAAATCTATGACAGCTATTGAAAAGGCTAAACAGTTTTTGGACTTACGAGATACAACAAAAACTATTATGGTTTCGTTAGATGACCCACTATTACGACCAAGAGTACCGTCAAGTGTTATATTTACCATTGGTGGTTGGTCAAGCGAGGGAGTAGTTAACACGGTGGAAACGTATGACAAAAACGTTGATCACTGGTACTCTATAGTTCCACCAATGAATTCCAAGCGTTCGTACCATGGAACTGTTAACTTGAATAATTTGATATATGTGATTGGAGGATTTGACAGCCTTCGATACTTGAACAGTGTTGTGTGCTTTGATCCAGATAAAAGATCTTGGATAGAGAAAGGTCCTATGCATTTAGCACGATGTTATGTAAGCACATGCGCAGTAGATAACTTTATATACGCGTGTGGTGGATTCGACGGACGTCAGCGACACAATTCTGTTGAAAGGTAAAGTTGGAGAATTTTTAAAAAGATAAATCTTTGTAATATTTTAAATTTAGAGTAAGTAAATCACTTAAAGTAATCAATACTAGAGGTTAGAGGTAAATATGATTAATTATGGTTGGTTAACAATGTTTATATATTTAAGTATAAAGTGTATGCGCATATTTAGTACGTTTTTTCTCCAATTTTCTGGATATGTTATAACACGGACTTTCTACAAATTTCTTTTTATATTTTGGTACATGAAGTAGTTATGTTTTCTTTGATTGTTAATGACGTCTTTACACTAAATCCATTGGATGTGGATATTTACTGATTGGTATTTTAGTCTTATAAAACATGATTTTTTTATACGTTGGTATTGTTCTTGAACTAGCTGTCAGTAACTGCGAGTACTCTCAGATCTGTTCTTTGTGTCTTTTGTGTTTTTGTTAGGTTTATTTTGTGCTTTGTATCGATCTGATGAGTTAGGCCCTTTTCAACTGATTTTTATAGTTTGTTCTTATGTTATACTGTTACACCACTGTTTAAAACGATTAAAAGGGGAAGGGATTAGCGCCATCAAACAATATTAACTGCCTGTCCCAAGTCAGTTGCCTGTAATTTAGTGTTTGTCGTTTGTTGCTGTATATCATATTTATTTTTCGTTTATTGTTTTGTACATAGATCCGGCCGTTAGTTTTCTCGTTTGTAAGGGTTTTGCTAATTGTTGAAGGACGTACAGTGACCTATAGTTGTTAACTTCTACGTGGTTTCTGGTGGGGAGTTTTCTCATTGGCAACCATGGCATATTTTCTTATTTTTGTATTAAAAAAAAATACTAAGCATTTAGAAAAAAAGCTGCAGGTTCAGAGTTAGGACAAGTACAGTTGCAATTTACTTATTTTTCTTATTCAGTCGGAAAATTTGGAAAAGTGTGCGTTCCCGCCTATAATTGTTGTCGATTTTACGCGATTAGAAGGGGGAAATCAGAAGAAAACGAGGATTGAAAGATTTTTTGATTAAGATTGTTACAGTACTTGAAAGGTGCATATCATATACAACATAATGATTTTCTTTAAATAATTTGTTTTGTTTTAAAAGGGCATACGGTACAGTTACAGGGGAGGTATTTGACTGTGTGAAAAATAGCTTGTATGCAAATTGACTTTAGATGACGTCAGACAATTCGTTTAATCTGATGGATTGAATGAAAATCATATGGACTCTTTTCTCTATCAATTTCTACTTTCGTGTTTGCTTAAAATACTATTTGGACAACAGTGAAAACCAATTTCAGTGAAACAGGTGATATTTTTTTTTGTTAGTAAATATTACCGGTACACATTATATGGTAAAAGTCTATCGTCAACATTTCGAGATACAGCACCAATTTCAAAATCACAGGAAAAAGCATCTCATCATACGGGTTATGTTCTTCTCATATATTTCATGATGGTATGATACTTAACCCCTAACGGGAGGGATTGTACTTGATTTTCATATGATGAAGACATAATCTTTCAATCAGTTTAATTGAGGTCTGGAGCTGGCATGTCAGTAACTGCTAGTAGTCCTTTGTTAATGTATGTATCATTGTCATTTTGTTTAGTTTCTTTTGTTACCTATTCTGACATCGGAATCGGGCTTCTTTTAAACTGAGTTTTTATGGCAAGCCGTTCTCGTCAAAACTATGTTTAAACCATTTTTCGAAAAAAGATTAAAAAACCTAAAAACACACACTGAGAATTAAAAATTACACACTGAGATTTCATAAAAACGCACTGAGATGACATGAAATGAAAAACTCACACTGAGTATTGAAAATTACACACTGAGAATTGAAAATTACACAATGAGATTTCAAAAAGACACACTGAGATGAAATAAACTGAAAAACACACACTGAGAATTTGAAATTACACACTGAGAATTTGCAATTACACACTGAGATTTGTGCGCACTTTTTATGCGCACATATCTAATTAGCATACTTAATCTGAATCTATTACAAGCTTAAAACAACTAGGGGACATAACTCGTTAGTCCTTCAATTTGGCGCTAAATGTTTTATAAAAAACATTAAAAATACAACGTATAGAAAAAACTACGTTATTAAAGACCAATAGATCAAGCAAAAAACCCACTTACCCGGTACTCTCATTACAAAATATAACCAAATGGTGAAAAACTTTATTAAAATTATAAGAAAACATTGGAACAATCTGCAAAAATACAAATAATGCAGTGAATTTTTTTCCCAAGTGCCTATTATACCATATAAACGTAACAAAAATATAAAAGATTACCTTGCGAAAACAGTTGAAAGACTTTTGAAAAGGGACCATGCTTGAACAGTTTTAAGCAAAAAATCCCGATATACTGTTAGTAATAATCTGATTTATAGGCAACAAACTTATGAATATGAGTTAGCAAAAAAAGTTGTTAAGTCTTGAAATTTATTACGAATGTTGGTTATAGGAACCGTATTTCATTATAATGACAAGAGTTCGGGAGACCAAGATATTAATCTGTTGAATTATTCATCTCATGAATATTCATTAGTAATTTGCATATTAATCTCAGTGTGTATTTTTGAAATCTCATTGTGTAATTAACAATTCTCAGTGTGTGTTTTTCAATTTATTTCATCTCGGTGTGTCTTTTTAAAATCTCAGTGTGTAATTTTAAATTCTCAGTGCGTGTATTTCATTTTTTTAAATCTCAGTGTGTAATTTTAAAATCTCTGTGTTAGTTCGATTTCTCAGTGTGTTATTTTAGGTTCTTAAATCTCAGTGTGATTTTTTTAATTCTCAGTGTGTAATTTTTTCGAAAAAATAGTTTAAACATAGTTTTGACGAGAACGGCTTGCCATAAGTTTTACTGTGCGTATTGCTATGTGTTTCTTTATTCTACATTAGCTAGAGGTATAGGGGGAGGGTTGAGATCTCACAAAACATGTTTAACCCCGCCGCATTTTTGTGCCTGTCCAAAGTCAGGAGCCTCTGGCCTTTTTAGTCTTGTATGTTTTTTAATTTTAGTTCATTTATATGTTTTGGAGTTTAGTGTGACGTCCAATTTCACTGCACTAGTACACAATTTTATTTAGGGGCCAGCTGAGGACCACCTCCGGGTGCGGGATTTTCTCGCTACGTTAAAGACCCATTGGTGGCCTTCGGCTGTTGTCTGCTCTTTGGTCGGGTTGTTGTCTCTTTGACATATTCCCCATTTCCATTCTCAATTTTATCTCTTTTACATTCTTTGGTTCATTGCGTTATAAAACAATTACAGTATTTTGGTCGATATGAGTTTTAATAGATCTAAAATTCAATATTGATCTCGGTCGAATATGGCATAATTTTGACAAATGAGTGATTCTGAGGAGCTTTTTGATTTCCATTTATACAAAGATTATATGCATTATTGTTCCTGTTCTTGCAGATATGATTATAAACGTAATCAATGGTCACTGGTACAACCAATGTGGCACAATCGAAGTGACGCTGGCACAGCTTGTTACGAAGGTAAACTTTACGTCGTTGGCGGCTTCGATGGTCTAACTTGTCTTGATTCAACAGAAGTCTACAACCCATTAACTGACCAGTGGACATTGTTAGAAAAGATGAACATCCCACGCAGTGGAGTGGCCTTAATTGCATTCAATCACTTTCTGATAGCCTTAGGTGGATACGATGGTGGCTCGAGGTTAGCGACAGCGGAACAGTATGATTTTCGGCGAAAGGCTTGGGGGAATTTCGAAAATATGCACGTGGGAAGAAGTAATTTCGCAGCTGCTGTTCTAGACGGTCAGATTTATGTGATTGGTGGATATGATGGTTCTACCACGTCTGATGCTGTTGAAGTATATGACCCTAATGACAACATGTGGAGAAGAGTCCATTGGCTTATTGCTGGAAGAAGCGCAGTCAGTGCATGTGTTTTGCTCAATGAAGGAACACTAAGAGACTATACGTTTTATGGAGCACACAGTCGATCAAGCCAAGACGACAGCTGAGATCAGGTGTATAACCGAGGTATCTATTTTATTGCTACATATTTTACAAAATATGATGGTTCTTTTGTCATGAATTTAAACAACGCTAAACACGTGTATTCTATAAACAGAAAGGATATGGCTTCAGTGTAAATGATACAAAAAAAGACGGACCTGTAAATTACCAAACATACTTAATTTGCCGGAGTGTGGTTCTAACGAGAAGCTAAAAGTAACTGCGAGTACTCTCAAATCTGTGCCTTGCATCGATCTGACGAGATATAAGCCCATTTTCAATTGATTTTTATAGTTTGTTCTTATGTTGTGTTGTTACACCACTGTCCCATGTTACGGAAGGGTTATATATAGTCTCCTGCAAACACGTTTAATCCAGCCATATTCTGTATGCGCTAGTCCCAAGTCAGGAGCCAGTAGTTCAGCGGTTGTCGATTGTTCCTGTATATCTTGTTTATTTTTTCGTTTATTGCTTTTTACATGAATCAGGTCGTTAGTTTTCTCACATTCTTACATTTGTTATATCGGTGTCTTTTGTAGCTTGCTATGCGTGATAGGTTTTGCTTATTGTTGAACGTTGTGCTAAATTCTACGTAATTTGGTCTCTGCTCGAAAATTGTCTCATTGGCAATCATATCAGATATTCTTGTTTTTATACAGTCGGTTATGTTATTATTGCACTAATATTCCTAAATTGATCTCTTTTATGAACACACTGTTACAGTATATTAAACTGGGAACTCAAAGGCACATGTAGGGAGAAAGCAAATCTCTACATACTAGTATTTGTTTTGAAAATAACGAAACGTTCACTCCAGGACACAATCACAAAACCCCGGTGCATATGTACGTTTGCATAACATGTAGTACGTTATATCATTGTAAAATTGTTTAAAGTTTCGTAAGAAAATGTTTTAAGATAATTAATTCTTCAATTCAGTTGAGCATAGATCTTTCAAGTGCCTGTCAAGCGATAAATTTGAACAAAGGATATATTTAATTCGGGTCATTTACAGTTTTGAACATGAATAATCATATCAAAATCAATTATGAATCCAAGGACGTCCTATGAATTGTAACTACAATATGTATTTAACTTCATTTAAGTTCTAAGTATTTATCCTTGTTGTCACGCCCTTGATAGAAATTTCAGACATACACTTGCACGCTCCCAACAACGCTTGTTCTTGCTTTTTTTTGTCAATATTTTTGTTGAAAATTCCACGACAATGGTTTCTTCGTTCTAAATACCGACACGAAACTTTAAAATAAACAGTTTTAACTATCTAACAAGAAATCTTTACAAATTACTGTGTTCTGTTGTATTCCATGTACTCTACTGTTTTAAGTGTTTTAGAGATGTACCTTACTCAGAAATGTATGTGTTCGATAGAATATCACACCCTCTTAATCTCTCAATATAAAACATTTATTCAAATTTCTTCCCTCTCCCTTACCTTCTTATACTGAACGTCTGGGTACTGAAAACACTTTTGTAGTGTTTGACCATTCACCTCGGGAACTTTCGGCAAAATATCAAACACGGTCAGTTTACTTTCATCTGACTTCAGTATCTCTTTGGTTTTGCACAGGAAGATAAAACCGCCTTCGTAAACATTTTTGAAGTATTTGGTTATATATCTTCGGACCTGGTGTAACTTCGTCCTGGAATGTACGGACATAAACCGATACTGAACACATGGTTGTGTTCTTGACACGGCCTGGAACCGGATCAATAAATCGGGGGTCTTCTCACCAGGTGTCGTGGGTTTGGATGAGAAAGTGTACACCCTGAAAAAATATTTAGTATACAAAGTAATTATGCTGAATTGTAAACAGCCTTTAATTGAAGAGTCGTCCATAGGTTGTCAATATTAATTGTTAATGAGCGGTTTTGTTATATTTTTTTTTGCCAGATATAATTTGTATTTCGGTAAAACGCTCGTCAGAGCTTATGTTTGTATGGTTTATGCTATGCCGAATCAAAACAAAGTTTTCTATGTCTATTGTTGAGCCCTTAGCTATATCCCTCATTACACAGCAGGTGCAGCATTCTCGACATTAAACCGGTGCTAAGGTCCGCCCTGGACCTTAAGTAAAAGCTTTGCTTCATGTTCAAGGTCTTTAGTTGTGACTTTTAAGATGAAAATCAACAATAAAAGTGATGTTCTTTTTGTTATAATGTACTGGTGTATCATTCTAGTCATTAAACCGGTGCTAAGGTCCGCCATGGACCTTTAGTAAAAGCGTTGCTTCTTGTTCAAGGTCTATAGTTGTGACTTTTAAGATGAAAATCAACAATAAAAGTGATATTATTTTTCTTATGTTATACTTTTATATTCCTCAATGAGCTGAAGACTTTTGATTTAGGTAGTATAGGAGTGGTGCCAAATGCTCACAGATTATCGGTCCAGATTTCTACTATAATCAGCAAATGTTGATGCAAGAATACACTTTATGTATGGGACTTCTCATTTAATTGTCTAAATACATATCAGTTTATTTTTCAGTAGTAACTTTTGTCAACAAATACAAAATGCATTTGACTGATTCAAATTTAAAAAAAAATCTTTATCAAGGATTTAGATAATTCAGTTTATAAAAGAATGTGCAGTAATCTTTTGTAATGTATACGAAGAAAATGAGTACGTTGCTCCCATTTATTTATGCCTTATGGCATTTATAATAGCATCTGTTCTTATTTTATTTCAAAATTCTATCTTTTGTTTTTCTTTCTGATAACTTGATATTTTCCTGTGTAAACAAAACAGAACTATACTGTTTACTTTTGTTGTTGTAAATATCACGATTTCCACAGTGCAAAAATTCTGTCACTTTATGTTTATACTCCTCATACTATTTAAGAAAAGTTTTGTAGATTTGTGGTCCATAAGTAATAAATACATGTACTAGAAAGAATATAGTTGTATGCATTTATAATGATCAGAGACGGGTTTGGATCGGAAAATGTTATTCCAATGAATGGATATCAACCTTCTCAATTAACTCACCTGGTCCAAAGTCACTTGACTTCCTATAAGAGTATCAAAAAATGGTTTGACCTTGAATGATTATTTTTTTTAACCAGAATCAGTATTCTTTACCCTATATCATGAAAACTATAAAATATTGGTATGCTTAAACTTTGAACAGAACAGCAAAAGATGACCAGCTACACAAGATCTACAGATAAGTCAAATGATTGAAATCACAATTTAAACCTTTTTTTTCATTCTTGACTTTTATATTAAAACTATAATAGTACAGTTTATAGAATTTACATATACAAATATAATAGCATCAGTGATTAATTACATATGTGTTTACAATCTTATCAGCTAAATAAAGGTAGATATTTACCTAGATTGTTAAGCTCTTTATGTTATGAACAGACAATAATTGTATAAATCTATTAACAAGATGTTTTTTTTTCCAATAAAATGGTTTTATATAATTGATTGGAATAAAATTCTGTTCAGCAAAACTGATCAGCCATAAAGATTTCACAGTTACCATTCAACCCAAATTTTCTTGAAGCATTATATTGATTTTATAAAAAAATGGCAGGTGAGCGATAAAGGCTCCGTTGTGCCTCTAGTTTAATGAATCACCCACATGTATTTGTTTTTCTTGAAAATAAGAAGCATTTATTTAACTTTATGTTTATCAGTCGAATTCCTTGCTGTTAATATGTTTATCTGTCGGATTCCTTGCTGTTAATGATATTTATCTGTCGGATTCCTTGCTGTTGATGATGTTTATGATTTTTTTTTTCAGACTGAAGTATGGTATGGTGCTTTATTTAAACAGAGAACAAGACCAGAGATGTTACTGATCATAAAGTGTACACGTACACTAGGCTGTCGTCAAGTTTTAAAAGTATTACAAAATCGATTAAATAGATATATTGAAATTAAATAAAGGCTTTTTAAAACTCTGTAAAACCTTATCAATGTATGCAACTTGTTGATACTTGTGTGAGTTATAAAGTGTATAGTTTTCAATAAAAGTTGAGATTGAAATGAATTATTCACTTGTTAGCAAATGATTACATTTACCTTGATAATGTGAAAATAAAAAGTATGGTGTTTGCTAGAAAAAAGGATTTAAATGGAACGACACAATTGTTTTCCGTCAATATGCAAATTATATTCTAAATTAAAGATGGAGAAGGTACCAAGGGGGAATCAAAAACCATGAGACGAAGAAAAACTGACAATACCGATGCAAAAAAACTGACAATGCTATGACCAAAAAAATTGACAATACCATAGCAAAAAAACTGACAATATCATGGCCAAAAAAACTGACTATACCAATGCCAAAAAACCTGACAATATCATGGCCAAAAAAACTGACAATACCATGGCCAAAAAAACTGACTATACCATGGCCAAAAAACTGACTATACCAATGCCAAAAAAACTGACAATACCAATGCCAAAAAAACTGACAATACCAATGCCAAAAAAACTGACAATACCATGGCCAAAAAAAACTGACAATACCAATGCCAAAAAAACTGACAAAACAATGGCCAAAAAAACTGACCATACAAATGCCAAAAAAAACTGACAATACCATGGCCAAAAAAACTGACAATACCATGGCAAAAAACTGACAATACCATGGCCAAAAAAACTGACAAAACCATGACAAAAAAAAAAACTGACTGCAGGCTAAAAGGTGACATTGTGTATTGGGGGTTTTCTATTTCACAAACCTTCAAAATTAGTACAGAAGAAAGATATGTATACTTACACAAATATCTTGAGAGTACTCAGTTTAGATGTGCAACATCAAAATTATGAATATCTAGAAATGAACTAAAACGAGGAAACATTGTGATCGATCAACAAGCAACATTCTAATTATTGATAATGTTCAAACCTTTTTGAGAAAAAAGAGATTTCATTTACAATAAGGAGATGCGGTATGAACTATCCAACATATTCTAATGATGCGGATTTAAACTATATACTACTACGACAACCATTAATATAATGTGACCGAGTTAAACCTGTCATTATATACTATCTTATTAATATTAAAAGTAATTCTTACATCGAAATAGTGTGTTCTAGCTGGTTGATGAAGATGGTGTCCCACTATTTACAAAAGAAAACACAACTGCAAGGGCGTCTCATTTAAGGTGACATTTATAAACAAACCTAAGCGTAGTTATAAACATCATCAAAATATAAAGAGGCATCGGTCATGTAATACGGTTATTTTTTAATCGTAAATATAATAGCAAGAATATGTTAAAAGGGGAGGGGGAAATAAGTTAAAATACTAAAGAATTCAAGAAGTTTTACTTTAAATGAATGTTTAAAAAAAGGGGGTGTACATTCTCCAAGCACCTATGCGCAATAAATGGTAAAATAAGAACTTACCCCATTTTATCTCTTCCTTTTCTGTAGCATTATCTCTTCTTTAACCTGTTTACCAATTGCAAAAATTAATTAGTTTGGAGTTAACATCAAATTTGTTGATATCAGCACTGCAATCATCAAAAAAATTATAGTACTTCCGGGTCTGAACTAATATCACGTAAAAATATTTGGACTCCGCTTTTCATTTAAATGAATAAAATGGTTGTTAAGAAATTATTGTATATGTAGCCAAATAGGCTTCCAAAGGGATGTCCAATTCAAGTTAGCTATTCTATAACATTAACTTGGATCAGTTCATGTGTTTGTAAGACAATAAATATCCTTTATACAGTTTACACAGTTTATTGGTCTTGTAATTGTCATTCTTGCGTATAAAATATAATTTATAAAGTATGCCTACCCGCAAGTCAACACCGATATCAAATTTCCTGGATCGATAATTTAAATAAACATATATAGTGCAAAGTGTATCATTTGTTTGATATACTGAACATACTTTTGAAAAATTTAATAAAACTATGGAGTTTAAATTATCGACCTTTAGATGTGCTGTGTTGTGACAATTTATTTTGGTAACGGTAAATAATAAGACACCCAGGTAAGTCTGTAGTTTATATCTACCTGTAAAATATTGCATCAAACTGATTGTTTATTAATTTGCTCAACATCTTAAATCTTGATCTATATCAACTCTGTACGTACATCACGCTTAACAAAAAGTAAAGTCAGCTAAAGGCAAATAATTTACATATGTTGATGATAGTTCTGAAATGTTTCCTTCAAGATATGATCTAGTTTTTTACTCTGACACATGCAAGGGTGTCTTTGTCCATTTAATTTATTCAACAATCAGACATTTTCCAAATACTAATATTTTGATTTATCTAACTGCTCTCCTGATCACGCAATGGATTCTTCCTGATCTCAATCAAATATTGACAGTAAGAAAGATTTATTGTTGTGCCCTGATGTAATCTGACATCAAGTGATGCGGAAGCATAGAGAAGCAGAGAGACAACGGGGTAAGGGTAAACAAAATATATTCTACAGGCTTTTATGGAACGCCGACACTGTCTTATTATGACATTTCTCATTATATGATGTTCATTTGCCTTTATATGATGTCATTTTACCCTTATATGATGTGCAAATGACATTATATGATGTGCACTTGTCCTTATATGATGTACACTTATCATTATGTGATGTGAACTTGTCCTTATATGATGTACACTTGTCATTATATGATGTGAAGTTGTCCTTATATGCTGTCCAAACACATTTATATGAGGTGCAAACATCTTTATATCATGTCCACTATTCATTATATGATGTGCTTTCTCCATTATGTTATGTGATTGAGTCCTTATATTATGTGATGATTTCCTTATACGATGTAGAAACGGCATTATGTGATGTGCAATCACCTTTATACGATATGCAATCACCTTTATATGATGACAATTTGACATTATCTGATGTGCAAATTATATTATATGATGTGCAAATTATCTTATATGATGTGCAAATGGTCTTATATGGTGTGCAAATTATCTGATATCATGTACAGATGTCTTTATATTATGTGCAAACTTCTTTATATGATGTGAACTTATCCTTATGTTATGTGCTAACATCGTTATATGATGTGGTAAGGTCATTATATTATGACAATGTAACATCATATGGTGTGGTTTGGTTTACATCTTTATATGATGTCAGAACATCATTATGATGATGTCGAAACATCATTATGATGATGTGCATTCATCGTCCTGATGGTCAACGAACATGATTACGATTAAAGCGATTACTCACTACGTCAGAACTGATTCCGATCTGCTTCTACGAAAACCTATCATTTTAAAATGGCGTCGACGTTAGCAGACGCTGTTAGACGGGTTTTGACTCAGATTAATTTGGGAGAATTGATAGATACGTTTATGGAAGGCAAAGTTGATAGTATATTAACGTGTCGTATGTTATCAGATGCAGATCTTTGACGACATGTATGTTGAATAAATCATGTTACATGAATGTAGAAAGAATACAATTATTAGGATAAATTTGAATGTTTTGATTTGATAAATAAAAGCCTAGAATTGGACTAATGACCTATTTTTAATAGTTGATCAAATTTTAGCTGGGCTGACCAAAGGCCTATTGAGGTTTTGTTTTCACTTGGTGGCTGTCATCCACGCGTCCGTCTGTAAAATTTCACACTCTAAAACCACTAGGCCTAAAGGAAATAAACTTGGCAGATAGCATTAGCATTTTTTTCAGATCCTTTATCATTTTTTTTCATTTTTTTTAGATAAGTAAAGGCGATGCCTTATGACTTCGCAATTCTTGTTTCTAGAAATCTTTTCGTCTGAAATCGATTAACCAAATGGAACCAAACTTGACAAGAAGCCTTTATAACGTTTCCTCATTTCGTCATTATTGAGCAACAACAATGGCAATCATGAGTAATTCGTGTTTCTTAGTGCCTTAGCAAAACTTATTTCCTCTAAAGTGATGGCGAAATGTAATAAATTAAAGGACTTTTAAGCAGTTTGAACTTTTTGATATATTTATTTCTACTTGTGTGGACAAAGAATTTGATTATAAGAATATGTGTATATTTCTACGAAGCCTAAAAGGGGTAATATATACCCAAAACTGACTTCAACGGTGTAAGTAGAATGTCAATGACATTTTTTATTTTATTTTTTGTATCGACTGTACCAGCCAGTAAGACTTAGGATAGTGATCAGGCGGCAGCGTCGGCGTTAGCTCTTGACTTAAAAGTTTAAATATTTTAGAAGGTAGAAGACCTAGATGCTTCATACTTTGTATATAGATGCCTTATGTTACGAACTTTCCGTCTGTCATATGGTCATTGTCCTTGACCTCAATTGTATTCAGTAAGTACTTTATTAAAAGTTTTGATTTTTTGTTATGTTAATTACTTGGGCACAAGGAGAGTCTGGTGCTAAGTTTGGATTGCAAAGGATAATCCAAGATCCTATAATATTGTTATTATTTTCAAACTGACACAAAACAATGCTAAAACACTTTTTCGTGTTTAAATAGATAACATCTTGCTAAGCATACAACTCGAGTCCAAATTTATAAATATTTATATAATTAGCCTGAAATCCCCCCATTGTCAGCAAACCAGGAACTCATACCGAAACAGCATCATCATCCAAAATAGATAAGTCATACAGAGAACCTTTAAAAATGTTGTCAATTACCAACAATTGTCCAACATAGTGGGAAAAAAGTCGGGAACTTCATGTTTTGATATTCATCAGTAAAAAACAACAAAATGCATTTTGGTTAATGTTTTGTTTAAAATCATTAAAGTCCATATAAATATAAATAAAAAGTTCCTGAAAGTACCGTGAATTGTTTGAGTACTGCATTAGTTATATCTTCCTCATTCATATAAGTAACCTATCATTACCGGATAGAAAAAAGAAATAACACGATGGGTGCGATATACGGTGATTACCCTTCCGGAGCACCTGATTTCACTCCCAGTTTTCAGTGGAGTTCGTGTTGTTTCTCTTTTATTTCTACTGTAAGTTGTAAATGTTTTTTTGGTTTTATGAGTCTTTGTTTACTCCTTGGTTTTAATTGTTATTGTCTTATAAATACTATAACAGCCTGAGTTTCCGACTTTGTCAGAATAATCTTGTTTCTCTCTTATGATGCGTAACGTGGTAACTATATTTGGTATGTGCGTACCTTGCAAGGTCGTCATACCTGTCAGCTAATTTTCACTTGACCTCGACCTCATTTCTTGGATCAGTGAACAAGGTTAAGTTTTTGTGGTCAAGTCCATATCTCAGATACTATATATAAGCAATAGGTCTTCTATGTTTTGTGTATAGATAATAGATAATGATTGTAAGGTGTACATGTCCAACTGGCAGGTGTCATTTGACCTTAACATCATTTTCATGGTTAATTGGTCAATGTTGGGTTTTTGTGTTCAGGTCTACTTAGTATTTTTCAGATACTATAAGCATTCAGTAAATTATATTTGGTGTATGGAATGTTTGTAAGGTGTTCATCATGTCTGTCTGGCAGTAATCATCTGACCGTGACCTCATTTTCATGGTTCATTGGTCAATGTTATTTTTTCTTGTTTGGTCTGTTTTTTGCAGATACTAAAAGGAATAGGTTAACTATATTTGGTTTATGGAATGATTGTAAGGTAGATACATCTGTTAGGTCGGTTTCAGCTGACCTTGACCTTATTTTCATGGTTCATTGGTCTGTTTTTCAGTTACTTTATAGAAATAGTAGAACTATATTTGGTGTCTGGAATAATTATTAGGTGTATAGGTCTGTCTGGCAGGTGTCCGAGGTTTCTTTCTGAGAATTTTTATGTAATCGATAATTTGGTGTCTGTCTGTAAGGGTTTATTTTACATTGAACTGCTGTACATTGATCATTTAAATGTTAATTTAATGTAATGCTTGTGGTATAAACTTTTTTTTAACTAACATAATTCAATTATCAACACTAGAACAGGTGAGACATTTCAGTGTGTCTACTCTTGTTTAAAACAACAATGTTTTTGAAATCACAAGTTCATTTGAGAAATACACTAGCAGGGTCTTTGTTGACATGTAAACTTTTAGGCTCCTATATTAAAATGCCGAGGGGCATATCAATTAACCCTGCCTGTTCGTCCGTATGTCCGCTCGTCCTCCGTATATAGATACTTCGTAGGCCCGAGTGTCTCTATATGAATATTTTTATATTCTCAAAATGCCAGGTATATTGACATAGAAATAATAACACTACACCATTTGGAGTAAAAGTTGTCTTTTTTATGCCCCCACAACTAAAAGTTGGGGGCATATTGTTTTACCCCTGTCCGTCCGTCCGTCCCATTATGAGTATATTGTTATTCCGGATACTCCTCCTACAGTTTCAATGCTAGGAAGTTTTTATTTTCCTGGCTGTTTGTAATATATTGAAGATGTGCATGTGGTCAGGGTTTTGATTTTTGATTTAATATATGCTCTTTTGGGAGATAGTTGAACTTTGATATTTTTGGAGTATATACTTGCAAAAGAGGTGCATAGCGTTTCTAGATAACTCCTCCTACAGTTTCAATGCTAGGAAGTTTTCACTTTGCTGGCTGTTTGTACATATATTGAAGGTGTGCATGTGGTCAGGGTTTTGATTTTTATTCATATTTGCTCTTTTGGGAGATAGTTGAACTTTGTCATTTTTAGCTCACCTGGCCCACAGGGCCAAGTGAGCTTTTCTCATCACTTGGCGTCCGTCGTCCGTCGTCCCTAAACTTTTACAAAAATCTTCTCCTCTGAAACTACTAGGCCAAATTTAACCAAACTTGGGCACAATCATCATTAGGTTATCTAGTTTTAAAAATTGTCCGGTGACCCGGCCAACCAACCAAGATGGTCGCCATGGCTAAAAATAGAACATAGGGGTAAAATGTAGATTTTGGCTTATATCTCTGAAACCAAAGCATTGAGAGCAAATCTGGGGTAAAATGTTTATCAGGTCAAGATCTATCTGCCCTGAAATTTTCAGATTAATCGGACAACCCGTTGTTAAGTTGCTGCCCCTGAATTAGTAATTTTAAGGAAATTTTGCCGTATTTGGTTATTATCTTGAATATTATTATAGATAGAGATAAACTGTAAACAACAATAATGTACAGCAAAGTAAGACCTACAAATAAATCAACATGACCAAAATGGTCAGTTGACCCCTTAAGGAGTTATTGCCCTTTTAAAGTCAATTTTTAACAATTTTTCGTAAATTTTTGTTATCTTTTACAAAAATCTTCTCCTCTGAAACTACTAAGATGAATTTAACCAAAGTTGTAAACAATCATCATTTGGGTAGTTTAAAAATTGTGTCTGATGACCCCGACCGCGAACCAAGATGGCCGACATGGCTAATAATAGTACATAGGGTAAAATGCAGTTTTTGGCTCATATATCTAAACCCAAAGCATTTCGAGCAAATCTTTCAAAACAAAATTGTT